ATTATACTTTAAAATGTGGATATATCAAATTGCTAATTCAATCAAACTTAGCCAAATACTCAGTCAAATCCTATTTTAATAACATCACAATACTATTCTAATATCTAAATCTTGCAATGTTTCTTTCATGAAAATCAACTTAAAGGCTAAATCAACTCTTAGACCTAGTCAACAACAGGATTTTAGATTGTAAGTCCATTAAGTGATATTAATATCGAAGGATCTTTTTTTACAAACTCAAAATCAAATACACTTTACAATTTTGCTTACTTATAATGCAATAATACTTATATTAGCAGTTCTATTTTTGCTAATTCTTCATTTGATTTACAAGACCCAATATCATAATTTATGTAAGAAGGTGGATTTTTAAGAGCAAAGTTAAACAAATTAGTAATAAACAATACCTAATTCACTAACTCTACAGCTAGTTAGGGTTCATTTCTTTATATTGAACCTCTAAGCAACTCTCTTAATTTATATTTTAACAAAATTTCATTTATGTAAGGATATTCTAAAATGAAAGGAAGCGCCTTTTATATTAATAGTTAAAATTCTATTTTACTCTTAAACTGTTCTTACTGCAACTTTACACATATATACTCTTTTAGTTCTGGATCATAGGCTATTTCTATTTAGTAAAAAATAATTTTATTATAATTCAATATTTTTAATTTAAAATAATTTATTTTCTATTTTAAAACATACTAATTTACATATAAAAAGATACACAGAAACATAGAGCCCAAGTTTATAAAATTAAATTTTGTTTGCTAATTCTTACTTCACAAATATTCTAGGATAATAAAATAATTACTTCATCAATTCAGTAAATTCATTTTTATCCTTTCAGCAAGTAATACAAATTCAAACTAAGGATTTAAGTATTCCTAAAGAATTTGCTGATTAAATTTAAAGTATGCAATCACAAGCTTTAATTTAATCAAAAAATTCTAATATAGCTATTTACTAATCTACATTTAGCAATTTATTTAATTTACCTGATCAAATATATCCTTTATTTATTAATTCCACTAATTCTAATTTGAATCTCACAAAAGTCATAGTTCAATAAAGTAATTTTTCTCAGAGTTTGATAAATTTTGATTCTGGATAATTGGTTATCCAAAATTCTTAATTTCTTAATATTACTAAAGTTGAAAAAAATAGGTTTAGGTTTCTTTAAAATTAATATTCTAATTTAGTAAAATAGAATAATTCTATGATAATGGTATAAAACTCAAATATGTAATTATCTGGCTAAACTCTTTTTGAAAATATTTCTTGTTATTCTAATTGCTATGGTTCTTCAATAAATCTTAATAACTCAACTTTTTAAATTAACGAAGCAAGATTCATTCGCTCGACTGTATGAATTAAAAAATAAATTTTTGTTTTAATTATTTTTTATTTAAACTAAAGGCTTAAGTAGGGGGTGCTATATATATCTAAGGACTAGCAACTAACAAAAATGAAATAATTAACTCTTCTTTTATAAATAATTTGGCTACTAAAGATGGAGGAGCTGTTTATATACATGCCTTTTAAGATGATGTATTTTAGCTTAGTGTAATTTAAAATATATTTAGAGAGAATTTGTCAAATCAAGGATCAGGAGGAGCCATAATGATAAATAGTGATTCAATTAATTCAACAAAATAATAAATTTTAATAAAAAATTCTTTATTCTCAGTTAATTAAGCTTAAGTAGGAGGGGCTATTTACAATTAAGGTATACGTCCATTTATAGATTCAAGTAATATTATTAAAAATAATATTGCAAATTTATATGGATCTGATATATTCTCCTATCCTACATCTTTATTATTACTTAACATAGCTGATTTTAATTTTAACAATTAATTTGATATAAATAATTATAAAATAATCTTGAGTGATTTTAAAAGTGGAGGAAATCTACCTAATTTTATATTTTAGCTCAGAGATGAAACAAATTTAACATTTATTTAATAAAAAAATTAATTATTAACTGCATAAGTTCAAGTTAGTAGTAAAACACAAAACAATTCATAATATTACATTAGAGGTAATTCATAAATTAATATAGATCCTACTTAAAACATTTTTAATTTTTCTAACCTCTAATTTATTGGTATTCCTTAATCATCATGTGTGATATAGTTTACATCTGATTCAATTAAGATCTATAATAATTTCACTAATTAATATGACTCAAATTACACATTTGATGTTCATGTGAATTTTAGAAAATGTTAATATGGAGAAATAATTAATAAATACAATAATTTTTAAGAATGTTAAACTTGTGAAAATGGCAAGTATAGTTTAGATTATACAAGCTGTTACCCTTGTCCATATGGAGCAGAGTGTACATATGGAATAATTAATCTTTAGTAAGGTTTTTGGAGAGAAGAAGAGTATAGTCCAGATATATTTGAATGTGTTAATAGAAAACAAAATTGTGATAAAAGTAGTTTTGGAAATTAAGTATGCATTACTGGAAATATAGGACCATTGTGTGAAGAGTGTGATGTAAGAAAATATTAAAATATTATATTTATTTATTTAAATTATATTTTAAAAGATTTATGGAGAATTTTGGGGAGAGAGTTATACGAGGTTGAGTAAATACTAATGCACATAATGTAAAAATATCAAATAGAATTTATGGAAATTATTTATCAGTGTTTTATGGATATTTATTTCACTTCATATTACTGTGAGAACAGATAGAGATTATTAGACATCAAAGATTTTAATCTAAGCAATAATAAGAAAAAGACCTATTAGTAACTCTAGTGTATCTTATTCGTTAAGGGGTATATTAATATAGAAGTGTTATATAAAAATTTTCACAAATTATATTCAAATAACTTCATTTATAGCATCGTATAACTTAAGTTTCCAATCTGGTAAATTATATTAGAATTCTAGACTTTAGTTATTCATTTTTTTTTAAATGATAATGAATTAGATTTGTTTGAATTAGCTTCAGCTGTAGGGGTTCCTGTCTCTAGCTCTATAGATTTTTTTGATTGCTTTCTTAAAGATTTAAATATAAAAATTCCAATAATTTACTTCAAATTGATAATATCATTATAAATAATTATAATAGTCTTGATACTATATGCTATTTGGTTAAAAGTAATGTAATCTTGCATTTATAGATATAAGAAATACGATATCTATGCACTCTATACAGGATTTATATTTTTATTCATGTTTCTCTAACCAGATTTAGTATAGTAGATGATTGGATTAGTTTCTTGTAGGTAGGTTGGAAAATCTTCTTATATACTAATAAACATGAATTACAAATGTAATACATAAGAATTTAATTTCTACAGTTTTATTTTAGTTCTTCCTTTGCTTGCTATATGGGTTTTTATAATCCCTGGTTTATTATTCTTTTAGGTATTTTAATACAGAAGAAAACTAGGATTGGATAATATTTAAGTAAATTTAAAGTATGGATACTTATTCAAAGAATATAAAAAGAATGTATATTACTGGGAATTCATTAAAATTAATTAAAAAATATTTATAATTATAATATTAAGTTATTACTCTTAAGATGCTGTTATAAAGGGTGTTTTAAGCTATTTAATAATTATGCTTTATGACTTTTTAGCAAGGAAGTTGTAACCATATAGCTTAAACTAGCTAAACTAAATAGATAGTTACTCCACCAAAGTATGTTCATTTACAATTCTGCTTTGTATTGTTTAAAGTGATAGTGAATAGGAATACTTGCAAGTATTATGCTTTGTTATTATGATAATCTTAAATGGATGGATTATCTTATTTATAATTTTTAAGGTTTTGCAAAAGAAACTCCTTTAAATAAAGAATCAGATTTAAAATTCTAAATATTTTAAAAAATATTTAAGTAAATATTCATATTTTAATTCTAAAAGTTAATCAATTAAATAGCAGTTGAAATTTAAAATGTAAAAAATTTTGTTGAAATTTTCAAATTTAAATCAAGATTAAAAGTCATCACTTTTTCACCAATATATAAGTTAAGGTAAATAAAGAATTATCTATTTAAATAAATCTTAAAATAATATTTAAATAATAAAAGAAAATAGAAGAATAATAAACTTTATTTAAGATCACAATAAATTATCTCATACAAAAAATTCAAGAAACGAACCAAATTTCTCAGAATAATTTCTCAAAGAAAATAATTTAAAAAGCTTAAATTCACCTTAGAGTCATTCTAACTTACTAATTTTAGATCCTTCTTCTAAATCTCCTTATTTTTATTCTAAAAATGAAAATTTTAAACAAAATTTTGCATGTAAATTATTATTAAAAGTAAATACTAAGATTATTTAAAATCTTTTTTAATTTTAAAGAATAGGAAAGCATTCAAATTTTGCAAAAGCATGTATTCACAGCAGAGAAAGATTAAAAAAACGAAGAAAATTTATCTATTTCTATTAATTCAGCAAATGAAGCATAGATGAATCAAGAAATTCAAGCCTTATCGCACCACAGTTAACAATAAAATTTAACTAAATTAGATTAACCAAGTATGAATTAAAAACTATAATAAATAGTTAACTTAATTATATTTAATAAATATAAGGCACTGAAGCACTTTAAGATAATATTTAACCTATAAATTAAACTTAGACAATAAAATGCTTTTAAAAGGATTAAAGTTTTGGAAAAGATTTATGTAAAATTTATAAATAATTTTATTTCATTTTAATTAATTATTAAAAATTTAAAAGAAAACAAAAATCATAAACTCAATTCTGTAAGTTTACAAAAATAGTCTGAAGTTTTATCAAATAAATAAAATCCTTTCAATTAATTTTCGAAAATTCAATAAATCAAAGCTGATAATTATGAAGAGATGATGGCAATAGGCTAAGAATAAAAAAATTCAATAGATTAATCAAATTAGATTTAATTAACTGATTCAAATAGTTAAGAAATGAAAATAGTAAACACTGTCAATAAAAAAGAATAGATAATTTAATAAGATTAGATTTAGCATATAGAAAATGAAGCTTAGCCTAAAGAGAGCATTTTATCTTGATAAGATATGCCAGATAAAAAATCTTAAAAAAAACTAGATGATACAATTACATTTAGGTAATATTACAATTTTTAAATAGAAAATAATATTTTAATTTTATCAAAATTAAATAAATAGTTTTAAATACAAATAGTAACGATGCTGCTAATTAATAAAACAAATAGAACCCTTTCAATAATTTTTGAAAATACATCAACTCAATACTGATAATGATAATAAGGATATCGAATATGCTTCATAAAGTATTGTCCAATAAAATTTAGTTTTAATATTATTTACATATTTTTTTCTATTATATTTTATGATGTAAAACTTAACATTGTCTAATATTGTAAATTTAATTTACACTCTTTTTTAATGTTTGTTATATTGTTTTATTATTTTAGCAGTTTACTAATTTGCTCCTTTTTAAACTCATAAAATTTTATTTAAAAAATATTCATATAAAAGTTTATTATTTAAAGATTATTTTTCTAAAATTTTAAACTTATTTTTTTATAATTTTCAGAAAATAATGAAGTTTTTAATTTAATCTTAGGTTATGATCATTTAAAAAAATGGTTAATGTAAATAAAATACCTTAATTTACTAACACAAAAATCTATTTATATATAATATGGAAAACTAATAATTTTTAATAAAGATAAAAAAACAATATCGATAACAATTTTAATAAAAGTTGATAACTATTTTCATAATTAAGGTATGTTATTCATCTGTTTACTTTTTTTACCACTTACTTCTTATAAAGCAATTTATCTAGCATAAATTGGATTTAAATTCCATTTAATTTATAATTTTTGTATATCATCAAGTTATTCAACAACATTGTGGTCCATTCTTTTTGATTATAAATTTAACAATTAATTAATTTTAAATAAACATAAATAATTTATAAATATTTAAAATATTACGATCTATCTGTTTGATATTCTAAAGTTTGGCTTGAAATTGGCATACCTAATCCACTTGTCATAGATAAATTTTATAACTACATGTTTAATTTGTGCTTATTTTTGAGCTCTTCTCTAAACTTTTTCATTTTCATGTCATCTTCATAATAGTAGCTAGTTTTAACAATAAATCTTTTTTTACAATAAATTATATGCATTGTGTAGACGATTGTAAAAATAGCATATATTAGAATAACTCCATTTAAAAGCCACATTGAACCTAAAGTTAGCCATGAAATAAGTTTGTAGTGAGTAGTTATTACCAAGAATATCAAAAAGCTAATCCAAGTGTTCAGCACTTCGATAATAACATAGTATCTCAGCTGATGCTTTATTGTGAAAGGCTTCCAATAAATTAGGTAAATAGTAAAGAATAAGTTTGATACTAAAATGAATGAGCAAGATACCATCTTATTTGGAACTAAATAAAGGAGAGCTAAGTTAAGAATTTTTCTTGCTTCAAATATGAACCAAAAGTATTTTTAAAATGCTGACATTACCGATATATTCTACACAAGATATTAAATCTTTGGGACTTCATCTCTGTCTAGGTACCTTGGATCAAAACATCTTACTTTCTTAAAGAGTACAAACAAAATGAAGAGATATGCTAAAATAAAAACAATTTGAAGGACAAAGCTAGTAATATTTAACCAGTGGGTAAATTCTATGTAAAAGAAGCCTTTAAAAATAGATGCAAAAATGAAGTTTGAGAAGATCTAATTGAACCAAATGAGATATGAATATTTTTTTTCACAATACTTTGAAAAGAAAGTTATTTTCTTACTGATTATAGTTATCGTTTTTAAAACTAATAACAAGCCTACCAGCAAGAAAATGTAAATTATCACATTTTTTATAAATTATTTGCTAAAATTCTTAGAATACAGCATTTTGAGATCATTATCTAATAAGACATCTGAAGAAAGAGTTCTTTTATTTTTTAATTACTAACTTTAGTCATCTATTTAATCATTATTATTGTCTTCTACTGGTTCTTCATCTAATGATTACAAAGGACTAGGGAATAAATTAATGATATTCATTGAGAAGTACTATCCTATAAACGTAGGTCCTAAACTTATTTATTTTAAATCATCACACACTATAAAATTACCTATCAACTGTTATATTTATAAGGTATATCCAAAAGTAGCAGCAGAGACTAAAACGACTGAGGAGCCTGCTTGAATAGCTGTTGAAGTTACCTAGACAGATTTCATGCTCACATCAGTTTTATTGATAACCTCTATTTCTTTTTCACAGTCTTCCTCTTCTTTGAAATTACAGGTGTAGTATTTATATCTTTCGTCAAATTTACAGGTTTTTCTATCAGTATTTAAAATGTATTCATGAGAACATTTTAAACATTTATCAGACTAGCAGTAGTCACAATTTTTTTGCTGACATTCTGTGCAAATATTTGTTATAGGATCTGGGTAGTACTTAACAGGACATTTCTGGCATATATTTTTTCTCTCGTCAATAAAACTAAGTCCTTCTTCACATTTCTCACAAGTTATTGCATTTTTACACTCTAAGCAGTTGTAAAAACAGTGCTCACAAATCCTCGATTAAGGATTAACATATTAACCGCTACCACAATCTACTACACATTACTTATTTCCATTAGTTATTTTATAAGCACATTACTAACATTTCTTTTTCTATGGATTTTTAATAAATCCATCTTGGCACTTATTAACGCATATGTTATTTTGATCAAAAAAGTAATCTGAATTTTTACATTCTATGCAATCTCTTTCTGATGATTCTTTACAGCTTTTACAGCTTTCATGACATGGCTTACAGGCTTTTTATTTCTTATCTGTTTTTAAAAATATGTAATAAAATTATAAATGAAGAATTTCTTTCAGTAAATTGAGTAAATAAAAAATAAAGGTGGGGGATTGATTAATATTAAATCAGACAAATTTAATTAATTTCAAAAAAATGATTAAAGTAATTCAAAAAATAGTAACAAAGCACTTGTAAGAATTACATAAAATTTGATGATTATCTCACTTGAATGCGTTAATAAAATTTAACTTACAAATCGCATTCAATGCTTTTGGATAGAAAAATATAAAAAATAAATTATTACCAAGGTATTCCCCGATTTCACATTTGAAGCATTATCCTTCTAAAAGAGTATAATCTGGTTAACAAGTGTAACACTCTTGAAGACCTGTGCATTCTAAGCAATTAGTGGCGCATTTAGCGCATTTAATGTTTTACTCATCAAAGAAACTGCCTTTAGGGCATTTTTTTGAGCAAGACAAATCATCTTATAAAATTCCTACTTTACATTTCATACACTAGTTTATTCCCTCTCCAAAGCAGGTTTCACAATTTTAATGACACTGTAAACAAGACTTTTAACATTTCAAATTTATTCCAGAAGGTAGCGAAACAGATGAACTTTTTGAAAAGATTTTTACCTCATTATCTTAACAATTGTAGTTAGTAGAAACGGAACATTTTTTACATTCTAAGTTTGAAGGCCCTAAACATTCTGAACAATCACTATGACAGTTTTTACATACAGAATTTTCTCCATATTAATTAGAATCACAATCTCCACAAATTTTTGTATCAGTTCTAATGAATTTATTTGAATTTTAACATTTAATACATTAATTTTAAAGGGGTCCTGTGCAAGAAGAGCAATCAGAATGACAGCTTTTACATTCATTTTCAGAATCAACAAATTAATTATTTTCGCATTTTCCACAGATTCCATTTATTGTTTTTGGATAGTTTTTTTCACATTTCAAACACTAAGTACCATCTTTACATGAAACACAGTTAGCTATACAATTTTAGCAATTAATACCATCATTAAATTAGTTATAATCACATTAAACACATTTTTTCTGTGAACTAATTGAGAGATAGTAGCCATTTTTTGAACATTTTTAGCAATCAAACTATGTTTCTCCGTTGCAAATTTAACAATCCTAGTGACATTACTTACAGATGTGGTTTTTATCAAAGAAATATCTATCATATACACACTCTTTACATTCACTTTATTTTTCACCAGTACATGTTTTGCAATCAGGATGGCATTTTTTACAGAATTTACCGTCTATGTAATAATTTAATGATATGTTACAAGGTTAACAAATATTTTATTCACTTAACTTTAAATTAGGATCTTTGCATTCTGTGCATTCATTATTTGAAGGACCCGTGCATTTAAAACAAGAGCTATCACATGCTTTGCACTCTTAAGTAACCTTGTCAATATAATATCCATTTTACTCATCACATTTCTAACAAATATTACCTAAATCACTCCTCTTATATAAACCATCGCTGCATTGATTGCATTCTTTATCAGACTACCCAAAGCATGTTTTACAAGATTTATTACAATCTAAGCAAGAGTTAGTGTCTTTATCTACATATTTCCCTTTATTAAGATCACATTCTGAGCACTAACCACCATAATCTTTTATTGGGGTACCGATGAAGCTGGAACCAGCAGGGCATTTAAGACACTAATTTTTTTCTTTACCTGAACATGTTTGACAAGAATTATCGCAAGGTCTGCAATTTTTATTATCAATAAAAAACTTTTCATTTGTATTGCATTTAATACATTCGCTTGTGTCTCCATTGAAATAATAGTCACTAATACAGCTTTTACAATCATCCTTATTTGGTCCTTTACATGTAGAACAATATTAAGAACATTTTTAACACTTATTAAATTCATCAGTATATTAGTCTAAATCACAAGTCCCACATTTCTTAGTGTCTAATCTAATACTTAAGCTTGTGTCTTTGCATTTTGTACAATCTGTTTCTTCAGGACCTGTGCATGATTAACAAGAAGAATGACAGGGTTTACAAGTATTTGTATTTGAATCAGCAAATTCAGATTCCCCACAACTCCCACATTATCCATCAGGTTTGAGTGGAAAACCTTTTAAGCACTTTTCACATTTTTCAGGCTTTGAGCATTATTCGCAGTTTTTAGGACAGGTTTAACATTTTATTCCATCATTTGTTTCATTAGTTTTACATTTTTAACAAGTACTATCCTAAATTGAAATAAATTTGTCTGGTAATTTACATTTTAAGCAATTATTATTGTTTGGTCCTAAACAAGTTTCACAATCTTCATGACACATTTAACATTTGTTTTATCCGTCTTTGTAAGTATTGGGATCTTAACATTTTATACAACTTGTATCTTTTCCATCATTACAAGTCTTACAATCTGTATGACATTTCATACACTTCTTTTAACTATCAGTTTCATCTTTGTAATAATTCTAATTGGTATCACAATCTCCACAAGTACTATTTTCAACCATCAAATATAAATTAGGATTAGAACAAGATGAGCATTTATTTGACCCTTAGCCTGTACATGTCTTGCAAGTAGAATCGCATTTTCTGCATGCTGATTTATCAGTATAAAATCCATTTGCTGTTTCACATTTTTAACACCCATTTTCATTTTTTCCATCTAAAAAGTAGAAATCCGTTTTACATTTAGTGCAATTAGATTTATTACACTCTTAACAATTTGCTGGACAGTCTAGACACTTATTATTATCGTCTACATATTTAGCATCCTCTAGATTACATCCTTAGCACTTTCCATTTAAAAAGCTTAAATTTGATTTGCACTTTAAACATTCATTATCTTCTTATCCTGTGCATTTCTAGCAGCTTTTATGACATGGATAGCATCTCTTCACATTATTTTCTTCATTTTTAATAAACATCGAATTCTCTACATCACACACAATACATTTTTTTGAATTTTATTCAAAGATTTATGGGTCATTGCACTCAGTACACATATTCTCAGCCTCTCCATCACAATTTTTGCAGGATGTATGGCATTTTTTACACAAGTTATTGTCATTTCTATCAACAAAAAATCCTTGCTCATCGCATTTTATACATTCACCATTTCTAAAATAATATCCATCTTTACATTTTTAGCATTTAGAAGTATTATCTTTGCATATTAAACAAGAATCATGGCATTTTCTACACTTTTCTTAATCATCTTTAAAATAGCCATTATTTATTTCACATTTGCCACATTTTTTAGTATCTTCCTGGAAATATGTATTTGGAGGGCATTCAGTGCAATTATCTGCATCAGGCCCATTACACTTTTTACAAGTAGAATTACAACTTTTGCATTTATCCTATAAGATATAAAATCCCTTTTCAGTATCACATTTTTTGCATTCTTTATTTTCATTAAAATATAAACCATCTATACATTTCTTGCACTTATCAGCACCCAATTCATCACAAGATTAACAGGTAGGATCACATTTTCTACATTTTGATTTTTTAGGATCTGTTTTATCAATAAACTCAGGTTTATTTGTAGGATCACACTCTACACATTAGTTAGTATCTTCTAAAAAATAAGTATTTTTTTCACATTCTGTGCACTAATCTTCCTTTTCTCCTTCGCAATTCAAACAATTTTTGCTGCAAACTTTACAGAAATTGTCTTTTTTATCTACAAAATGCTTTTAACCACATATTACACATTTTTATTTGCCTTCATTAGTTTTTTAAAATACCATTTAAGTATCACAGGTTTAGCAACTAAATTCATCACCATCTAAACAGGTTTTGCAAGATTCATGACATTGTCTGCATCTTTATTTATTATCTATATATTATTTATCTTTTGTTTGACAGACACCGCATTCATTTGTGTCTTCTTAAAAATATGTATCTTTAACACAACTTTGACAGTTATCTTTATTTGGACCGCTGCAGGTCAAACAAAATTCACTGCAATCATCACATTTATTATTATTAGTTAAATACATTTTATTTGTCAATTCGCATTATACACATTTTTTACTCTTTAAACTGAAGTAATACTTATCAACACATGTAATGCAATTATCTTCAAATAATCCATCACATGTTTGACAATTTTCATGACAGATTTAGCAAACATTATCTTTATCTACAAATTATTTATCTTGGTTACATTTAATACATTATTTAGAACCAGGCTTATAAGAATAATTTTATGCACAAGTTATGCATTCATTTGCTTAGTTTGAGCAAGTTAAGCAGGATTAATCACAATCGTAGCAAAATTTATCTTTTTTAAATAATCCAGCTGACTCATTGCAGGAAATACACTGCTATTTTTTTTCATGTTTAAATAAGCTATCTATACATGTAATGCAAGAAGTTTCATTTTCATCGCTACACTTTTAACAATTAGCATGACAATCGTAGCATCTATTTTTCTTTAAAAATTTCTTATTGTCTAAATCACAAGATCCGCAAACATTTGTATCACCTTAAAAGTAGTTTCCATCAGGACAGTTATTACAATCACTTTCTAAGGGTCCTGAGCATGTTTTACATTTAGTATGACATGGTTTACATATGTCACCATCAATAAATTTTTGTTAATTCAATTCACATTCACCACATATTAAAGTAAAGGAGTCTTTAAATTTACCCTCTATACATTTATCACATTTTTAAGAAGAATCTTTACAAGTTTTGCAAATAGAATCACATTTTTTGCACCTATCATTTTCAATATAGTATCCATTTGCAGTATCGCATTTCCCACAATTTTGAGTTTCTCCAATAAAATAATTTCCAATAGAACATTTCTTACAGTTTTATGAAGACTTTTCGCAAATTTAACAACTTGAATCACACGATTTACATTAATCTCCATCAGTATATTTTTATGAATTCAAATCACATTCACCACATATTTAAGTAGAAGAGTCTTTAAATTTTCCATCAATACATTTATCACACTTTTAAGAAGAATCGTTACAAGTTTTGCAAATAGAATCACATTTTTTGCATCTATCATTTTCAATGTAGTATCCATTTGCAATATCACATTTTCCACAATTTTGAGTATCTCCTATAAAATAATTTCCAACAGAACATTTCTTACAATTTATTGAAGATTTTTCACAAGTTTGACAGGTAGAATCACATTATTTACATTAATCTCCATCAATGAATTTTTATTAATTTAAATCGCAATCTCCACATATTAAAGTAGAAGAGTTTTTAAACTTACCTTCAATACATTAGTCACATTTTTAAGTAGAATCGCTACAAGTTTTACAAATAGAATCACATTTTTTGCATCTATCATTATCAACATAGTATCCATTTGAAGTTTCGCATTTCCCACAATTTTGAGTATCTCCAATAAAATAATTTCCAATAAAACATTTCTTACAGTTTTATGGAGAATTTTGGCAAGTTTAACAGCTTGAATCACATGATTTACATTAATCTCCATCAATGAATTTTTATTAATTCAAATCGCAATCACCACATATTTAAGTAGAAGAGTCTTTAAATTTACCTTCAATACATTAATCACATTTTTAAGTAGAATCATTACAAGTTTTACAAACAGAATCACACTTTTTGCATCTATCATTATCAACATAGTATCCATTTGAAGTTTCGCATTTCCCACAATTTTGAGTATCTCCAATAAAATAATTTCCAATAAAACATTTCTTACAGTTTTATGGAGAATTTTGGCAAGTTTAACAGCTTGAATCACATGATTTACATTAATCTCCATCAAGGAATTTTTATTAATTCAAATCGCAATCACCACATATTTAAGTAGAAGAGTCTTTAAATTTACCTTCAATACATTAATCACATTTTTAAGTAGAATCATTACAAGTTTTACAAACAGAATCACACTTTTTGCATCTATCATTATCAACATAGTATCCATTTGAAGTTTCGCATTTTCCACAATTTTGAGTATCTCCTATAAAATAATTTCCAATAGAACATTTCTTACAGTTATATGAAGATTTTTCACAAGTTTGACAGGTAAAATCACATGATTTACATTAATCACCATCTATGAATTTTTATTAATTCAAATCGCAATCACCACATATTTAAGTAGAAGAGTCTTTAAATTTACCATCAATACATTTGTCACATTTTTAAGTAGAATCATTACAAGTTTTGCAAATAGAATCACATTTTTTGCATCTATCATTTTCAATGTAGTATCCATTTGCAGTATCACATTTTCCACAATTTTGAGTATCTCCTATAAAATAATTTCCAATAGAACATTTCTTACAGTTATATGAAGATTTTTCACAAGTTTGACAGGTAGAATCACATTATTTACATTAATCTCCATCAATGAATTTTTATGAATTCAAATTACAATCACCACATATTTAAGTAGAAGAGTCTTTAAATTTACCTTCAATACATTAATCACATTTTTAAGTAGAATCATTACAAGTTTTACAAACAGAATCACACTTTTTGCATCTATCATTATCAACATAGTATCCATTTGAAGTTTCGCATTTTCCACAATTTTGAGTATCTCCTATAAAATAATTTCCAATAGAACATTTCTTACAGTTATATGAAGATTTTTCACAAGTTTGACAGGTAAAATCACATGATTTACATTAATCACCATCTATGAATTTTTATTAATTCAAATCGCAATCACCACATATTTAAGTAGAAGAGTCTTTAAATTTACCATCAATACATTTGTCACATTTTTAAGTAGAATCATTACAAGTTTTGCAAATAGAATCACATTTTTTGCATCTATCATTTTCAATGTAGTATCCATTTGCAGTATCACATTTTCCACAATTTTGAGTATCTCCTATAAAATAATTTCCAATAGAACATTTCTTACAGTTATATGAAGATTTTTCACAAGTTTGACAGGTAGAATCACATTATTTACATTAATCTCCATCAATGAATTTTTATGAATTTAAATCACAATCACCACATATTTAAGTAGAAGAGTCTTTAAATTTACCTTCAATACATTAATCACATTTTTAAGTAGAATCATTACAAGTTTTACAAACAGAATCACACTTTTTGCATCTATCATTATCAACATAGTATCCATTTGAAGTTTCGCATTTCCCACAATTTTGAGAGTCTCCTATAAAATAATTTCCAATTGAACATTTTGTACAATTTTTTGAAGATTTTTCACAAGCTTGGCAAGTAGAATCACATTATTTGCATTAATCTCCCTCAATATATTTTTATGAATTCAAATCACATTCACCACATATTTAAGTAGAAGGGTCTTTAAATTTTCCGTCAATACATTTATCACACTTTTAAGAAGAATCTTTACAGGTTTTGCAAATAGAATTACATTTTTTGCACTTATCATTTTCAATGTAGTATCCGTTTGCAATATCACATTTTCCACAATTTTGAGTATCTCCTATAAAATAATTTCCAATAGAACATTTCTTACAATTTATTGAAGATTTTTCACAAGTTTGACAGGTAGAATCACATTATTTACATTAATCTCCATCAATGAATTTTTATTAATTTAAATCGCAATCACCACATATTTAAGTAGAAGAGTCTTTAAATTTACCATCAATACATTTATCACATTTTTAAGAAGAATCTTTACAAGTTTTACAAATAGAATCACATTTTTTGCATCGATCATTTTCAACAAAGTACCCATTTGAAATTTCGCATTTCCCACAATTCTGAGAGTCTCCTATAAAAAAATTACCCGAGGAACATTTTTTACAAATATTGGGTTAGTTTGAACAAGATTAACATGTAGCATCACATTCGAGTTTTATAATTTCTCCTCTAATTTGATCATAAATTACTTCTATTAATTATTAAATTTTGTAAAAATTTTAAATAAATACAAATATAATATTACCATCACTTTATAAATTTGGTAATAATTTATAGCATACTCCATACTTAATTACTCCTGAGCAAGAAGATGAAGAAATGCATGTATTTTTATCATAATCATAGACTTCTCCTGGATTACAATCTGCACATTTACTAGCACGACTTGATTTTTCAGTACAGTTTTTGCAATCTTTTAGGCAACACTTTTTAACTCCATCATCAAATGTTACATATTAGTAATTATTTGTGCAGGAGTAACACTTATCACCTTTTTTTGTTATTCTATCTTACATAGAACATCTTGTACAGTTATCTTTAGTATTAGCAGGTTCTAAACAGTTTACCCTTTTTTAAAAATGATCAATTATTACTAATTAAATTATTAAAGTAGAGGTTTACTAAACATCAGATATTTGAAGATTTCTAAATTTTAATATATCAAAAGGAACATTATCATAATGATCTTATTAGAAAAAATTTTAACATTTTTATACCTAAAGTTCTAAAATAAAATAATTTAAATATCTTTGTTAGAAATTTCATAAAATTACTTAAGAAGAATTGTAAAAAAAAATAATATGCAAAGAGTTATAATTTCATTATTTTTTATTTCCTATTTTACTGATTCTTTCAATTTTAATTGATTTTTTTTGATTTTTTTTTTTTTTAATTATAGTTTTTTAGGTATGTTTTAATATGAAAAAAACCCAAAATTATTATTAAATTAGAAACTAATCAATTAAATTTGTTTAATAATAAAAAATAAAATTCAGATATTATATGCATTTAACTAATATATATAATGTTCAGATTTCATTTTGCTTTTTTAATACAAACAATAATAAATTACCATTTAATATAATTAAAAAAAAAATAATATTTAAATGCTAAACTGCCATTTAAAAATCTTTTTACTATGTAATTTGTTGTTTAAATACTAGAATAAATAATGAAATTATTTTTATAGATATAAATAATCTAAAATTGTATACTCTTTGTTTAAGAATAACAAATGCTCAAAAATTTTCTTTACAATATTTTCGAAAAAAAAGTGCTTCAAGAGTTATGTGTAAATAGTAAAAATAACTATTTTGAATGGTTTTTTCTTTAATTCTTAATTTTTAATATCAAACAATAAAAAATTTGCAAGCAGTATTGAACACCTAATTTTATACTGTGATTCTTTTAAATAACTTTAGTAAAATAAAAATAGAAAAATTAAAGTTACAATCAATTTACAAGAGCTGTTCTGTATATGGTTGAAATAATATAAAAGAATAAATATATATTTATTTAAAAGTTAATTAAATTAAGAAAAGTATGTATGTATATCATCGAATGCGTATTTTAATTAATCACAAAAATTTATGAAAGTTAAGCATACAAATAGTAAATATAAATAGTTAAGCTGTTTTCTACCAATATTTAAATTGTAAGCACAAGAAAATACACAATATTAAGAAAAATATCATAAATATTTTAAAAATCGCTGTAAAATATAATTAATTTTTCTTTATTTTATTTAAATTCCATTCTAAATAGTTAAATTTGAAATATATAAAAAGAATAAATTAATCCATTAATTTAATATCCACAGTTGATTATGCAATCTATGATATTAATAAAAAATAAAAAGTAAGTCAGTCACTTGGTCATATAAAAATTATAATATTTCATGCGCTCATTTATTTGGTTATATAATAATAAAGGTGGGCGTGATACAATTATTGTATCTTTTTCATGTAATATTTATAAATTTAAAATATTATTCTATTAAAAATAGCTTAGTAAAATTTATAGCATAAAATAAAAAATTTTTGAATACATTTTGAAATTATTTTTTTAACTAAGAATTGGAATTATAATGTTTGTTTTTCTTTAAATGTATGGCTTTCTACAATATTTAGTATATTTTTGAATAAAATATTTATTCTATAATGAAATTTGAAATATCAATAATTATTTCTATTTTTATATTGAAGATTTATGTATTTTAAAAATAATTTCATCATAAATTGAAAAGAAAATCTATTTAAATAATATAACATTTATATAAAAAATTAATAATAGAATTTAATTTGAGAAGAAGAATTTAACAAAACAGAAATAAATAATGATGTTAATCATGATGACTACGACATCTCAGTTAGTTTAAGAAATTATTCTATTTAAAATAATTAAATGGAAATAAAATATAAATTTATACTTATAATTTATTTTATACTGCATTTTATACTATATGAATTAAATAAATATTTATTAATTTATTTAATTCTTTCATATTATTTTCATGCATTGAAATGAAATATTTCCACTTTAGAAAGTCACCATCAACTGTGAAATTTAGGCACCTACCCCAATTATTAATAATCGATACCAAAAATTTAAGGTATCCAAAATTGACAATTTGAAAAATCTAAACCATTAAATTTTTCATTACTATATTGTTATATCACCAATAAAATAATACACAGTGAGTTTTCACTGCAAGTTTAAGATTTTCATCACTAGAACAAAAACTTAACACATTTTGCACAAATCTACAAACATAAATATTTGTAAACTCAAAACACAGTATTATCTTAAAGTTAAATACAGAATCGCATTTTATACAATTATTATTTTGATCTAAATAATTTCTATTTTATGCATAGCAATCACCACATATGTTTTCTTGAAATAAAAATTTTCCTACACCAAAATGTTTGTATGTACAGATATTTTTGGATTCTTTGTAATCTTATATAAATATTATTGCATTTAAAATATATATCACAGCAGTATTTAAACTTATTTCTTCTTAAATAAATTAAAAATAATCACATTAAATTGAGATTTTTACACTTTTATTGAGTCTAAAATTAGTTCTATTTCATGAATTAAAATAGTATGATAAATTAGTTTTATTGTATCATTTTATTTTACATTTTTTATTACCTTAAGGCATACTCCATACATAATTATACATGAAAAAAGACAAAGAAATACATTTATTTTTATAATTATCATATACCTCTCCTTCTTTATAATCTACTCAAATCAAGCTACTGCCAGTCCTTCATTTTTAAGAAAAGTTTTTTGCAACTCTTTGAATACCATTTTAATCAGCATCTTCAAATTAAAATATGGAGTATTTAGTTCCAGAACTATAGATTAAATCACCTTTTTGTAATTCATAAAATCATAGAATAACTTTTACTGTTAGTTTTTTAATTAGGAGGTTCCAAATAATTTATCTTTTTTAATTAATTTATAATTCTTACAAATGAATTAATTTTATATTATGGAGAATCTTGAAGGCTTCTAAGGATTCTATTATTAATTTTTAGCTTATCAAAAATAATGAATTCAAAATACTTTAGCATCTCCTTAATTATAATCCTTTGACTTTGTGAAAATATTTTATTTAAGATTCAAAGAATTATTTAACTTACTAAAAATAAAAAATATAAATAAAATTAAAGAAAAGAACTGATATTTCATTATTTTTATGCTTTATATTTAGAAAATAATTTTCAATATTTAAGGTATAGATTGTGTTTTTTATTCTAAAAATTATTATCAAAAGATTGTCAGTGTAAAAAAAATATAATTTATTTATTCTTTTTTTTACAAGTTAAATGATTTTTATTAATTAATTAATTAATTAATTTATTTATTTATTATGTTATTAATAAAATAATAAAAGAATTTTTAAGGATATTAAAGATATAAACAAATTAATATATTATTAATGAGATACATAACTTTATAGTATAAAAGTAAGATAAATATATTATATTTCTAAAATATGAAATTAAAGATCTTTTTCTTTCATTTTAACTATGAAAGATTATAAATTTATTAGGATTTCTTAAAGTGTTTAAATATAACAACTATTGATTAAATGAAAATTTAATCAAAAGCAAAGCAAACTAGGTAAGTTAGAGCAATTAAATTGCTTTGGCTAACTTGTTTTGAATTTATTTGGTCAACCATAGACTTAATTATTACATAGTACAATCCTCCAACTATACCAAAAATAATAATGTATTTGATAGTACTGCAAATCAATTTGTTATAAGAATTTAACTTTTAGAGAATTTAACCTAATATCTGCTAAATTATAAATGCCATTAAACCTACAACTATTCCGAATGTAACATGAGCCTATTATTTTTAGAAATATTATGAGAAAAAAATTTTATTTTAAATTATTTATTTACTTAAGAAAATGAACAAATTAATGCCATTTAAATGATTTGCTTCATCCAAATCAATAGACACTTAAGAGGTCTGTTTTATGAGGAGTAAGATTTTTAGCATAAACTAAACAATTCATGATATATCTAGTTATTTAAATATAAATTAGTTTAGAAAAATTAAAGAAAATATTTTTTTTACACAAAAAGATTTGAGTAAAGAGTGTTTATTAGAATCTTGTTTTTAACTAGTTTAAGTTTCATCTAAGTTAGTAGCTGTCTTTTGTGCTAAGCTGTAGTTATACTAAATTGCCTACTCATGCTTGGCTTAGCTTAACTTTTATGGTTTTATTTCGTCAAGTACACCTATTTAAAAATAAAATTTAACAATTATCATAAATAGAAAAAAATTTACTTTCATATTATTTTTTCTTTGTTAAATCAAAATTGGTGATCTAATTTTATAAAGCAAGGCTTTCAAGAGCTATTATTGATTTTTATTGGAGCGAAGGTTAAACAGGGTTAATCAAGGTATTTTATTATTAGACTTCTATAGGATTAACTGATATTGACACATTATTCGGATCATCTTAAAGTATAACGCTTTAATTATTTTATTAATATCTGTTCATGTCGACTAAAGTGCCTATTTAATTTAAAAATAAAAATTTTATTAAATAAAATACAAAAATATATTTTTTACTTTCATTTTACACTTTTTAGACTTAAGAATTGTCTAAGTTCTAAGCAGTTTTTAAGTTATTCTACGTTCTCTAAAGAACAGATGTGTGTAGATAGCTTACCTTTTGCATAGGGATTACTCTAAAAGAATCAAGTTGGTCAAGTCTGAAACCAACAAACAGGAGTATGCCTTAGGCTAAAGTTGTGAACATGATTGCATAGAAAAAGCCATAGTTTTTAACATCAGAAATACTTACTGAAGATTTTACTGACTTAACACATTCAAATACAGAGTCTTCAACGAATTCAAATCCTTCCATACATTTACAAGAGTTTTTATCTTGCTAGATAGCATTTGGTCCACATGAAATTTCGCATTCAATTAAACTTCCTTCTACTAATTTGAAGTTATTGTGACAAGAGCATTTATCTAATCCTTAAACTTTTGAGTTTGCTCCACAAACTATTTGGCATGATCTTTTAGATTCTTTTGTAAACTCGTAACCTACTAGACATTTACATGAATGCTGAGACTCTTTCTCTGAGTTTTATTCGCAAGCAACTTCGCACTCTGTTTTGGATATTTAATTAAATCCATATTCACATTCACATTTATCAGGACCTGAATTTTTAGCAAACTTGCCACATGAGAGCTCGCACTTGTTAATAGAGTTTTCAACAAATTTGTAACCTTCTAAGCAAGAACAAGTATTTTAATCTATCTTTTATGAAAATTGAATGCATTAAATTTCGCATTCAGTTTTAGAGCCTGAAATAAAATCAAAATCTTGTTTGCACTAACAACTATTTAAGTCTTTGTTTGAAGCGTGAGCACCACAATCTAGTTAACATTAAGTTTTTGAATTTTTAACAAAACTATATCCATCATTGCATTTGCAGGTATCTATATCCTATTTAGTGGAATTTTCTTTGCAGCTGATTTAGCATGAGTTTTTATCACCATTTTCAAATTCATATTCATCAGAAATGCACATACATTCAGCAAAAGATTTGTTTTTCGCGTTTTTACCACACTTTATCTAACATTAAGTCACTGAATTCTCTACAAATTCATATCCTGTTTTGCATTTGCATGAATTTTCGTCAACTCTCTCTGCATTTGAGCCACAATTAATTTCACAATCAACTTTTGAATTTTCTTTTAAAGAGAATCCTTACTTACAAGTACAGCTGTTAATTCCTGAATTTTCTGAATTTTAACCACATTTAATAGCACAAACAGATTTTGAATCTTAGTAAAACTGGTAACCACTTAAACATTTACAGCTATTTCTATCATTTCTCTCTGAGTTTTCGCCACAAATTAATTCACAGTCTCTTTCACTTCCAGATTCTTTAGCATAGCCTGCCTTACATTTGCATTTATTAATGCCATCATTTTCAGCATTTTCTCCACAAGTTATTGAGCAAACTGTTTTGGAGTCTTAATAAAACTAATAACCATCTTAACATTAACATGTATTTCTATCCTTTCTAACAGAATTTTCTCCACAAATTATCTCACAGTCTATATCACTACCATGTACTTAACTAAAACCAGGATTACATTAGCATTTATTAGGATTTTCATTTTTAGAATTCTCACCACACTTTAATTAGCAATTTGCACTTGAACCTGGAATTAGCTCATAATTTTCTATGCAAGAACATGTATTTCTATCTTTTGGTTTAGCATTTAAACCACAAACAACTTCACATTCTTTGTTTGATCCATCAACGAATTTATATTCTTCACTTTTACATTTACATTTTTCAGAATCAGCATTAATCGCATTCTCCCCACAGGTTATTTGACATTCAGTTTTTGAGTTTTCTTTGAATTAATATCCATTTTCACATTCGCATTTTTCAGGATCAATTTATTTAGCATGAGATCCACATTTAATTTGGCATTGAGTGTTTGATCCTTTTTCAAATTCATACCCATCTAAGCATTTGCATGTATTTTAGTCAGATTAAGTTGCATTTTTTCCACAAATTATTTAACATTCTGTTTGAGAGTCTTTTTAGAATTCATAACCAGGTTTGCACTAGCAAGTGTTAGAATCAACATGAATTGTATTTTAGCCGCATTCTATTTCGCATGCTGTATTAGATCCTTCAATAAATTTAAAGCCTTTTGTACAAATACAAGAATCAGCATCTTTTTAAGTTGCATTTAATCCACAAATTAAATGGCAGTTAATATTAGATGGGACTGAAAATTCATAGCTAGGACTCTCACATTCGCAAGTATTTGCATCTTTTCTTATTGCATGAGATCCACAATCAATTTGGCATTAATTAGAGGAAGAAGGAATAAATGTAAATCCTTCTTAGCATTTACAAGTATTTTCATCAACTCGTACAGAGTTCAAATTACAATCTATTTAACAATCAGTTTTTAAAGCATTGCTAAATACATAGTGAGGATTACATTCACAGCTATTTTAATCTTTAAATTTAGAGTTCTTTCCACATTTAATTTAACAAGTATCAAATGAGTTTTACTAGAATTCAAATCCTTCATTACACTCACATAATATATCAGATATCTTTTTTGAGTTGCTTCCACAAACTAATGAGCAAGTTTCACCTTCAGGACAGTCAGGTAAACAAATTTATTAACCATCTTGTATTTTATACTAGCATTAAACGCATTTATTGATTTATTCTTTTTTGATGTAACCTTACTCGCATTTGCTTACACACTAATTATTCTAATCAAAGAAATAATTTGATTTTTTACATGCTATACAATCCTTATTTGAACCCCCAGAGCATGTTTAACAATCTTCATGGCATTAATTGCATCTTTATAAAACTTTATCTATAAAGTTAGAAAAATTTAAGTTATTAAAAAGTTATTTAAAAATAAAAAATCTTACCATAATATTCTCCTGGTGCACAGTAAATACAAATACCTTCTACGTTAGTATAACTATCATCGCATAAAGTACAATTTTTAGAGTCATCGCAATTAATACAATTTTTACCGCAAGGCTCACATTTTTTCTGATCAACATTCATGAACTATCTCTCTGGACATCTTGAACATGAGAAATCTTTTTATACGGTTGCTAGACTATCTGAGCAGGTTAAGCAACTTTGCTTTGTTTCTCCAAAGCAAGTTGAACAATCACTATGGCATTTTAAGCATGTTTTTTCACAAGTTTTTGTAGTTGAGAATTTAGTATTAAGTGATTCTAAATCTGATTGCTTACAGATAAATGCAGAAGAATCAGAGCAAGTTAAACATTGTGTTGCTGAAGGTCCATTACAAGTAGCGCAATCTAAATGACATGATTAACATTTATTAGTACCATAATCTACATATTAATTCTTATCACATTCTCCACATATACTAGAATCCAAGCGAATATAATGAGATGCATTTTCACATTTAGTGCATTGATTTTAGTCTGGACCTGTGCAGACGGAGCAATCTGAGTGGCAGTCTTAACAATTATTACTGCTATCATAGAATTATTTTGCATCACATAACCCACAAGTTTTATCTTTTCTCAAAAAGAAAGTATCTGAGCATTTTGTACATTGAGTATTATCAATACATTCTAAACAATTATTTGAACATGGGAGGCAGTGATTGCTTGCATTTATGTAGAACCCATTACTAATTTTGCATTCCACGCATAAATTTAAAGAATTAAAGCTGAGTTTATCTTCACATTTAATACATGAATCAGCCGTTTTAGATGAGCAAGTTTTGCAAGAAGCATCACAAGGATAACAAATTTCATCTTAGGTGAAAAAATTGTTGTTAATATCACATTCTTCGCACTTATTAGTGAGTTCATTTCTTTTAAAGTCGTTTTTACATGTAAGGCACTTATCTTCTGTTGCTCCATTACAAGTATTGCAAGAGTCATGACATTTAATGCATTGGTCTCCATCAACAAAATATCCAACTGTAGGGCATACTTAGCACTTTCCATCTAACTTCTTAAGATCACCTTTACACACAGTGCACTTATCTTCACCTTTATCAGTACATTATTAGCATGTTTCATGGCAAATAAAACAATTCAAGCCCTAGATAAATTGTGCTTGTTCTACTAAGCAAGGCTTACATAATTTATCTTCATGAATATATTCATTAGGATCTGAACATTAAATACATTTACTTTCTTAATTTCCATTACACTTTAAGCACTTTTCATGGCATTTCTCACATTTGTTAATTGTACCATCTACTCTAAAGACTTTATTTTCTGTGCATTCTCCACATGAGTTATCATCATAAAGATATTTACCATCTAAACAAGATAAACATTAGTTTTAAAGTTTACCATTGCAGGTCTAACATGTACCATCACATTTTTAACAAACTTCAACTTTTCCGTTAAGAGGACCCAAGAAATAGCCAATATTCTAACACTCTTAGCAAGTATTATCTTCCATGAATTTTTTACCATCAGCACAAACAACACAGTCATGTTCAGTTTCCCCTAAGCAAGTTTTGCATGAGTCATTGCATTTCAAGCATTTATTTTCATGATTTTTGAAATATCCAATAACAGGGCAAGGAATACATAGACCATCTATTTTGTCATAGTTTTCTTCACAAGTTATACAATCTGTTTTGTTTTCACCTTTGCAAGTTAAGCAAGAAGAATCGCAGTTAGAACAATATTTATTATCTTTGATAAAGAATTTAGTGTTTGGACATATTGAACATTTAAGATCCTTATCAAAGAAAAAATTGTCTAGACAAACTTCACAAGAAATTTAATCGTTACAGACTTTGCAGTTCTCTACACACTTCAAACAATTACCATCTTTTTTGAAATAACCAAACTCATTACATTCTCCACATGTTCCATTTTCATATAAAAACTTATCAGGAGAGCATGCTGTACAAGAATTATTTTTCTCGTTAGTGCATTTTAAGCAAGAACCATCACAACTCTTGCAAAATTCTTCTTAAATAAAATAATTTTCTGTTGGGCAATCTTAGCAAGTATTATCTGGCTTTCTGTGGAGACCTTCTTTGCACTTTGTGCAAGTATCTTTACCTTTTCCTGAGCAGTTGTTACAAGAAGGATCGCAATCATAGCACTTATTGTCACTTGGATCGATATATTTATTTAGAGTTAGGTTACAGCCTTCACATAAATCAGTGGTAGAATTCTTATGCAATCCATCAGCACATATTATACATTATGATTTATCTTTTCCACTACAAGTCTTACAAGAATCATCACATTTATAACACACATTATCTTTCAAGAAATGACCATTTTCAGTGTCACAATTACCACAAGTGTTATCTTCCATCAAAACTAAACTACCTTTACAACTCTTACAATTGTTAGATTAATCACCAAAGCAAGTTTTACAATTATCATTACAATTAGTACAAATATTATTATTAGCAGCATTCACAAATACACCATCTGCTTCATGACATTCCTTACATTCTAAATTAGGGTGCATGTACAAGCCATCCTTACAAAGAATACAGCCATCTATGTTACCTCCATTTTTACATGTTTTACAAGAGCTATGACAAGCTTTACAATGTTCTCCATCAATATAAAATCCATTATTTATATCGCAGACATTACATAGGTTATTTAAATCTATTTTCTTATCATGTTTGCATTTAGAACATGCTGTATTCTCTGATGAATTGCAAGTTTAACAAGAATTATCACATTCTTAGCATTCTGTATTGCTGTTAGCAATAAAGAATCCATTACTTACATCACAATTACCACATGTTTTGTTTTTAAATAAATAGATATTATTTTTATGGTCACACTCAGTACAATTTGTAGGATTATCAATACATTTCACACAATTTGGATTACATTATTTACAAACTCCATTTTCTACAGAATTATCTACATAGTAACCAACATCAGGACACTTTTTACAAGTATTATCTTCAAATTTCGTAAGACCATCTGCACAAATAATACAGCCTTTATCTGTACTATCAGAACAAGTCTTGCAGCTTGTATCACATTTTATGCAATCAGTTCCAACTTAAGAAAATCCTGTATCTGTACAAGGAACACATTTTCCTTAATATTTAAATAGATTTTTTGTACAAGTAAGGCAACTTATTTCTTTATCATCGGAGCATGTTTAACAAGTGGCATGACAATTTTAGCAAATTTAGTTAGAGTCAAGATATTTACCATTTTTAGTATCGCAATTTGAGCAAGTTCCATCTTTTAACAGAGTAAAAGTATCTTTACATTCTGAACATGTGGTAATAGGATTGTTAGTAGAAATAGAAAATGAGCAGGTTTTACAGTTTTCAATACATGGAATGCAAACTCTTTCATCATTTGATACAAAACCGTCTCCACATGATTCAGAACATGTTCCATCTGGCTTTAAACTTTTTGGGCTTGCGCAAATAATGCATTTATCATTAGCATCGCATTCTTAGCAATCGCTTACTGAGCATTATTGACAATTATTACTAGAATCTAGATAATATCCACTTCTTGTAGGACATTTTACACAGTTAGCACTTAAATTTTAGTCATCTTTTTTAACATAAATTACTACACTTCCTTTAGAGCAGGTTGAGCAACTACCACTTGATGCATCAATATATTTAGGAGAGTCACAAGATTATGCTGAGCAGAAATTTGCTTTATTTCCTTATTTAACATATTTACCATCACAGTGAGTACATTAATTAATTTAATTATTTGTACATTTTCTACAACCAGATACACAATCTTGACATTTATCTTTTAACATAAACTTTCCTTATTCAGTATTACATTCTGTGCAAGTCTTATCTGATTTAAGCGCAAATCCATAATAACACGAGTTACAATCTGTAGCATTACTGCAGGTAGCACAAGTATCTGCACATTTAGTACAGACATTCTTATTCAAAAAATATCCATTATTGGTATCACAGAATTAGCAACTATTATCAGGGTATTTATCATAACCAGAGGCACAAGTTTGACACTCTAATCTACCGACCCCATTACAGGTATTGCATGATCTATGGCATGCAATACATGTTTATTTGTCATCAACTTATTTGATAAAAAATCCAGAAGATGGACATTAACATTTGTTTGAGTTTAATTAGAAACCGTTTGAGCATTCAGTACAATTATTATTTTTTGGGCCACTGCACTTATTACAAGATTCATCGCATGCTTTACAGTTATCTATTCCACTTACTGTTTATTTAAAAAAGCCTACCTCAGGGCAACCTGTCTTGCATGTTGAGTCAGGATAAAGATAATCTCCTGTTTTGCATTTCGTGCAAGCTGTAGCATCTGGAGAAGTACATTTTAAACAAGATTAATGGCATTTTTAACAGACTGAAGAGGAATCTAAAAACCAACCATTTTCCTTATCACACAACGCACAAGTACCATTAACTTACCTATCTAAGGTATCTGCACAAGTCAAACAATTATTTTCACCAATATCACTACATGTATTACAAGATGCATGACAAGCAACGCATTATCCACTTGGATTCATAAAAAATTTAGTAGAAGGACAAATACATTTTTTAGAAACAGGATCTATTTAAAATCCGTTCTTGCATGAAATACATTCATTTTCTTGAGAACCACTGCATGTTATACAACTGCTATGGCAAGCTTTACATCTTGTTTAGCTATTAGCAGCTGCAAGAGTATAGAATCCATTTAATGTATCACATGTACTTTTACAAGAATCGTCATCAAATATAAATTGTCCATCAGGGCATTTCACTGCACAAACAATTTAGAAACTTTAATCTTCCTCACAACCTTATTTACATTTACTAGGGCATTCAACACAGTTGCCTTCTTTAGTGAAAGTGTATTAATTAGGACAAGCTTTAACACAAGTTTTATCAGGCATTTAAAAGAGATTATTTTTGCACACTGAACATTTTTTAGTGTCATCCTAACATTCTTAACACGAGTCATCACATTTGGTGCAATTATTACTACTATTTAAATAATATCCATTTTTGGTAGGACATGGAATGCATAGAGAGGTCGGTATTTAATTTGTAGGGTGAGTGTAGATTAGTTATATTAAATTTCCTTTTGAACAAGACTAGCAGCTACCTGTTGAGGAACTAATTGAACTAGGAGTACTAAAATCTACATACATACCATTTGATGCTTAACAACTTGAAGGGGTATATGATCCATTGCATTTTCTTTTATTGCTAGTGCCACTAGGAATTGTGTTTTTATCAACACAACTTATGCAACCACTCATACTATTATTAATACATTTACGACAACCTGAAGCACAGTCACTGCATTTACCTGAATTCATGAATTTTCCATCTTCTTGATCACAATCTGTATCACATTTTCCTTTATTTAATCCTTTACCGAGTGGACAGCTTTGACAATTATCTTCATTAGGACCATTGCATGTTAAGCAGCTACTATGGCATTTTATACAGATATTAGATTTGTCAGTAAAATACCCATTAGAAGTATCACAGAATTAGCAGGTATTGTCTGGGAAGAGTGAATAGTCAGATTTACAAGTGAGGCATTAAAATTTTTTAGGTCCAGAGCAAGAATCACAATTCTAATAACATGTTTTACATTAGCCATCTAACAAATCTAAATAATATCCAGATACATTTGTGCAAGTGCATTTTTTAGATTACATCTAAAAGTTATTTCTACAAACTTAACAGTTTGCTTCAGAGTTTGAAGTGCATTATAGGCAGGTTGGGGCACATGCTAAGCATTGGTTATTTTTTTAATAGAAACCATTTTTAGTATCACATCCTTCTTTGCACTAGCCATCATCATAAACGAATGCTGTAGGTGAATTGCAAGATAAACATTAATCTTTTTAATTATTGTTACAGGTTTTACAGGTGGGATCACAACTTTTACATATAGAATCAGTTTTATCTAAATAGAATCCATTCGAAGTATCACAATCACCACATATTCCTTTTTCATTTTTGTATTATTTAGCCTTGCAAGTCAAACACTAATCTTATCCAACTTTATTACAAGTTTGACAATTAGGACTACATGCAATACAAATTCCACTACCATCTAAGAATGACCCGTTCTAAGAATCACATTCACAAATCCCTGTGGAAGAATTTTTATTATATTTTTTTCTACATACAGTGCAATCAGTTTGATTCTTACCATTACAGCTTTAGCAATCAGAGTGGCAGGCATTACATCTGATGGAACTTGGAACTTTATAGAATCCATTATTTTCATCGCAGGAAGGTCCACAAGAATCATCTTCCATTAAAAATTGCCCAGGTGGACAGGAGACTGGACAAACAAGGGATAATTTATCACTACCTAATTCACAGGTAGATGAGCATTTAGCTGGACAAGCCATACACGATTTACCAACAACCCTATTATTTCCTTTGCAATCTGTAGCTGCTTAACATTTTTTGAGAGTAACAAACCACAATTAATCAGTAGGGCAAGGCTCGCAAACATACATATTTGGACTACCACCACTGGGACCAAGAAGTTAACCTAAGCAATCATCTTTTTTTATGCATTTACTACTATCTTCATCATAAGTATCTGTACTACCAGTACAATTAGGACATCTGTTTTTGGAAGTGCAGATCTTACTAGGACAAGGATTTGGACCAGGATAGGTATAGCAGCATCTGTCAACACCACCTGCACTAAACTTTAAAGTTCCTTTACATTATTAGCATTAGCCGGGAGTTTTTTCATCTAGACGTTTTGTTACATCACAAAGGATGCAATTATTGGCTTTTGGACCATTACATTGCAGACAGTTAGTGTTACAATCTGAACATGAAGAACCACTAAGATATTATCCATCAGGGCAAGTAGTTTATAAATTTCTGAATTTATGTGTAAGATCATTTGTGTTTATTCTATTTTTCATAAGAGAATTTAATAAAAATTATTGAAAAATTGGATTTTTACGTTATATGTGAGATTTATTCTATTTTAATTTTTGATTGAATAGAGGATATTTTTAAATAAATATTTTCATAACCATTAGATCTTACAGAGAGTTTAACTTGATAAGATTAACCAGAAACATAGTCTTCACTATATATTCTCTCTAGTTCTACTTTTTCAGCTTGAAGTAGGTTTTCATCTAAATTTTAAGTCAAAAGTCTATCAATTGAAAAAAAGCCAGAATGTCTATAATTTTATGAATTAACTTTAGAATAAAATATTTATGAATTTCTTTTTTACTTGAAACTCTTCAACGGAAACTCTATTAAAAAGCTAATATCAATGTCTCCATTATTTTGACTCTACTATTAAAATTACGAAATCTGCAAAATGACTTATCCCTCCAGACCTATTTCATATATATTGTATTGTACATTATGGTTTTGCTGGGTAGGAGAATCTATCATCCAGTGATCATGCCCAACATATTAGCTAGATAATCTTTATACTGTTAAAAATAAATTCTTTAGATAAAAATTTACTCACTATTACTAAGTGTATAATTTAAACAACTTATAAATTAAAATGAAAATTTATTTATGAAAGTAAAAAAATGAAGTGAGAAAATGGCTAAATCTGCTTACTTGATTAGCAAAATAGGTAAATAAATAAAAGCCAATTTGTAGTTAATGCCATAGGTTTAAGTGAAGTAATAATAAAGCTGTTTTATTTAAAATGTGATATTTATTTAGTTGCTACTATACTTACAAATAAGAAAATTAATTAATTGTCTTTTTTTCGCTTTTCTTATCACTTTTAATTGATTTTAAATTAATAATTATTTGCTTAAATAAATATAATTATTGCATTTCTACTATACTTAGCCAGTTAATCAAAGTACTTTGTATTTAAAGTATAAATATAAGTAAGATAAATGTAAAAATGATTAGCAATAATAAATTATTACTCTAAGATCATTCTATTTATTATCATTCAAAATAGATATGCCTACACATCTTCTATCATAGTTCTTATAATTTGATCATAAGTTATTTGAATAAATAGAACATTTAAGAATTTCGTATACATAGAATAAAAAAATTAAAAATAATTATTTTAACAGACCAATAAATGAATGAGTAATTTAGATAAAACAAATAAATTCACTATCAAATTTTATTTTCCTTTCATCAAATTATTTCGAAAATCCCCCTCCAAATTTTCTATCGTTTATTATAATCAGTAAATATCAATTAAAATTTAATGCTTTTTGTATGAAATATTCTGACCTTTAGAGTCTAATAAGAAATTAATTTATATCTAAAATATTCAATTGGTTGATTGGATAATAACGATTTTAATTAATTATCCTAATTACAAAAAATCTGATTGATCTAAAAGTACTTAACTCTTAATTTTTTCATTATTACTATATCTATTTTATCAAATTTGCTTCATCCTACTAAAAATATTGAGAGCAAAAATAAATAATTTGTGTTTTATGAAATCTTAAAAATCAATAAAATTGATAGCATTAGCACCTTAGACAAAAATTTAAAGTTTTATTCAATTAAAATAGTGTATCCTAAGTATTAATAAAACAAATAAATTAAAAGAATACATAATATTTTTGTAATATTTGTAACTTTAAATGTATTCTAAAAATAGCTCAGTAAGTAATAGCAAATATCAGTTGAAAAAGTAACTGTAATACTTTTTACTCCAATTCTAATGTTGAAAGGTGTTTTATAAAAATATTTACATTAAAAATTATGTTTGTATTATTTAAATTTTAAATGAGAATGTAATAAAAATAATATACTATTTACTTTATGTATTAAGTTAGAACTTGATATGTAAATTACAAATTTTTGTGGATTTCAATTCAAAATCTCATCAGGTTCGGCAAAATTAAACTAATGAGTATGGAGGGGTTTCTAATTTTTTTGAGAAGTTATCATTTATTCATTTATGCCTATTTAAGAAAAAAAATCAGAAAATTTCTTTTTTGGAAAAGTAAAGTCACCTAATGCAAAATATATATCGTTAGATACCTTTCAAGCTTTTAATAAACATTGAATGCTAGATTTAAAAAGTTAAGCTTATTATTAGTATCAACCAGTTTATATAATTATTGGATGACTTATTGTCTTTAGATAATGTGTAATACTTTTGTTACAATATTTAATTAATACCTAAGTAAAAGTATTAAACAAAAAAGTGATAGAGCTTTTTTTTCTAAACAAAGAAATAAAAATTTAGTATTAATCGCATATACTTACTTACTAATTATTTATATTAAAAACGAGAGTTTCCAGATATCAAAAATGTATAAGAAATAATAATAATATGCTCTAATTAGAACTTTAATAGAACAATTTTTTTTATAAAAAATAATCATGACTTAAATCTTTATTCTTATCGATAACATCGATTTTTTTTTTCTGTCTCTAAAAATATTTTAAAATAGTTTCTAAATAAATTTTAGCTAAAATTTTAATCTTAATTTTATGATTTAACTCTCAATAAAGTCTAAAAAACAAATAAAAAATTTCTAAGTCTTCCATTTTCCAAAAATTGTTAATATATTTTCAATTGTATTACTGCTTACAAGCTTATAAAGTAAAAACATACTTTATATTTATCTATACCCTACTATTACTTTAATTTCAATTTACTTGTTCATTTTTAATCTAATTTTGCTATGGCTAATGTAAATTACTTAATATATTTAAATATATGTATTATTAGTAATTTCAAAATGATAGCTAAATAGAAAATTTGAATATTTCCTATTCTTAATAATCATAATAATGGCATCATTACTTTTTAAATTGAAATAATTATTCTTCTTCTTTTTTAAAATTTCATGATTGTAATAAGATTGTGGGATTTTTAATTTTTCTTTCATAGATTTTAATTGATTTTTGTGAAATAAAACTAGTGGTTTTTAAAATCAAGATAAATTACAAGCCAATCAAAAATAATTAGTTATAGTTAGTCCAATTTATTTTTTATTTTGCTGTTTGATTTTTATTTGAGCTATTTTAATATCTAATAATAATAAATATTTTAATATAAATTTAGATAAAACCTATAAATAATTTTTCCAGAAATTAAACAAATATATTATAAAAATATAAAATATTTAACATTTTGATAGAAAGTGAATGTAAAACCTAATAATCAATTTATGAATAAATTATTTATAAATAAAAACATTTTAAATTTAAAGTAAAAATACTTGATAAAAATATCATATTAAATAAAAGATATAATGATTCCTTTGCAAACTAAAAAAATAATGATTTTTTTCTTCCATTTTAAAAAAATATTTATATTATTTTCTCTTCAGTAGAAATGATTATTTATTTTTAGCAAGATGTTATTAAATAATTGATCTTTTTTGTATTTTTAATTTTCTTATTTATGAAATGATCTTATTACTAATCTTAGATTTTTACTATTACTATTATATTTAATAAATTGATTGATAAAGTAATTTTATAGTTTTTTAATGTAAAATAAAAGTGCCAAATTAATAAAAGAAAAAATGTTAAACAATAAAAAAATGTATTCCATAAATTTAAATTTATAAAACCATTAAATTCTGTAGAAAAAAAAAGTAATTATTTTATTTCGTTAAATTATTTAATAGTTGATATAAATAAAATATATTAAAGTATTCATAAATTATTTATTGGAATGAATTGAATTATTATATTTTAATGGATTGATATTTTTAAATCAGGTGGAAAATAAAACAATACCTGTTAAATAATCTATTAAGTTAAATTACAAAATAATATCATAAATTAAAAATTCTTCTCTATATATTTTTAATAATGCTTTTTTCTCCAAAAAAAATGCTCACAATTTATAAAATAAATTTGTTCAAATAAATATAAGATAACTTGATTTTATCATCTAAGATTTATAAAAAAATGTCTGATTAGGTTTAAAATTCTTTTGGAAATATTGTTTTCTTATTTATAATCTTCTATATAAATATATTAAATTGTTATTTAAAATAAGATCAAGCATTATTTTATTAAAGCACTTTTTAATTATTTTTTTTATATAAAAATTATTCAAAGTTAAAAGTAGAATTAAATAACACATTTTCGTTAATCAATAAAAACTTAACAAAATAATAATGATTAATACAAACTAAGGATAAAAAAGTAGCTTTTTTATGCTGACTGACTTGTTCGGTACAGCTGTAAGCATTAGATATAATAAAAAAGAAAGCTTCAATACTAGATTAGGTGGAATTGTTAGCTTATGTCTTGGAATTATATTGTTATTGTATGTTGCCAATATACTTTAAATTTATATATCGCATTCATAGGTCTAGGTTATATAGGAGCTGAAAAATATTTAAAATTTGAGTTCTTTCAACTTAACAGTTGATAACTTTTCTTTTATGGTAGGTGTAACTGATATATACTACAATACTTTTATTGATAACTCCATTTATACTCTACAAGCTACTTAGATTATTTAAATAAGAGAACTTAATTAAACAACAGGATTATATCAATAAAGCATTAAGATGATTCCTATTGAGCTTGAATAATGTACTAAAGATCATTTTCGTATTGATGGCACACAGGATTATTTTACAAAATAGATCTATAATAATATGTTCTGCTTCAAAATGGATTAAGTCATTTAGTTAGAAGGTGACTATAACTCCCTATCATTTAAGGAATTGTAAATAGAAATGTTTGAATGCTAAGGAAGCACTTGCAAAAGTCCTGATCAAGTAAAAAGGAGGTTAAATAACTGTTATCTGCAGGTTTATTTCACAGATAAGAATATCATCTCTACAAATCTTTAAAACCCTATTTAAAACTTTGCAAAATCTAATTTTTATATTGCAGGAAATGATTTTTCTAAAACAATAAATTTGTATATGCTTTAAAATTTGATTTCTTCAGAAGTTGGAGTATTATTTGATGATATAAAAAATAGACTAGAAATTACTTACAGCGGAGATAGAGAATCAGTCGTTTCTAGGACTACCAATCGAATCTTCCTTTTACAAATGACACTGTAGCCAAGCAAGTAAATGAATTATTACAGAAAGTACCTTTCTTTATCACAAGTTCTTTCATAAATAGGAGGTATCTATAATATTTTGTTTGCTATAGGATGCTTTGTATGCAGACCTTATGCTTAACTATAGTATAAAAAGAATTTAATTAATACTGTTTTCGGTTTTTAGTATATCAATAATGATTAGTAAATATAACAAAATTAATTTAGCTGTATTGAAAAGGAAAATGACCAAAAGGTATAAAAATTATTTTAAACTAATATAAATAACTCTTAAATAGAACATGACAAGTCTATTTAGTCAATCAACTTAAAAAACAAAGCATAATCATAACTTTAATCAGAGAGCAATAATCTTGTGAATAGTAACAAGAATATAATAACTAACTCTAAGAATAGCTAAAATTGTAGCAAAATAAACAAAAAACTAAACAAATTTTAAATATCATAATGCTAAGACTATTAGAGCAATACATTTGAAGTAGAAAAAAATAATAAGTAAACAGAAAACGCTAAAAATGAAATTGTTTTGAAAGATTTTTTTAAATAGACATTTGATGAGCTGAAATTAAATACATGTGACTATTTCAAGTATTATTTAAGCTGGTTTATCTGTAAAAGAAAAAATAAGTCTTAAATTATAGACTATAGTCTTTAGAAGTTGTACAATCATTTAGATATTTATTATATTATGAACAAATTAATAGAATTTGAAAAATTAAAAAGACTTTTGCTAACTGAAAATTAATTAAAGCTTTTTGATTACATTCCAAAACCCATCTTTAATATTGATAATGAAAACCAGCTAATTATTTAAAATGACTAGGATGAATCAAATACAGGTATATTATATGAAGATAATAGATCACTGCTTAAAAAAGCTGAAGAAGCTTAAGAAGCGTATAATAACTTAATGAGCAATCCTCATAGATAACTTTTAGATGAAAAGCTAATTAGCTTTTTACATCCAAAACTTGTGTGCCTTTTAAATGAAAATTCTTTTGATAAACTATTAATTAATTAAGAAAATCTAAGTAAGTTGAAACTCAGAAAAAGTTTGTTTACTCCTTTAGGAAAATTTAAAACAAATACTAATGTTAATTCAGCTTCTAGAATTGATTTTATATAAAATAATCGAATGTTCTCAGATAATTTAGTTTAGAGTTGTGAAAAAAGCAGTTATATAGATAATGAAGTTGTATTTGAAGACAATAAGATTTTCGATATTGATTTTGATTTAGATAAAAATAAATTAGACGAATATCAATCCAATTTTAATACAATCTCTATGATAAATTAGTAATAAAAAAAATTTATAAATAAAAACGAAGTCTAAAATGAATGAATTAATTAATTATTCATCCCATCAAACTTTAAAGATGTCCAACATCTCATAATTTTTACTTATTAAGCAATGTGTCTATTAAATATTAATTTATTTTATGTTTTATAAAGTTTTTTGAACAAATTTCTTTTTAAATAAGAATTCAAAAATATTTTAAAAAAATTTTTATTAATTCTAAAAAGTATAGTTTTAATTTTAATTTAATTTTTTTAAGATAAAAGAAAGAATTACTTCTAAATATTTTTAACTAAATTTATTTTATTAAAATATAACACTCTATATCAAAAAATAAATTATCCACTCTAAATAAACTAAAAATTATTTTTTAAAAATATATGTATTATTTGAGCAAATATTATCATAAAATTATAATATGGCTTAAAAATTAGTGATTTCTAGCCAAGAAGGAATGCTTTAAAAAATTAAATATTTTTCAAATTTTTAAAGATGAGATAAATACAAAATACCAAATTAACTTTTTACAAGTATTTTTGCATAATTATTCATTTATTTTTAAAAATTCAAACATTATTAAATGGACTGAGTTATTAAAATAAAAAAATAATTAAAGGAAGATCAATTTTATCAACCAATCAATCAATAATCCTCTTTTTCAATTTTTTAATAAAATTTCTACTTTTTAATTTAATAATTCAATTTTTTCCTTTTCATTTTTTCTTTTTTGTTCTACTTTAGAAAAGTTTATAAAAAAATAAGCTTTAAATACAAATAAATTTATCAAGTAAATCACTTACTAACTAACTCTTAAATAAATTAGATAGAAAAGAAAGAATTTTGTAGTTTAAAAAGTGAGGTTTTGTGATAATAAGTATAATTAATTTCAGATCAAAGTAGAAATAAAATTTTGGTAAATTCTAAATTCAATAAAAAACATGATAAATTAAGAAAAAAATCAATAAAAAAATAACTTTTTTGAGTTATCAGATTTGTTTGGTTCTGCTGTAAATATTAGATACAATAAGAAATAGAATTATAATACTTCTTTTGGAGGTTTTGTAAGCTGCTCTTTATCAGTTGTGCTAATTTTATATATTTCTAATATCCTAAAAATTTATTTATCGCATTAATAAGTTCAAGTTATATAAGAGTTATAAAATGTCTAAAAACTTGAATAATTTAATCTAACTGTAAATACTTTTTCCTTCATGATTGCTATAACAGACATTAACTACACGAGTTTTATAGATAACTCGATTTACACTTTAAAAGTTACATAAATTACATAAAAGCGTATTCTTAATTAAACATCAGGTCAATATGATCTGAAAATCACTCATACTCCTATTAACATGGAAAGGTGTACTAAAGAACATTTTCTTATAGATGGAACTTAGAGTTATTTTTTACAATAAGATTATGATCATATGTATTGCTTTAATAAGGATTCAGTATTATATTTGGAGGGAGATTATAATTAGCTTGACTATAAGTAGCTATAATTCGAAGTGCTTGAATGCCAGGGAACTAATTGCAAAGATTAACAATCAATTAATCATAAATTAAATAATTGCTACATGTAAGTCTTTTTCACAGATAAGAATATTATTTCAACTGATGTAAAAAATCCTTTGTAAAGTTATGCAAGATCCAATTTTTATATTGCAGGTACCACTTTTACAAAAGCTATTAACATGTATATGATTTAAACATAAATCTAAACTGATGAAGGAATAATATATGATGATTATTAGTCTATTTCAGCAATAACTTACAGTAATGATAGAGAATCTGTTGTTTCAAAAACTACTAACAGGATATTTCTTTTGTAAATATCTCTATAGCCAAACAAATAATTAAATTATATTAGAAAATATTTATCGTTATCTTAAATGCTTTCTTAAATTGGAGGTATCTATAATATTTTATTTGCTTTTGGTTGTTTTATCTGCCGACCTTATGCTAAATTACAATACAAACGTAATTTAATGAATAGCGTGTTTGGCTTTTAATACATTAACTCATCTGATCAATCAAATTTAAATTTAGTTGATTAAAAAAATTTAACAGATATTAAAGAAAAAGAGTAAAGCTCTCCATTTGTTAATTCAAATAATTAGCAAAATGCAACTTTTGAAAAAAACTCTTCTTAAACTGACAAAAGATTAAGAGCGACTACTAATATTTCTCAAAAAACATCTAAATAATCACGGAGAAACAGTATTAACTTAGCTGAAAATGAAAAAATAGAAGAAAAAGCATTTAATTGCAGTATAAAATAAAAAAAAAATCAAAGTATCAATTCTATAAAAAACACAGATAAGAATGGTATTAAAGAAAATGAATTAATTTTTAAAAAGTTTTTCTAATAAACGTTTGAAGAGCTGAGATTGAACACATGTGACTACTTTAAATATTATTTAAGTTACATAATTTGTAGGAAAAAAAATAAATCTTAAATAATCGATTATGGCCTTCAAAAGCTTTACAATCATTTGGATATTTATTATATTATAAATAAATTGATAGAATTTGAAAAGCTAAAAAAACTTTTATTAAATGAAAATTAAATTAAACTATTTGAATATATTCCAAAACCAATTATAAGCATTAATAAAGCAAATTAAGAAATCATTTAGACTCAATCAAATCAATCAGACACTGGAATATTATATGAAGATAATAGAACAATCATTCAAAAGGCTGAAGATGCATAAGAAGCATATAATAAAATAATAAACAATCCAAATAGATAATTATTAGATGAACGACTGATTAGTTTGTTACATCCAAAGCTAGTTGATCTTCTAAATGAAAACTCCTTCGATAAATTATAAGATAATTAAGACAAAATTCGTAAGCTTCAGTATCGAAAAAGTATATTTACACCTCAAAATAAACTATTTAACTAGACACTTAATACTTTAACAAAATTTGATTCATAATCCCCAAATAACACATATCAAACTGAAAAAATATGCTAATATGAGTTGGATAGTTTTTAATTGGAATAAGAAATCACATCTGAAAATAGCTCTGTTAAAAATAAAGAAGATAATCACAATAAGGTGAACACATATCAAATGAATTTTAAATCTATATTAAATATGAAATAAACTTAGAAAAGCTAATGAACTTAAAATTTAGATCTTGATAAAGAAATTAAAAATTTTGAATGAATTAGATTTCTAAATTTTTATTACTAAGTATTTATATTCATTTAATAATATAAAATATTCAAATAATTTTAACATATATAAATTTAAGGTTTTAATGATCTTCGAAATCAGATTTTTAACTATTAAACAATGCTAAATTTAAAGAAATATATTATTTTTGCTTTTATTAAATTAAATTAATTAACTTTTTACTTTTTTGAATAAAATTATTTTGTTGCATTTTAAATTTGAATAATATCAGATTTTTCTTATTAAATTGTGAGTAAAATCTCCTATTTTTATTTCATTCAAATCTATTTCTCCCCTAATCTGACCCCCTAAAAATAAAACCTTGTTTTTTTATATTAATACTTATTTTAAATAAATAAAATACTGCAATAATCTTAATCTAAAAAAGATGAGGAGGGAGGTATTCTTAATATATAGGATTTAAGTTATGTATTAAAATAAAACTAATTTATTTGAATTATTGATTTTTTAAATGCGTGCTTGATTTTGTTGAATTGCACAACAATTTACTATAAATGTTATAATAAAACATATTATAAGTTTAAATTATTAATAAAAAGTAGTTTAAAAAAACAAGAGAGAATCACCTTTTTGATAAAATAATTAAGATTATATTCAAATATAATTAAAACTAAATGGTTTTCAGTCACTTATTAAAGTGGATTTATAATATTTTATTTAAAAATTACATAATTAAAGCATAGATATTTCATTGTAACTTTTATACAAAAATAATTTTAATATAGAAAATAATTTAAAACATAAAACAATTAGTTAATCTAATAAATGCCATTCCTTTATTTTTGAAAATCTAGTTTATTTGCTAACTTATATATATTTAATTGCTATAAACACATACCACATAATATATCATTCGATTGCAAAGGCATTAATATCTGCCTATCCATATGGATCGTCATCTTCATAATCTTATTCTTTTTAAATACTATTTCTCTGCTTTTTATTGTTGTCCATATTTCCTGGATTAGATTTATAATTTTTCTTTAGTTACTATTCTTATTATTCTTCTTAGAGTTTTCTTGCATTTAATGAGCCAATTTCAATATCTACGTTTTTATTATAGTCGTTTCTTGATTATGAATGCTAATTTTTCTTATGCATTACTGGTGGAGTAGAGTCGGCATTATTAAAATTACCAAAATTTCTACCATTTTCACTATTTTTGTTTGCTTATAGGACCTGCTTTTTATCACTTTATTATGTAACCTCACTTGGATATTGCATATATGGGTCTTTTTGTTAATATTTATTAGTTTCTGGAGTATGATGATTACCATTTTACTCTGAATGAAGTGGCTTATGATTATTATTATTATTATTATTTTCATCTCTATATTTATTAGATGCTGATTAAACAGCTCCCTAAACTACAGAATCGTTAATGCTAGATGTTTCTTGATTAGAGAAATTGAAGCGACAATATTTAATATGCCATAGTAAGTAAAAGGGAAGGAGAATGATTGCCAAAGCAAATAAACCAGTATCTTATTTCTAATCTGCATACTAAGCTATTCCAACTATAGTTAAAAAAATATTTTCTAATAGCCTAAATATTATAAATAGCTTGCTACGAAGTGACTTAAAGTTATTTTATACTCTCAACTACTACCTGTAGTTATCAAGATTTCTACTTTCAGAGTTCCATTCATCAGAATCTTAGACCATGGTATCTTCTAAACGGAAGTAAAATGTGCCTGCCCAACCTTTCTAAAGGGTTGACAAAATCCAAAAGCTCTTTTCCTAGCCTTCTTTTTTGCAAATAATAAGCTCTAATAAGAAATTAACACAAAATTCACCTATCATGTAGCCAATGATTCCAGATTGATTAATCATTATTCTAAAGAAAGATAGAAAGACTAATCTATAAAAAAATTCGCATGCTATAAATGTATAAATATAGATTTTTTATTTAGCTTTTATTGTTAAGATGTTTTAGGTATAATACTCTAAGTTGGTTTAAGCTGTGTTAAGAATATGAATAATGCCACAAGCTAAAGTCAATCCACTAGCAGTGTACCCTTTGTAAAAAGTGAAAAAGCAGAATAAAGAATAAGGAGAGCTAATTAAAAAAACTCTTAAGTATTTCTTCAAAAATAACCTCATTCCTCTACCTTCCTCAGACTTACACATTTCTCCAATATAATCTAAAAATACTAATGCCATGATAGCTTAAGACCACTTATAGGTCTTTACTCCTATGTAGAAAAACTATTAATTTTATTTGATTAAAAAATGTAAAATAACTAATTATTCTAATATTCATAGCTTCAAAATAAATAAAAATAATCTTGTTTTACAGTTTTAAAAGCTAATTGCTTTATTTAAAATATTTTAATTAATAATAATTTGAATTACGAGGTACAATCTTTCTAAAATCAGAAGAGTGAGAGCAACTCCTAAAATAGATTTGTTATCGTGTTGGAAAAATATCACAATTGATATGATTGAAAACACAACATCTAAATGGTGAAAAAATGCTGCTATAAAATTAATTTTATCTTTGTCGGCTAAGTCTTTTCTGTCGCTACTACTGACATCCATTTTTTAACACTTCTTTGTAAACCTTATTTACTTTTAATTATTAATTTTTGAGACTTTAAGATGCTTAAATTTGAAAAATTATTTAATTCTTTATTTTCAATATATTAAATTTCAATTTAATATTTTACAATTACGAAATAGTAATAATAAAAATTTATTCACAATAATACAAATCAGATACTCAGAATTCTTATCGTTTCTTCTTTGCTAACTAGATGACTAAAATAATAAAAATTCAACGTTCTAAATTTTATGTAAAAATTTAAGGAATATATGAGTAAATTTATTATATAATCTTTTTTCGAAGTAATCACAATAATGTAAATTGCTTTACTGGAAAATATAATCTATATTATTTTTTCATAAGCAAAATTTATTATATTAGGAAAAGAGTAAAAATTCGATAGAGTTAATAGACAAACATAAATTGTTTAAAATTTGAAAATAGTCTAGATATTTTATATTGTTTATACAGTCATACTATCTAGCTTACTAAGTTAATACAAAATATTTATAATATCTTTTAAGATATTTTAATTTTTTTTAAATAGAAATTATTTATATTTTAAAATACTGTAAAGATTATTAATTATTATTAGATTTTCTTATTCTCATTTATCTAATTTATCTTATTCCCATTTATCTAATTTATCTTATTCTCATTTATCTAATTTATCTTTTTTCTCACAAAAATTCTTGCTATAGATAAATTTCAGTTGATCTTTTTACCCAAAACTCTTAGGGTTTAGATGATCTAAAGTAGAAATAAACCCTCATAGGGAATGAATTAAAAAGATGATTTGTTAAAGAATTGACAACAGGTAATCTGACCACATATTACTTTGAATCATTTGATGCTTTTTTACCAGCAAATTCAGACTAATTTGTGAAAAAAGTTTTAATTTATTTATATTTTGAATTAGAATTTTAATTTACTTTTTAAACCTTTTTAGTTCCATTTATGAATTAATTCTGAGCATAATAAGTACCTTCGAAGTCATATAAATTTTCATCCACAAAATTCATAGACACGTGTGCAGGATAGTTCTAGTATTTTTTAAAAATTTAATGATTATAAATGCTTCTAAATAAATGAATTCTACCTTGTAAAAGTTGTTCTTATATATTTTCTTTTTGACCATTATTTTCATATTAGGAATTTTATATTCAAATTCTCTTGGGTGTTCTATATCTAAAGCATGTTCATTCAGTCTACCATTCTTTATGAAAAAACCATTTATCAACATGGATCCATCTGTGGGCTATTGAACAGAAGGTTTGTTTTGGATTTCACATTCAATTTTGAGATCAAATATACTCACATTTAATTCTGTTGATTTGTGAGTTAAGTAAGAAGAAATCAAGAAAAATGGATCAAACATTTAGTCTAGCTGTATTACAGGATACATTCTGCATTTTCTTTCCTCTAATATAAGTTTAAGAGTTTCTAATTTTAGTACCAAATATTTCATATATTGCTAAAGATCATTCTCTCTAATTAAGAAAGATTAAATCCACCAATTTTAAGGCACTTTATTTTCCAAGATATTTATCAAAATAGCTTCTTGCTCAGAAGTTTTTAAAAAACCTGTCTGGAGTAAACTTTTTTCTTGCTAAGAGAAGGAACTTTAACGATACAAGACATATTGTATCACACCATCAAGATCAGTAATTATTCTCTTAAGTAGTGATTTAGCAATTTAAAGCTCATTTTACAAAGTTGACTAAATAAAATAACAAAAAAAATTTTTTAATTTAGAATAATTAATTTAAAAATTACATTGTAAACTGCTTGATTGCTGTCTTTTGTATAATTTGGTTGAGAGTTAAAAAACTGAATAGAATCACTCACCCTATTTGATGATAACTATTCTTAAGTACTTAATTTTATTAAATTCTATCCAATTGTGTTCGGTTGCTTTACAAAAACAGATTCTTTTCTAGGATGGAAAAGTGGACTGCTAACGCTTGGAGGACTCTGTAAAGATTATTAATAAGAGTTTTTACTAGGAGAGTTTAAATTTGGAGAAGGAGTATTCTGTGTATTTTCTACAATAAACTATTTTCCGAAGAATACCGATTATCTATGGGGTGAGGCAAGAGCAGCAACACTCTTTCTGTGATTCAATTTTAAATTAAGCTAAGGCGAGCTTTGTAAATTATTTAACATAATATTTGCTATTGATGGCTGTCTAAGAGATGACTTAATTTATGGAGAGCTTAACCTATTTGTGCTTAGCTATGTTTCACTCTTTTCTATTTAGTTAAGTAAATTGCTCTTTCTGCTGATAACAGGGGCAGCATGGAGTGGTTTATCAGATAACCATTTCTATAAACCTTTTTTCAAATTGTGATCTTCTGTAAACACTTATTTTATTGGAGACATATTTTTTCCTTTTTTTTATTGGTTTTCTTCTTCATTTTTTGAGTCAGAAAAAGAAGAATCAAATGAAGAATCTGAGTCCTTGTTCTTTCGTAATTTTATTTAAAAGGCATTTCTAGAAATTTTACTTAGTTTAGCTTGCTAAATATTTTGATCTTCACTCATGTCACTGGAACTATCTGAATCAGAGTCATTTTCTTCCTAAATATCATTTTTGGTGAATTTACTTGAAAATAAATCTAAATTTTAAGACTTTTCAAACAAAATCTTAAATTCGTTTTAAATCTGTTAAATCTTTTGAATAATAGTCATATTTTTGCCTAATAAATCGATGTGGTTAATCCAGTAAGCATAAATTTAGCCAACTTGCTGGAGTATAAAATCATCAGAATCACCTAATTCCACATTTTTATCATTAGTTGAAACTAAGCTTACATCCGAAAGACTCTCCTTTTCTTCAGAAGTTTAAGCTATTTAATTCTTTAACTCCCTAAGAATTTCAGCTTCTTTTCCTAACTATTCTTAGAGTTACACTTTTTTATGTATTCTAGCCATCAATCTTTATGATCTCTGTTAATAAATAAATAATGAATAGTTTATATAATTTGACAATTTAATATTAAGTAATACATTGAACCCATATTATATTTCAGTATTAGGAGAAATTTCTATTGTTTAAGGTGAATCCAAATTAGGAAGATCATTTATTGTTTTAAATATAGTTTCCTCAGTAGATTGATTGGGTTATTCATAAAACAGTGTGTATTTTTAATCTCCTGAAGTGTAAATAGTTTATTTGTCAACGCCTTTAAACACAAGTTCTTCCAATAGATCTCTCATTGAAGCAATAGTCCATGTCGAATGAGCATTATATGGCATTTCTTCAGAAAATATCAATTTTAAGTAGTTTCTGAAGAATAGTGAAGGATTTATTGAGTAATAATTCAAGAAATGGAATCCATCTTCAACTTTTAAAAAGTAAATAAAATAATTAAATCGATTAATTAATTCATTTATTAAAGAATATTAGTAAGTATTTACCCACATAAAGAAGATCTAAATCTGAGAAAAATAGAAGCTCACTTTATTGATAATACTCAGCAAGTTTTCTATGATATTTATGTCTGGACCTTAATATTGAAAAAATGAAGAAGATGTTGAATTTAATTTTATTTGAGAATTTTTCTAGCATATTAACTGCATGCTTATTTTTTTCTCTCAAGGCTATCCTATCAATAAAGACGCTATGAATATTATAAGAATAATTGATATTTTCATGCCTTTTTTATTTTTAGAATCTGTATTTAATTGCTTCATGTATAGGACTTTGTAGCTACTTTCCTAAAGTACTAAAATTGTAATTCGTAGGAAGTGCTTGTGTAACTTTCTTTTCTACAAATGCTAGATATTCATGTATCTCGAGAGTATAAAGCACGCTTAAGTTGTTCTTAATATTATCTGGACGATTAATGAACATTTTAAAACAGTTGAAGAAAAATTGCTATAGCAGAGTTTGGCTATTGTTTCTATGAGTTTGGACTATGCCAGGGTTTTCATTCAATTCATAACTCTTATTCATTTGCTATTAAGTTATCCACACTTTAAAGTATTCATTTTTATTTTAATTGTTATTTAGTGCATTGTTTATTATTTTTATCAATTAACCTAATTAATCATATGGAACTGATTTTATATTTTCTAAAACTACCCAATCTCCTTTAATTGAGGCATTGCTTAATTCTTATTTTATTACTTTGTTACTAATAGAACCTAAAGGGATTCTTTTCACCTTAATATTTTGGCTTTATTTACATGCTTTAAGCTCAAGCAATTCATTGATTGTCTAAATATTTTTTTATTGTAATTTAGTATTTATTTTTTTAATTGAAAAATAAATTACTTTATTGAGATGGCCATAGAAAATTATTGTAGGCTTATTGTACCAATTTGCTCTTGAATGAGCATTCAGATTAGTCTTTTTTTTCAAAAAATAAGTTAAAAAAAGAGAAAAAACTAGAAATATCTTACTTTAGTATGAGAAACAAAAAATTTAGAGAGTTATTTCGTAAGATGGACATTAATTATACTTTCTAAAATGTCTGGTCTGAAAAATTTCAAAAATACAGACAAATTAATATCTCCCAATTTATCTTTCATCTTATCTAAATAATTATTCTCATCCTTTAAAATTTCAGAGTGACTTAAGAAGAATATACTTTTCCATAGATCCTAAATAAATAAATAAATAAGTTAAAATCTAATTACATAACTTTCTTTTCTAAAAAATATACTTTTTCTATATTTAAACTAGTAAGTGCATTCTAAAGTTCTTTGCTTCTTAACACTTAAGAAGAATGAAAAATTGCTTTGTAGGAATTAATACCAAACCACATTAAATCATTATCATAACGAAGATTATCAAACTTGGATTTTATAACAGGAAGACCAAGTGCAGGTCTCTTAATGTAATTATTTTCTCTTCCTAGCTGTATAATAGAATCCATTCTATCTATCACGCTAAATTGATTCAATTCTTAAGACAAGTAAGATTTATTTTCTTTATTTTTTGCTTTAGATTCTTATTCATCTTATTCTTACAAAGATAATTTCTATATTTTTTATAATTCAAATTGCTTTTATGAGCTAGTTTTTTCTTTTGTATTTTAGCCACCCAACCTATTATAATATTATAAATTAACTATTTAATAACATAGCAAAAATATTAAATTTTCAATTAAAATTTTTATATCATTAAATTAATGAATCAATTAAATTAAAATGACATTTGTGAGCTATAAAATCTTAAATTTAATATAATAAATATTTAAAATTAAAAAAATTCAAATAATTATTTAAATTGTTTAAATAAACAAAAAAATTGTTTTACTCATTGTTTAGGTTGAATTCTTATTCCATCCTAATCATATAATCTTTATCCTATACATCTTAGTTTCTTAAATTGGGGATATCAATGATTTATTAGCTTATCTTATTTTGTTCTTTAAACTAAATCAAAAAATTGCTCTAATGAACTAGCTTTAATTAATTTTATTTTTATGGTAGAGGGCTGTTAAAATCTTCTTCTTTAATCATATAATCATTAGGTGAACCCATCGATGAGCTACAGACACTATATTATTTACTTCTAGATGGTGTGTTTTCAGAATCGTTTTAATCTCCATCTTTTGATTACGAAGCATTTAAGTACTCTTGAGAATCTTGAGAAGAGATTTTTATTTCATCAAATTAAATGTTTTGCTATTTATCATTATTTGACTCAATATCATTTATTTATTAAACAATATCTTTAGTTTCATTTTCATTTTAGTCATTTGATTCAAATTATTATTATAAATTCGTTTTATTTACTTTAACATTTTCACTAGTGCTTAAAGCCAATTTCTATTATCCTTCATCTTCTATATATTACTAACTATTATGCTCTTTATAAGGATCTTAGTTTAAAGTATTGTTATTGCTAGCTTCTTAATTTAATTATTGGCTTTCATTTATTGATTATTCTTATTCTTGCTCAACTATTGAGCTCACTTTCTTTTATTATAATTTATATTCCTTATAATTTTAGTTTTATTCTTCTTATTCGAGTTTTTTATTGCTTAAAATTCTTATGTCTGATTCTTACAATCCATCTTCTTAAAACTCAACAACTGACTCAATGAAATTTTTTTAGTCAGATTATTTTTTGGTCACTTAGTTGCCTAAATTGTCATAGTATTCACTGGTAGCTCTAGTTATCTTTTATATTTTTTCTTAGTTTGAATCCTTATTTTCTTCAAGATCATCCTAATCTGAATCTGGTCCATCCATTAATTTTTAATAAGTATTTGACTAATTCCTATTTTGAACTTCATTCAAAGAAGATACCTCTGTTTCAATTTATTTTATATTTTGTATTTAATTATTTATTTGATTTTCAGAATTTTAAGAATTTTAAGAATCTATTTTATCTATTTATTATTAATTTATATCTTATTATTACAAAATTTATGAATTTTCTAATTTAATTTCCTTTTCAGTTTCTGAGCTTAAATCATCTACATCTTAATCGGAGTTTATATCCTAAATATACTCTTAAGATTGCTCAATTTTTATTTATTCATTGTTTTAAATTTTAAAATATTCTTCTTAAGGTTTGAAATAATTAACATTTTTTGAATTAGATTCTTGTATTTAGTCTAAACTAAATTCTTGTATTATATTTTTTTTAGAATAAAATGAAGATTTTTGCATTAATTGTTATGATGGAATAGATTTTAGTTCCTGGATCTTTTGTGTAGAGTCTCTTCTTATTTGACTAAATTGTTTGAATGAATTATGAATATTTTTAATAATTTTGGCCTTTTCTTGGTCGTTCATAATTTTTTCTTCAAATTAGTAGCTGAAGTTAATGAGAGGAGCAATCAAATTATCATATGACCTTTAAAATTTGAAATTAAAAAATCATTTTACATTAATATATATTTTAAAATTATTGAATTTTTAATTAAAGAATACCCATAGAGATCTACTAATGATGTGATAAACGAATCCCAATATCTGTTAGTACTTAACTTGCTAAATACTAAATTTTATATAGGTTTGACTCTCTACTCAAGTAAAACTTTCTGTTAAAGATAGGTATAATTAATCTATGTTTTGTCTGTTAAAGCAGACATTTAGAAGAAAAAGGAAAGAGTTAGCTACCAGACGGTCTAATGGTCTTCCCTTAATGTGCAGTACAAGTAATGATAGAACATCGAAGCAAATCTTTTGTTAAAATGATTTGTTTAATTGTTGCTGATTTAATTCAACTTTAAGCAGTCACACACTTATTTAAAAACTAACAAAAAATTTTCTTCACTATATTTAATGCTTGAATCTTCTTTCTCTATTTATGTGACAACTTCTTTGTAACTTAATTTTAAACCATACAAAATCTCTACAAGGATTTTGAATTTCGAAACGATACTCATCAGTTTTTGAGACTAAATAAATTAAAAAATGAATTATTTTAAAATATTAATCTAATAATTTTACTGGATATTCAGGTGATAGAGAATTGTTTGATTAGAAATCAATAATCTCAAAATTAAAAAAGCAATACTATGGTAAATTATTTTCTAAGTCATTAGAAGATGCTATAGCTTCACTATCAGCTTATGATACTTAGCTAAAAACTGTATTTTGTTTTTTTAGCTATGAATTCTTTTCTTTCAAAGTTTATTGTCTTTTAAAACTGGATTATCTTTAATACTACGGAACTTAAAGCTCTTCATCTTCTTCTTTAATATTTTGCAAGTGCTAGCCTATTTAAGAATGCAAGTTTACGTCACCACAAATTTCTTAATAATTCTTGCTCTGCTTTCTTTAATATTCTCCTTATTTACTACCTAAAGAAGAATTAGATTTATCCATATCAATACTATTCCCTAGCTCCATATTTTAGAAATTAAGCATTAACTAATCTTTTTCAACATCTTCTAAATTCTTCATAATAGTCTGATTTGAAACTTACCCTATTTACAAAAATTGATCGTCTTCTCCAAAATTATCAGTAAATCCCTCTTTTGTCTTGAAAGAAAAAATTATCAATATAAGTAGTCTAATTATAAATTTTTACTGCTGCCTAGTTAATTATATGATTAGGAAGTAGTTGAATAAGTTGATTCCAAGAATCTTTTTCACTTAAACTTAATTTTGAAATAATAGGTAATATCTTTTCAAGTGAGTAATCTTGTTTAGATAAAACTTCTCTCTTAAATATTTCCCCTTTTATCAACTTTTCTTTTTCGGTTTAGTAGAAGGTATTCAAAATATTATCATAAACGAAGCTGCTGAAGAATTTTTTCTATTAGAAAATAAATTTTAAATTTGTTAAGTTATTTAAATAATCTTACATCTTAAAATGATAAATGAACAAAAATGGATGCTGTATTGAAACTTTTTATCAAAAAGCTAGAATAACTTGAAGTAATGATAATAAGTCTAAATTAAGAATGCAATTTAATTCTCTTTTAGTTGAAAGTAAAATGCTCATCTAGCTTCTACTAATTTTACTGGTTTTTAAATTATACAAGACTCTTAATTAGATTCTTATATTTAAACTATAATATAGGTTGAATAAGATCTACTAAAGTCTCATCAGGATTGTTTAAAACCAGATAAGAACCTTTTAAAATTGCATTTTCTACATTCTCCAAACTATCTTCGTCTACAGTGCTATATTCAATATGCATACTGCGCTTCTATTTTTGAACGCATTAATTCTGTAGATATCTATTTAATTTTAAAAAATTTTAAAACAAAAAAAACAAAAATTAGCAAATAAATTAGCAACAATCTATAAAATAAACTGTTTTCCAAATTATTTAATTTATAGAAAAAAAATTTAATAAAAACAGTTTAAATTAATTTTCACTTAAGAAGCAAGCATTAAAGCCTCAAAAAAATTTTAAAATGTTAATTTGTTAAAAATTTAGCTAAAATAAAATTTTTTTATATCCAATTTACTAAAAATATTTATTTCAATATATTAAATAAATAAGAATATAAGTACTTTTTCAAAAAACTTGTTTAGAAAAAACTTAAATTTAAAATAACTGGTTTGAAATAAATGATTAAGAATTGAAAATAAATCTATGGGTTTGCCTAAAGATTATTTAAATTTCAAAGAAGAAAGTATTTACTATAAATATAATCCAGTTTCATCTGTGATGCAAAGAGGAAGAAGATCAATACCAATCAAGAAACTGATAAGAGAATACTCATTTATGATGCTAATTCCTAAATCGGTTCCATTGATTAGTTATTCAAGATATGCAGTTGGACTATCTAACAAAATCTTTAAAAAAAAATATAATAATCATAATTTTAATTAAAAATATTTACTTTATAGAAAGGAATATTTAACTTTTTATTTTATTAAAGCAACACATCAAATAGATTTTCCCTATAGCAAGCAGGATATTTTAAAGCAGATAAAGAATAAAGAGCAATATCATAAGCGTACTTTGCTAATTCTCCTTCTTAAAAAGTTAAAATTGGATTGCATTCTTGTCTGTTTTTATTATTTAAAAAAAATTAATTTATTAAAAATAAAATAGTTTAAAATAAAAGTAATTAGTTTTTAATCTAAAAAATAATAATTTTAAATGAATAAAAAATCATCCTCAAGTAATTTTTCTTTTGGAAATTATTTTTTCAAATATTAAAGTTGAAATTGTTAAATATTTGTTTAAATTTGAAATTTTTTAAGATTTAAACAACTCTTTATTTATTTATAGGATTATTCAACTATTTATTTTGCTATTAAATCTTAAAGCTAACATTTTTATATTTATAGAATAATAAATATGAGCAAGAATATTGAGGTAATATTTATTAAATATATTTTGTAGTTAAATTTTACCTATAGTAGTGTATTGTTTTTAAAAGTTAGCATAATAGAAGATTGATATATCTAAAATTTTTGAATGCATTTTAGTAAGTTTTTTTAGCTGTTTCTAGCTTATGCAAGATCTCATTTTTTTCATCTTTTATTTCTTCTAAGTAGATTCTATGAGATTCCATCATTTTTTGTTCATCATATGATTAGTGCATATCATTTGATCCGCTTCTGTTAAACCTTCTAGATGATAAATTAGTTTAATTTATAATTTTGCTTGTCTACATCGACTAATGCTCAGATAATGATAATTTTTAGTCAATCGGATTATATAGATGATTGTTTATAGATGATTTTCTTTTACCTTCACGTTGAAATTTTTCTTTTTCGTGATTAATTTAAAGTTTAGAGTAATTCATTTTGTAATTGCTAAAATTTTTATAAGTTTCATGGGTCTAATTTTATTAAATATAAAAATTAAATCATTTTTAAACAAAATTAATGAGTTAATAAATTATTTATTACCTTTTGTAAGTTTTCGTACTGCTTTTTTATATCAATGTATTTCATTTTATAATCTAAAAGCTCTTCTAACAATTACTTGAGTTTGTTATTGATAGGCTGCTTAATCATGTCAATATTAATAATTTGAGATACATTTTTTTTTGAAGAAATTTAAGCTATAGTACTTTGTAAATTATTTTAAATTAGTCTCGCAAGATGAGGCACGTAAAATTCAAATTCTTTTTGACTCTTTATTGAAGTTTAGAAGTAATTTATTTCAAAGAGTTCACTTACTCCTTTTTCTGTTTACCAAAATTTATTCTAAATTTCTTATGTAGCAGGCTCATTAATAAGCTTGTAGATATCATCTTGTTCAGAGCTGCTTTTTTAGTTACTCTTTAGCAGGAAAGAAAAATGGTCATTAAAGTGTGTAAATGATTTTGGGATTTAGTCTTTAAGTATTAAATATTCTTTGTAATTATCAGGATTAATTTCTATTACGAAACTTACATAATCTTTTAGCTTTTATCTCAAAATATAAATCATATGATTTTCTACTAAGTTCGGTTTAAAACCTCCTAGCTTAGATTTAATATCTTTTTCTGAAATGTTAGCTTCCATTTACTGCAAACTATTTGATTAAAAATTAAAAGATATAATAATCTACTTATTTATATTTTTGGATTATCATCTACTCCTTTACTTATATATTTGATCATTTTTTCATTTATAAAATTTAATTTATCTTCTGCAAATTTATATATTTTAATTTATAAATTTTACGTTGTAACTTTTTTGACTTGTGACTACCTCCAAGGTTCTAATAATTACTTGATTTACTTTTAACTGAGAATACCTTCTAAATTTGAATTTTAGATTATTATTTTAATGATTTGGAAAATCTCAAATATCCTATTGAATTCCTTGCTTTTTAAATCAGATATAGTAAATTAAATTAAAGTATGAACAGGGTTTCCATCAATTATTCCTTTTAGTACATCTACATAATTTTAAATTAAAATTAATATTTAAATATAACAAATAAGATAATTTTTTACCTAAAATAATTTGTAAAAAGAGAGAAACACAATTTTCAGAGGAAATTTTTATAACTATACAATTTGATCCCATCAGATAGCTGATAAATTTGATAAGCTCAGACTTTGAGGTAGGCGTATATAGAGAAAGATTTTGTTTCATTATGTAAATGTTATTTAAAATAGCGGATAAATCACCTAAAATGTTTTCTACACCTCCTTATTAAATCTGAATATCCCAATATGCATGTATGTTAAAGTAGTCACTTATAATCTCTTTTTCGTTCTAAGCTCCATTTCCTTCTTTCTAATTTTTGCTAGCTTGTGTTTCATTTTTTTACTGAGGAGGCTAAAATAAATATTCAAGGAGTTTATTCTAAAGAAATGAAATAAAACTGTTTTAATCTTCATGGATGAAATAAAATTAGTCCCTTTCAGAGATATTGTGCATAAATCTATTCTAATCATAATCAATATTCAATTAAGATAAATTTAGATTTTCAATCTTGAGAAGAGAAGCTTGCTGCTAATTAGAATTTTATGAGTTTGTTAAATTATGTGGAATAAAAATCCTTTTATTATTAACTTAGTTTTATTTATCAATTTTTTCATCATAATAATAGCTCATTGTTTTAATAAAAAATTTATGGATTTTTGCAGGAAACTTTTGAAATTTCTACTCAGAGAGCTTCTATAGTTACTTTAGTAAGCTCTCTTATCCTTTGTCTATTTTTTAAGTGAAGTATTGATTTAAAAATCTTGTCCTATTTTCAAATTAGTCAATACTTTCTAATCTAAAATATTATCTTTCCATTTCTATATTAACTTACTTTGACATTCTAACTCTGTTTACTTATCCTAACTTAGCAAGTCCTTTAGTCTCTAAAGTTTTCCTATTTAACATATTTAATAATTTTTGTTAATTCATTCTTATATTGTAACAAAATTATTAAAATTGAGAGAAATAATAAATACTCTTAATTTTTTTATATAAAATATTGATGATTATAACTTATTCAACTAAAAATTGTTAAATTATATTTTTTAACTATTTCTTTTGTAGAATTTAAAATATTAAATTTTTTATAATAAAAAACTCAATCAATAAATCTATAAATAAAAGAAAGAGCTATTTTTTACATGAAAATTAATAAAATGTTAAAGAATGATAAATAATTTATGTTTTTTTTTATTTTCTAAAATATCTCATTAAATTAAAAACATATCTTCAGGGTCAATATTTAATTTTTTTGAGTAATAAATGTTATTAGAATTAAAAGCATAAAATAATTAATGAATTACTTTGTCTTTTTAGGGCTGTATAAAGTCTCAACTAGAAAATTTTAAATTTCAATAGCCTTATTTTATAATTGTAGGTTTTCTGAATTAAGATTTAAATTTGGAATATTGCTATTTTAGTGCATAGCAAAAGAACCTTTTTTTAAAGGTGAATTTATGTGAATGTTATCCAATTCTTCATCACTTTCAGAATCTGATAAGTTATCTTTGATGAGGTTAAAAATAAATTAATTTTTTGCATTAGTTTTTTGGCTGCTTTTAAGTTTTTCTAAGAAAATAGGGTTTTTATTCCATGGCAAGCTATCTAAAAAGCAAGTATCTAGGATATATGTCCACATTTTATCAAAGAAAGTTTCATTTAGGTATCCATTTTAAACAATTTATTGATGAGAAAGAGTAGAAATTATCAAAGTAAGAACTTTGTTTATATTGAAATTTATCTATTTTTTTAAATATGATTTAAATTAACCTCAAATAGTTCAAAATAAAAAATACTTTAAAAATCTGAGTTATTTGAGTAAGCTTAGGGATACTGCTCATATAATTATGAGCGAATTTTGCTAATTATTTCTAAAGGAAATCCACTGCTAAAATATTCGCTTACATTTTTTCCTTGGTATTAAACATAGGTGAAGTTTTCAATATTTCCATAAATATTCCTGTTAAATGGTCTCCATTCATATCAGGAAACTTTAGCATGAACATTTCCCTTAAGCAAGATCCCAATTCAGTAAATTTCTTATTTATAAAATAAAATTAAGAAGTTTAACATGAGTGAATTTTCTTTTTTTATTTCAATTTAAATTTACAGAAAAATCTTCTGAGAATAGCTTTCTAGATGAGTAATTACAAATTACATTGCAATTTTCAAATTTCAAAAATCTATTTTTCTATTAGGAAATCCAACCACCATGTACTATCAGAGATCTCAAACAACCAATTATACTTGGCCCCTCAAGAGATACAATGTTTAAATCATCTATGAATGCATATGAGCACTTACCTATCTCTGATTGCTTAGTCTAAAAATTCTTGAAGCTTAAAGAGTTTTCAACAAACTTTTAAAATTAATTAATTTTAGTATTCCTGAGTAATTAAATCACATTTATTTTATAAGTATTTTTCTGCAAATGCTCTCTAGATGTATTTTAAAGAAAAATATTAGATATTATTGAAAGAAGAGGAATATAAAAGAGATAAACCTTTCAAGATATTAAAAGAGCATAGTCTTTCCTGCTTGAGGGGTAGAATATACGAAAATATTTTTTTTGTAGCCCATCAAGTAATCTATCAAATACTTAGTCATTTTGAATGGCGCAGAGAGATATACAACGTATTTGTCTTATGTTGGTAGCTGATAGACGATCTCATTATTATTTTCCATTAATTTCTTCATCTCTTCTACCTGCATAGCATTTTTATTTAGTCTAATAATCTCACTTAATTCTAAATGATCATTGCTCAAAGAACTATCAAGCAAAGGAATATTTTCAGGAATTTAAAACTCTGAAATCCTCATCCAAGCTAATTCGCTTATATCATAAACAAGATCAAGTACGCTCAAAGACTATTTAAAATAGAAAAATATTTTTTCCAACAAAAATTATTAAGAGCGAATATTTTAAATTCAATTAAAAAAAACTTATCAACTTTTTTCTAGAATAAGATAAAAAGAAAGAATTTAAGTTTTTGTTGAAGAATAAAAGAGCATTTTGTCACTATGATTCAAAAAGATCTTAAAATTGAGTTTTTCTTATATTTCAAATATATTATTTACCTTATTCTATTTTAGCAATTTGCTAAAGTTTTAACAGGCTTTGAATGAGGAAGAAAATATATTTTCATGAGCTAATTTAAGCTTTTTAACGCATCCTAAGCAGTGCTCTGTGAGCTATGATAAGAAATTAGGGTCTATATAACTGCTGCACATTCCTTATACAATACTAAAAAGGAATATTGATTCTACAGGAGCTCTAAATTCTTTTTCTAAATAGCTTGCATCAGTATTTAATTAGTGTTAAGAATTATTTAGATCTGCATCTTTGATTGGTGAAACTTGTTTTTTGTTTTGGAGAGAAATAAATGTATAAAAAGCTTTGCTTCTAACATCCTATTAAAAGATTTAAATTTTAATATTAAGTATAATTTTAAATAAGAATTAATTACTTTCATAGTGGATGAATTGCTTGTGATTGCATATTTTCCTAAAGCTATCATAGTTTTACGGAATTCATTCATAAATATCTCTAGAAGTGATAAGAAATTTTGCTGCTAGTGTAAGATTATATCAACTATAGCTCCTGGGTTATTGAAAATTTTTTTAGCTTCGCCAGAAGATGTTTGTTCTAGGCTGTCTTTCAAAAAAACTAAAACAGGTTCAAATAAATATACGTAACAAGTTCTAAGTATTTTCTCACAATAATTGAAAAATTTATTTTAGCTAATTAATATATCCAACCAACGTTCAAAATCATTTTTTATGCTCCAATGAAACCCTTGAGAAATAATATTGTTGTTTGTAAAATTATAATTTTTCTATACATAATTATTATATCCGAAATTAAAAATTTAAAAGTTTCCTAAGCAGCCAGGAGTAATGTTGTCTAATGAATCTAAATTTAAGATTAGCTTTAGAGTATTTTACAGTTAAATTTACTAACCGTTATCGAAGAATAATATTCTTTAATGAATACTCTTTATCATTTGGTCTATAAATTTCGATTAATTCCTATGATATAAACCAAAATTTATTAACTTATTTTAGAAATTCTATCAAATTTTTTAATAAAAAAACAATCTTTTTTGTAAATTTTTAAATTTCCAGCTTTGGTTGAAAAAAATAGGTTTTGAAATTGTTTGTTTTTTGATTTATGAATAAAAGTTTTTAAATGAATTTTTTAAAATATGAAATAATTTCCATTCATTTAGTTAATTTTAGTATTAATTTTTTTAATGTAATTTCTTTTTAAATTAATTAATTTTTTTACCCTTTGAAATTTGTATTGCTTGTTTCAAATATGATCCAATCGTTTAAGGTGAGAATAGTTTCTGGGCTTTTGATTTTTCCTTGTTGGTTCTTTTTCTTTAATAATTTCTCAGTTAAATTTAAAATAGGAGCAAGTAAATATTTTACCAAAAAAACATTAGATTCTATTGATTTTGATTTTAAATTTTAGATTTTATTATGATGATCCAAAGGGTTAGCCTATGAAGTTATAAAGTTAAGGTAGTTAGATCTATAATATTAGTTAAGTACTTCTGAGTATAAGCTATTTTCACTCATATAAGTTATAGAGTCAAGTAGTTACTGTAAAATACCTTTCCTCCAAACTCCATCTACATGCTCTCCCATTAAAAAGGTATAATCATTTGCGTCAAGAGTTATGTAGTGCTATAAATTAAATATGTTCGTTTAAAATTTAATAAAAAAAACAAATTTTCATTCATTTACTTTGTAAAATTATGCTTTTTCAATAAGTGAGTTAACATAAGCTGCTGCATTCAAGGCATAGTCTTTGACCTTTGAATTAAGACCTACAACTAGGATTGTTTTGTTAATATTTATATTGAATATCATATCTAAAATAGTATCGATAAATCTTTCTGAAGGCTTTATCTTATGAACTTTTTGGAAATAATCTATTATATGTTGCTCAAAATCATCATCACGGTTATCATCTTTATTTTACTGCAAAGTCGAAGAGGAAGCTTAAGGTGTTTAAAGAATTTAAACAGTCTTTTATTTTCCGTCAATAAGTTCCTCCTCTTCATTTCCCCCATCATCCTAAAAATCTTTGAATAAGTACCCTTCACTAACCTAACTCTCAGGGAATGCTAATTTATAAATAAAGCTTAAAATAACAAAATTGAATGCCAGTTTTATTTACTTTTGATAAACAAATTATTAAGAAGCTTAAGATGGAATTAAGAAAGAGCATGTGCATAATATGCATTTATTGCTGAATATAAAAGAGTGTAGTTTTCTATTTCATCTTCATTTGATACTTTCTTTTAAAACAAAAAATACTCTGCATGGCTTATTATTTTCATGATAGTATTTGCATTAGGATTAAATAGATGCTGGTTGAACTCTGTCTAAGAAACTTAATCTAGAGTGCTATTATTTATTAAGATAGTCGTATTTTTATGAGATAAGATAATCTTTTAAATAAAAATATCAAAATTACATAACATCCAGTTGCTTAAATGAATCAACTAAGAAGTGAGAATTGCTTAAGCAAGATGAGAAAAGTTAAAAGAAAACGTGCAAGCGTTGAGCTGTTTCTGCTGGCTTTATGAAATTCATCAGAGTTAGTTTAGCAGCTAAAATAGTTTGAATATCTGGTTAGACAATACTAACTGTTCTGAAACTTTCCAAGATGTTTGGTATTTGAGAAAATTGCAAAACTTATGAATCTTGTCTCACAGTGAAACTTGCATACAAGCCCCAATGCTCACTCACCTAAATTTTTTTATAAATTTTCTCATGATTTAGTATGTTTATAAATTAAATTACTTTGATAGGGCAGTTATTACTATCCAAAATGTCTGTCTTTGAAATACAGGAGTTTCTAATTTAAAAAATGATATTTGCAAGAGTAGATATCATACCAACATTTAAAAATTCGCAATTCTAAATAAGAGTGATGTAACCTCCTTGAGCAGTTCCAAGGAGAACTTAATTCAAAGAAGAGAAATCATTTTAGTCTGAAAACTTCCAAGTAAAATAAGGTTTGGCTAAAATAGTAGCTAAATAGCTAACTGTTGATTATTTCCCTGATGATTAAGGACCTCTGATTAAAATAGATGTATTCGTTGATATAGCTCCAATAATATTAAAAAGCATTCTTTCAGTCTAATATGTATTCACAAAAGTGTAATGGTCTCCTGCAATAAATTCCCATGTGTAACCTCTCTATTATTAAAAAAAAATTAATTAAAACTAAAATAACTTTTTAAACTAAATAATTGCTTAATATAAAAAAATTCATCTCTTGGATGAATATTGATATATTTATGCTATCCTATAGATAATAAAGATAATAATGAAATAAATTTAATTTATGCCTTGTAATTCATGCACATCAAGTTAACGTTTATTAACTCAGGATTATCAATTAAACTAAAGTAGTAAAAGAATTCAGAATTTTCAGAAAGATTGGGATAGTCTGTCGACTCTCTATTATCTAAAGCCAATTTAGCAGATTTTAGCATATGTTAGATTATTTCTTACTAATTCAACTAAAGGAGAGGATTTTCCTTTTGATTGTGCTTATTTTATTGGAGAATTTTCAAGATTTAATTTGTTTCCACCTCCACTGAGAATTTTGGAAGACCTAAATAATCAAAACTTGCTAAAGTATCTACTTTTTAATCTATAAAGCGCTAAAGAATATTTTGATGATTGAGACTTTGCATAACCAAACCTGAGAACTTTAACAGCTCATTCTATTTGTTAAATAAAATTAAATATATAAGCAAAAAATAATTAATATATACCTTTGAAAGTCCCATTTACATTTGATTATTAATAAAATTTTACATATAAATCCTTATTTTCTGCAAAAAGTCACCAAGGTTAAAGTCTGGTACTTCATCATTTTCTTCACTGTTTAATATTGTAGTAGTCAGGTCATGATAAAAACAAATGTCAATATTCAAATAAGCAATTTAGAAAATAATTTCGTTCTTGAGATGCAATAATCTATAAACTTCGTTATAGTCCAAACCTAGTCTGGTCAAGGTTTATGTATTTTTAAGGAACTACTTTCTTAATAAATATCTCATTGATTCTTCCAGCTTCATTTATCCATCTATTACATTCTCTATTCCTTTAGAAATGTCTATATTTATTTTAGTGTCCAATAATAAAACTTCATCTAACTAGTTTTACTATGATTATTTTATTATTATTTTATATTTTTTTAAAATTTAATGTAATTTACAATAGACTCTATGTTGAATATGTTCGAATAATTAGTTATGGTAAACTGCTCGTTTTCTATATTCATGTTAGCTTCCTTGCAAGTACTAGAAACCTTAAGTGACTTAAATCCCTTAAAAACAGGTAAAAAAAGCTTGTTTACCATTAACTAAGGATTAGAGGTTTGATTACATAACCTTAGTATCTCTATTATACCTTCATCACTCAAAAAATATAATCTACTGCATTTAGATCTTAATCTGTTAAGTACTTTTTTTACCTCCTGAACTAGATTATTGCTCAAATTTTAGGTTTCTAGTAATCTCCTTCTGAATTCATCACTTTGAGGGAATGATCTAGGCATTTTAACATTTTATTAAAAACAAACCAAGATTTTAAAAATTTACCTTTCTTAAGATTCAGTTTCTGAAAATAGATTAAAAATATTTAATCCTGAGACAGTTAAAATTTCAAAATGCTAGCTGTAATCATCGATAAGTGACTACAAAAGCTTTATCAAATCATTAGAAAAGAGTCTATCAGCCTTATTATAGATTTATTTCTTTAAATTTGAATTTATTATTAAAAATTATTTACAATATTTATTTTAGTGTTTTCATATTACTGGAACTGTATAAATAGAGGTATGTAATCTAAGAGAGTATTTTGTACTTTATTCATTATTTTTATTACTTTCTTACCATTTCTTGCTAATTTGTGAACAGAATTCATCCTCTTTTTGAAGACATCAATAAACGACTTAAAGCAAAAGAAAATTATTTTAAAAAAAAATTTTTATTTAAATTTAAAAATTACTAAATTTTTTATCAAAATATTTGCTCTAAATTTAGCTTCTGAAAGATTTTTTATGACATCTTTTGTATTTTTTATTATCTTAAATGTAAATTCCGAAGAAACATCTAAGTAGTAAGGTAATGATCTTAAGAAAGTGTCTTTTAAGATTCCTTCAATTTTTTACAACTCTATTTCAATCTTTCATTATAAAAAATTAAAAGTTTAACATTTTTAAATAAATAAAAATTGAATATTTATCAATAAATAATAAATTTGATTAATAAAAATTTTAAATCATAATTAATTCAAAAAAGAACTATTAATGTCATCATTTGTTTTTAAATAAATGAATTTATGTGTAAAATCGGATATAATTACTTAGTAATCTTACTAAGCTATCAGATGAAGCTTATTAATGAAACTAGAATAATTTTAGATATCTTCGTCTATAAGTCTTTAGAGAGTAACAGAGCCAGAATCTATCTTTCTGAACTCTTATTAATTTTTGTTTTTCTGAATTTCTTCAATCAACTCATCCCAATGTCTTTACTTAAAGCAAGTATCTCTCAATTAGATAATAATATGAGTATACTTATTTTTTTAAATAAAAAAATTATATTCTAATTGAATAAAATAAATTAAAAAGTAAGGTTTTTTACATTGTTAAATTTCTAGATCTCTTCTTCTAGTTACTTAATTATTGTGATAAAAAGTGGATTATCTTTGAAATCTAAAATTAAATCTGGAAGGAGCTAAAACCCTTCATTCAAGGTATCAACAACTTCTTTTGACTCCATAAATACTAAAGGTCTTGTCGTCCATTCTTCGTATCTGAGTTTCCATCTTTCTGCGAAATCCCACAAGTCATAATATTTCATTAAATCGTTTAAGCATATTTCTATTTCACAAAAGTTTGTTATTGGACTCATTTTTAGGTAATTCTCAAATTAATTAAGCTCTTGTGCTTTTTGGTAGATTTCATCAAGTTCATTCCTTAAAAATTAGATTTAGAAAATTAACTTACTTTTATTTTTTTATCTAATTTATTTACTTTAAACTTTTTGTCTAGGAGGAAAGAGCATAAATATTATCAAGAGATCCCTATTATTTAAGTTCATCTGATAATTTCTTTTACTTCTAGAAGTTAGCTAAAAGGTTTACGATACTCTCCTTTAAATTTTTTTCAAATTTAGGTCTAATTTTCAAAAAAATTAAAATGAGATTTTATGTTATTTTAATTAACTAATTATTCAAAACTTTAATTCTCACTTTTAAATTAAATTAAATTCGATTTTTTAAGATTTTTTGTTACTTTTATGTCTGTTTAATTTGTTTTTTAAATTTTTTGCATTTTAAATTAAAAATAGTATTTAAAATATTTAAACCAAAGATATTTAATAATATAATTTTAAAATATTCTGATGTCATCATTTTTATTTCTAAACATTGTAGATCCAGTTAATAAATTTAATAAATTTTATATAATTATTTAATTTATTCTTTTTATTGAATTATTTATTAAAATTTTTTATGAATGCAAAAAAAAAAATATATTTTACTTGATTTGATAAAGCTTTTTGAGCTACTCTTATTCAATATTTCTAAGCTATAAAATCCATGATCTACTTTCAACTTGCATTTGAATAGTTTCAAAAGAAATTTCTAAGGAATACTCATCAGATACTTTCATGAGATCATTTATATAATTAATTTAATTTTAGAGATCTGTGTATTGCTCTAATATTGCTTAGCTTGATAGGTATTCAGAAATTTCTGAATAATCTTTAATGCTTACTGGGTTTTTTTAAAGTCTCTCTGTAAAATTTTAAACTTATTATCTTGTAGTTTAAAGCTAAGAAACTAATTTATCCTATATTACTTTTAATTAAATAAAAATGATTTTAGTGAAAGAACAATATTAATAAAAATAATACTCTTTTTCAATTGATTTATGTAGAACTAGATTTGTTGAATGTACTCTTGTTTTAGTGTTTCCGTTTTAAGCAATATCAAACCAAAATTTAAGTAGTTAGGTAAACCTATTTTGAAAAACATTAAATCCTTTTCAAGTATATTTATTTCTTCACAAATAAAATATAATCCTAATGACTTTTTATCGAATTCGCTCTATATATCTTTATTTTGAATAAAAGTAATTAATTAGTTTTTTTAGATAAATAAAAGACAAACAATACCTTAAATATAATATCTTTTTTGAGTAAAGTGGAAAGAAAAGCTGTTTATAAGAATTAAAAAAGCATAAATTCCATAAAAACTCCAAGGCATTATTTCTTATAGGCAAGATTTTACTCCTTCACTATCTATTTTAAATTCTTCAGATTCAAACAATATTGTTTCTTATGAACCTATTTAATATATTAGATAAAATTCGAAATGCTAATTTTTTAATTTATTTTTATTTTCTGTCATTTAAAAAATAAAATAAAAATTACCTATCTAATAGAGCTGATTGATTTTTTCAAGAGGAATGTTGAAAGATTCTTTGATCAATTTTTCTAAAGAATTTAATGAAGGGGAGGTTGTTGTTACTAAATATTGAAAATTGATGAAATCAAATCTTCCTTTGGTAATACTTTCGAATTCATTCTATTTTTCATTAAAATATTATTTGGTTAAATTAGTTTTTCCAACTTAAAGCTTTACCGTTTTATTTTCAGTTTAGAAATCTTCAATTTGATTTGAAATTACTTTATTTCCACGATTTACTAACTTTTTATCTTCTTTTTACTGAATGTTTTATTTAATTAAAACTATTTCTGCGGTTTCGTTTTATGAATAAAATATTTCTCTGTATTTTTTCCTTTACTTTTTTCTTTGTTCATAATTTTTCTTTTCAGTTTTGATTTCCTAATTACAAAAGCGTTTAGTTAACATTTAATATTTAAACACAAAAAAATACCTTATTTAGAACCCAATCAATTTCATATTTAGCAAATTAGGGAAGACCATTCAAACTTGGGTTGACGAAATTGAGCTAAATCAAGGGCTTTTAGTTTTCTAAAAATTAATTTTATAATGATTGAGCGATTGAATTTATAATTTATCTATCTTGGCTCTACAGATTTTTATAAATAGGGAAAATGATTGCATGAAAACTTTCCTCTATTCCTTTGTTAGTTAATTATTAAGTTTGTTGTTATTGCTATATCAAACTTTATTCATTAGTTGGTAATTATAATTATAAATTAAATTTTGCAGGATTTTCAGAATATCTTTATGAATCTATTTGTTTTTTGGAATTTTAATTTGTAATAAAAACATTGCTATCTTATTTTTTAGCATCTTTTGAATTATTTTAAGGTGATGAAGTTGAATTTGGTTCAATTTAGTTGATAAAAAGTGAGTTTTCTCTTTTTTATTAAATATTTGAGATAAAGTTTAGCTGTAATTTAAATAGTCTATCCTCAACTTGTTAATCTGTATCCAGCAGCATCTACTTTCTTTACTAAGTTCTTTTAATGAAAAACTACTCAGGTAACTTTTTGATAACCTTAATTCCAATTTCTGGTAATGGTAAGAAAGCATAAAATTTTTCTATTTCTTAAATCAACGAAGAAGCGCTTTTCTTTAATAAAATAAAAATACTTAATAATTAAAATCAAAATTTTTATAATTAAAAATACTTTGAATGATTTTTCGATAGCATTTTTTATTAGCTTGTTTGATAATGAAAATAAAAGTTTAGATGAATCAACACAAAGCTATGGCTGAAAATCTATTTTCATTTCATCAATACCTTTCTCTACCTTATAAGCTAATCTGTCTATTTACTCAATAGCTCTCATAAATTCTTGAGTGTAATTTTTGTTTACTTCAAAGCTACTTGCCTTTTTTTATATTATTTAAATATTTAAACAAAAGATTTGATTTTAATGAAGAAATTAATCAATCAATTACTTGTATAGTCTTTTTAAATGTTCTGAATTACTTAAAATAATCTAAAGACTCAATGCTAGAAATAAATCCAAGCATTACTTAAGATATTTAAAGAGAAGCCACTTCCTAAATACTTAATTTATTCTTGTTAAAAACTTCTATCCAACTGTATAATTTCAGATTGTTTTTGTCTTAAACAAGATGAGGCTTATTTGTAATATATCTTGTGATTTGTTGTCTTTAACAATTTGACTCCTATCCTACCTCTTAAAATTCAAATTTTTCTTTATCTTTCAACGGGAGCTTGTTAACAAAGTTGTTTGCACTCAAGTAAGGCAAATATTTTTAATAGTAAGAGTTTACATCATAGTGGACAGATTCAAATTCAGTATCAAATTTAACTAGCTAAAATCTGTACAACCCTACAACTTCCTATATTATCTTTTCTTTTTTCTCATCCTTATTCACATGATTTTCCAATATGCTATCAATTGTTTAGCTTAAGCGATCAATAGGCAAACTTATAGCTTCTAATGCTTTCTTTTAATCAATATGCTATGTCAGTTATTTATTGAACAAAAACTCCTCTCTCTTTTTAACAGCTGCACGGTATCTTTAATTCAAAAAAATAAATTTTAATAAATAAAATTCTCAGAAACAAACAATCAAACAAATAAAAGCTAGTTATAAAACAAAAGTCAAACAATTCATTGCAGTAATAATTTGATCTGATAGATTATAAAATAGCTCAATAATTGATGACTGATAATTCAAAATGAGCTTAATAGCTAAGGAATTGAATAATATGATTGTAAAAAAATGAATTAAAATCAAAGAATTATTTTATATTTTTAAAGCCAAACTAATTGAAGGAATAATAAATAAACAAGAAAATAATAAAAAAATGAAATGATTGATTTATGAATACCTTTTTTTAAATTCTGCAGGATCATCAAAGTAAAACATTAGATTAAGTCGCTTAACTTTTTTATATTTGGCTTTTTAAATATTGCTCCATTGAATAGTAAAGAATTTTGTTTATTCATTGTAATCAAGTACTATGCAGTTTTTCCAAAATACCTTTCCGTTTTTATCTTACCAACGAGACATTGCTTATTGGGGTCCAGCTGAAAGCATTTCTTTGAAATCTGTATCTTGAAGGGCATATTCATCGTATTAATCTAAGGGCTCTATCCTAAAATTATTCCTATGTGGTATATTAATATTTAAGATATTTGAATCTTATTCATCTAATGGCTCTAACAGTAAAGTAGGATCGCAAAAATCGTCTTCAAATGTTTAGTTGATGCCTCTATTCTACTATTAAAACATCTCATTGAAATCACTTACTAGGGTATCTTCGTTTAGATATGAACCTTAAATAACACTATCTTCTATCATCTTACTTGAATTATTTTAAGGAGATAAGCTGATATGCTTACTGCCTTTTAAGCTTATAGATTGTTAATTACTCATAGAGATATTGTTTTTTATGGTATTAGAAGGTGTGCTATTTAGAGGCTAAATGATACTTTTTCTATTAAAAGGACTAAGCATATTTGAAAAAATACTATCCTTTTTATTGCCTTAGTTGTTGCTATGAATAACAGACATATCATGAATTTCTAAAGTTTGTAAATTAATATTTTTTTACTTTTATTCTTTACTGTTAGATTATTCAGACTACCAATATTCTTAGTTTTATTAGTCATTTATGATATTAATAAGCTGTTTTTAAAAATGATCATCTTCTTCATTTGTTTATTAATTATTATTAACCTAAAATAAAATTTCACTTTAGTTTTTACGCAAAATAAGATTCTTATCATTAGTCTTGTTTAATGAAAAGTTTAAATTTTATTTATCTTCAAATATAGAAGTTTGTTCGCTTAAGCCTGGTCCAGCAATTATACGAGAAATATTTTGCAGCAAATCTTCTGTTTCTCTTTAATTTTTAATTGATTTCTCCATTAATGAATGAACTTAACGATCTGATTACATTTTATTAATCTTAGGAAATCTTATTTACCTTTCCTAGCTATCAAGCATAAGCGAATGGATTCCTAATGTTTGTTTCTTTGTTTATTAATTAATTTATTATTAATATAAATATAAATATCAATTCATTTTATGCTTTTCAAACATAGTTTGATTTAAAAAATATTTTTTGTATGCTTAAGTTAATATGTAGAACAAACTAATTAATTAATTGACTTTGTTGAATGTTAATTATAAATTTCTATCAAAAGTAAAATTTTACTTAAATATTATCAAACTTTCTGCTGTAGAATTATTTTGCATTTATTTTAAATTAAGGACTCCCTACTGCTGTAGCTCTTGCCTATTTCCTTTTTATGTTTGCAATTTCCATTTTATCATTTTCGCAATTTAAATAATCTTAATCTAAGATCTTATTATTTTCTGTGTTTTTGACTATGCTTATAAAACTTTTCTCTTTAATGGTTGATGGTATTTAACTCTTTTCAAGATTTTTCTATCCTTTCATAGTAGAGAATGACTTTAGTTTCCTTTTTAGTCCTCCCTTTTTAAAAATATAATTTATAAATTGATTGCTTTTTATTTTTGCATTTTTAAATGGCATGCGTGCTTGATTATTTTGTAAAGTTTTACTTGTTGATAGGAGTTTCCCCTTTATTCTCCATACTTCTTCTTTAATTCTTCTAAATCTTTCATAGCCAAGATGGCTTAGAAAGGAACTTTTAATCCAGATTGGATATTTGGTAAGCTTTGAGAATTAGGTAAACTATTTCGCTTTGAATTCTCACTATCCATCTTTCTTAACTAAATTAATTGCAAATTTTAATTGATTTAAATAAACTATTTAGTTTAATTTGTTATTAAAAAACTGATATTACTCAAAAATTGACAAAAAAAGTAATAATAAATTTTTTTTGTTAGTTAATATTCTTCATGTTGAAAAAAGAAAAGATTCTTTGCTGCAAAGTATTATAATTAGTAGATAGATAGATCATAAATAACCCTATTTTTTTTGTAAGTATACTTATTAAATCATAAATTTAAAAACACAACTTTAAAACAATCTAAATTATAACTTTTGAATGAATTTTTAAGCTTCATTAAAAAAATGTATTTTTTTTACTTTATTTAGTTTTTTAAGGTAATGCACAAAATTAGTAAAATAAATTTAATCTAAATTATTAATTGAAAACAATCTGAGTAAATAAACCCAAACAAAATAACTAATTTGAATTATTTATATGCTATGTTTCAAAAAAAAATTTAAATCAATTTTTAAAAACTTTTAATTAATTCATAAATAGATTAAAAATAATAAGAAATGTTTTAAATCCAAAAATTTTCAAAAATTCCTAAGCAATTTTAAGTTGATAAAAAAAGAAAAGTTTTGAAAAAATATATTAGAATTCTATGAATTAGATTAAGAAATATTACTTAATTTAATTGTGAGGATTAAAGTAAATCTAATAAACATGGAATATTAAATCTTATTTAATAATATTTAAAATGTGTATCTCTTGATAAGTATTTTTAAAGTTGATTTTGATAATGTTTAAAGGAAAGTTTTACAATAATTTAATGTAAGTAAATACATTTTTGAAGAAAAAAATTAAAGATAATATTAATATAAATGTATAAATAGAAGTACAATATTATATAGGATCTTAATGTAAATGATTGTATAGGTCAGATAAAATATAAATAGTAAGGTGTTTTATGCATTATTTAATTTAATTTGAATGAATTATATTTTTACTATGGTAAAACGAAGATTCAATTATCTTTATTTAAGCTACTTGCTTAAACACTTTGAATCAGGTTTTCGATAAATTATTTGTTATGTGTTAATTATGAAAATAAATCAAATAGTTATTTGTTGTTATTATCTTGTTCTTATAATATATTTGCTTGAGACTGATATTCATTATCTACTTCATTTATTTTCTCATGCTATTAGGAATTAAAACTCTATGAATTAAGATTTTTAAGATTTTCTTGCTTACTATCAAAGTTAAAAGAGGCTTGATATATATCTTTACTCTCTAACTGATACTTTTACTGTTATATATTAACAGTTTCATGATTAAATAAGTTGATTTATTAGTTAAGTGAGCCACTATTTTGCTATGTTTAATCACTCATATTACAAGCCATACTTTATATGGATTACTTAAATGAACTATTTTAAATTTATGGTTTTTTCTATTTATTTGTTTATTATAATTAAATTAAATTTTAAATAATTTTAAAATAAAATATTACAATAGGTGTTGCAAAACTGCCTGTAGAAATTATTTTCTAAATATTAACATTGTTATCCACATTATTTTAGAATTGTTTATTATTTTATTCATTTTGAAATTCATTTTAACTCTCTTTTTATCTATTTAAAATTATTTTTAAAATTGATTAAATATTATTTAATAATAAAAGAATTTTACATATTTTGTTAGTTATTAGCTATACTTTAGATATAATTTATAGCTTGAACTAGCTGTAGCATGTCATTTATTTAATTAGAATTTATTTATTCCTGTAATTCATAATATAAGGCTTCACAATACTTCAAACGAACTGTTTACTAATAAAATAAATTTTATATTTACTTGAAACAATTTTAAAATCGAAATATCATTTTTAGAAATTTAATAAAGTAAAAGAATAATATAAAAAATATTATGAATATTACCTCCAATTATTGAACTCTTTATTAGAGCTAATCTTTAGATAAAACCAACTAGTAACACTACTTTACGAGTTATTCATTTTTTATTTTTAGTCTTTTATATTCTTCTTCATAGTTCACATCCTTACTAAAAGCAGGGCATTCTAAATTATTCAAAATAATTAATAAGTTAAGGAATCTTTAAAAATTATCTTATAATTCTAATGTATCATCTTGATATTTTAAGTTGATCAGAATATGTAAAAAATGCGATAAAATCATCAATTTAACAATTGATATTGCTCAAATATTATTGAGAAAAAAAACTATACTTCTCACAGCAAAAGACATTAGATTTAACACTTCTTAGTCATTAGAGAAATCTTTTAGAAGCATACTGACGAATGAAGTCAAATTAGGAGGAGGCAGTAGAAGGACATTAATTACTTAATTAAGCTATTATGAACTAACTTTTGAAATTAACTCCTTGACCTTAAAATCTTCTAGGTCATTTTTTAGGTTCATTTAGATGAGATTGAAGTTAGCTTTATATTTAGTGAACTATCTGCTATTTGATTCTTCTTCCCTTTATGGGATTATCTATTTTTCTGTTTGCTATGACAAGGTCAATCAATCAATAAAGGCTTTAAATTTGATTATCTTCACTTTTATTTAAATTAAAAATTTTATTATGATTTTATTTTGCAATGTTTAGAAATTCTTTATCCTTCCTGACCATGAAAATTAATCATTATAATTATTTATAATCATTCATTTTTTGAAATTTTTTTTTAAAGCACATTTTATTTGAAATGAATAATATTTGTATTATCAAAAATTTTCAAATTAATCCAAAAAAAATCAATGTATTTATCCATTTTTATTTTAATTTAAAAAAAAACAAAAAGGCTAACTCGTGCAACCATTAACTCTGATATTTCAATCAAAAACTCTTCATTTACTTAACCAAATCAATTTATAAAAATATAAATGCTTTATATTTTTAATAATCAAATCAATAAAACCTAATAGCTTGAATTATATCATGAATGAATGAGAATGCAAAAAATAATTTATAAAAGCTAAGCTTAAAATAAATATATAATACATTATTCTCCATTTAAAAAATATTCTTTTTATTTTTATAAATACTATTTATTTCTTTTTGCTTTTATTTTATTTAACACCTATTACACCTTATTTATTGATTTGCATAGCATTAAATCTCATTTTGTTGTTACTATTTTTGGTAATTAAAACTTTTTCTAAAAATCACTAATTATTTTTGATATTTTTGTTATATTTACATAAGATTTGATATTTAATATATTTATATTTTAAGTAATTTATTTGATTTTATCGAAAATAGTTATTTTAATCAAATTAGTTTCTTGATAGAATGAAATTTAATAAAATAAATTTACAAGCTCCAGTGATTTAAATAATAGTTAAAAAGTAAATACATTATGAAGAGGTATAAATATTATGGTTTTCATGATTTTATCAATAATTTTAAAATAAAAAGAATCAAAATTAATTTAAGTAATTAGTTTTGTTTTATTAAATTTTTAAATTGTTTAATAAAAATTTTGATTTTAATATTTTTATTAAAAAAATGATAATTTCAGAATAAATATATTTTAATAATTTTATTTTGAATAAGATTAAAAAAATTGAGAATTATTTTATTAATTTTATTGATAATTTTTGACTTTGTTTTATTAAATAAGTTTTATTTATTTTTAATATTTCATTTGTTTTAATTTTAATTTTTAATTAAAAATAATAGATTTTAAATTATTATATCATAAGATATAAAATTTTGCTTAAGAGTAATAAATTTTTATATTTCTATAAATTTGATGGATAAAATCCTTTCAAATATTTTAATAATTAGCTTGATAATAGCCATTGTTAATTATCAATTATAGTTTCTTATCATATAAATTCTTTTTTCAGTTTTATATTTTTTTTTAATATTTTTGATAGTAATGTATTTATTGTTTTCTTTCAAATATTATTAATTATACCTTCTTGATATTTTTTTAATAAATTACCTGAAAATTAAATTATTTAATAGGTATTTACGATTTACTCATAAAATTTGTAATTTTTAAAAATAAAATTTTGAAGTACTTCAATTTCTTATTAAATGCAAATATAAATGGAACATAAATAACAAAAAATTTCAATGCATTTTTTATGTCTTTTTTACATTTTGGGCTTCATAGATTAGTCAAAAATTGGAAATTTAGTTTATTTTGTTTGCCTTCGGATTGATGGTTTTAATTGAAGTATTGAAGATGAAAATAAATTTAAAAAGGTAAATTTTTCAATAAAATGAATAGTTAAATGAAATGGAAATACATGAGAATCTTCAAGCACATTTTTATTTAAAGTAATTAGAAAATGTGAATTAGGTATAAATTGTATGTTACATTTTAAGGATCTTACTAATATCAATTTAACTTAATTTGTATTCAAATGGGCACCTGTCTCATAATTTCCTATTTATTAAGAAAGTGTGATAAATTCAATACAAATCTACTTTTTAAATAAATTATGTTAATTATTTATTGCGTCATAAAGAGCTTAAAATTTATTTGATGGTGATGACATAAATTTTAATTAAAAATAAAAATTTTTAGCAGAGAGAGGTTTCGATCCTCCGACCTTTGAGTTATGAGCCCAACGCGATTCCACTTCGCCACCCTGCTAACGCGAAATTTAATGTTAAGGAAAGAAAGTAATTACTGCAAATCTTTATTATATTAGATAATCTAGAAAAAAAAAATTAGAAATAATAGCTTAACATAGTGATGTCATTAAAATTCGTAGGTATTTTCAACTCTGATGATTCTTATTTTGATAGGCACAAGAGATATCTGAAATATGACGTAAAAAAAGACACTACGATTTTTTATCTGTACATTTAAATTATCCTTATATTATTTGTAAAAAACTTTTTCATAAACACATGTTTACTGTAAATAAAATCTTGCTTACTTAATTAGATTTCTATCTAAAATGATATGAGATTCAGAATATTCTTTGATATTTAATTTTTTAATTTAGTAATAATCATTTAAGGTCTTGATCTATTTATCATGATTGTGAGGCTTAGTTACTTGTTTAAAGGGCATATTCATAAAATTAAATTGAGATTGGGGAAATTATACTAGTTTTTCAATATGAAAACAATTTTTTATTCGCTATATATTTAGGGAATCAAAATTTAAGTATATTATTACGTATATAATATCAATATATCATACTCAAAGTTCGTATTATCTGAAAGCTTATCAGATATCTTAAAGAATTTATATAAAATTCCATAATTTTACTAATATTTACACTAATTACTATCTTATTTTTAACATTATTAAATATGATCCTTTTTCTCATATACTTATCTTATTAGGCTGAAACAGAAAGGCTGTTCTGATTATTTTTTTAATTTAAACTGTAGTAACTTAAGCCTAAACATATTTAGTCTTTTGCTGTATGTTTAAACGAGTTGATATTTAAATATAAACCACGAATATCAAATTAAAATTTAAAGTTACTGGCCAAAATAGATACATTTTTTATGTTTTTTATTTATTTCATTTAAAAAATAGAGCTAAGCTTTACTTTTAATGAGAAAAAGTAAATAATATAAATTCAAATTACTTAAAAAAGTAATATAAGATTAAATTATGATCATTCGTTCGTCATCTACATAAAGACATATATATACATTTAACTTTGATAAATCAAAAAAAATTTTTTTACAATATTATTAAATTAATTAGGATAAATTAAATTAAATTTAAGATACCAAAGGTATATTAAGAAGGATACATTACTAACTCTTGATAGAAAATATTCAATAAAGAAGCTTTAGTCTTCAATTTAAATCTCGAAAATACTTTAGAAAGCAATCAAAAGCATTCTTGAATTAAATATTATAACGATAGACCTTATCGCTTATCTGAGTTTTTAAAACTAATTTATTATAAAACAACGAAATTTTTAAACTGCTTTTCATACGTTCTCTAAGTAAAGAGAATGGGATTAAATTATCTTCGCAAAATAGATACCTTCGGAGTTCCAATAGACCTCTGTTTTGAAAAAAAGAAAGTTCATAAAACTCCTTGGGGTGGATTTTGGACGTTGATAATATTTTTGTTTTCTCTAGCTATGTTTACTATACTTGGTATGGAGATACTTCTGAGGCAAAACCCGAGCATCATTACTATTGAATAGCTTGAGAGAAATCCTTCCTTCGACGGGAGTTATAATGATAGTAGTATTTTAGACTAGAGATCTACCTACAAGTCTTCTGATATTGTGTTTGCTCTGGGAGCGCTCGATAAAAATCTTTAGTTAATTTAAAATTGGTCTGATTCTTTCGAAGTAACAGGCTAAATAGTAGATTAAAGAGATTTTAAAATAGTAAATTAAATATAGCTATCAAGCTTTTAAAGCTGCAATTAAATTGAATTTATGCAAAATTCTAACAACTAAAAGTTATTTGGCTAGTTTGATCTATCAAATATGTTATGTATGCAAAATGATGATATCTTAAACTACTACTTGACAGGAGAGAACGGCTCATAAATTTATAGTTTTATTAATATTTAAATTACTTTTAAATTACCTTTAGATGCAAACCTTATGCAACAGCTACAATACATTGGTCTATTCTTTACAGATCAAATAATGGATGTATAAAATTTCTCAAACACTCTAACTAAATATCGTAAAAATATCCTATAAAAAGTTGACCTAAGTTCCTAGTACAAAATACTATTAAGAAATTAGTATGGATAGATAATGACTGATTCAGGTTTGATGTGGACAGATTATCAAAAGTTAAATTTTTTTTCTTTTAAAAGCTACTCAGTAAGTAATAACAAAGCAACAGGAAATACTCTCTTGGAAATTCAAACTGAAACAGACCCAAAACTTTTAATTTATCAAGTAAACAAATTTAAATACATGATAAAAGTGATTTAAATTTTTTAATTAAAATATTCATGTTTCAAAGCATAAACTCGCGCACTTTTTCAATAAAAAGCTTTGAAAAACGCGTTTACTCTTTTTTTATAGATTTAATTGTGTTTATTTTTAATATAAAACATCTCCTATTTTCCCCCATTTAATTAAAAATTCAAAACAAAAATTCTTTATTTCAGTTAAAGGTTTTGACAAATTAATTTGATTAATGAATTCAAAGAGTTCTTTTTATATAGATTTGAAATTAAATAATTTTTTTCCTAATTTAATTCAACAAAATAAATAAAAACCTATGAATAAAATAATTTGATTTATATTTTTAATAGATTAAAAGTATCTTTACTTAAAATAAAATATCTTTCTTTAATCTTTTTCAGATTTAATTAAGAATTTAACAAAAATTCCGAAAAATAAATTTTCATTCATTTCTGAATTACAAAAGGCTATTAATTTTCAAATAAGATATTTTTAGTCAATTAATTTATTAAGCTTACTATTGATCATTTTTCCATCAAATATAGAAAACCTTTATTTATTTATATTTTAATTTAATTAACCATAGAGAAAATACATGAAGGTTACAGAGCTAATGGCCACCATCGGAGGTTTTATAAAAGCTTTACTCATAGCTGGGTTTTTGCTAGCCAACCCTATTTCAAAATTGTCTTTGAAAACAGAGCTAGTCAACCGTCTGTTCAATTTCGAAGGGATAGATGAATAAGATAAGGAATAAATTTAAGGAGACATATAAAATGAAGAAATAAAGCTTTCGAAGGGATTTAGTAAACAGGAAATGAGAAATAACAAGCTTAATACTAATGATAATTAGATTTAGTTAAACTTTATGAGGAATAATTCAAGGTAATTTACTCAGATTAATACTAAAAATAATCTGAAAGATGGACCTCCCGTAACGTACACGGAAAGTTTGAATACTACAGCGGTTCAACCTATTTTAACTACAAATTTTAGTAATTTGAATAATCATCCATAAATTTTCCCTACAATATAAAAAAATACAAGCTAAATTAAAATGAATTAGCTAAGTTTACTGAAAATTGCAAGAAGAAAAAATCAAAGCATGAATGATATATCTGCAAATGGGTTACCTAGTCGAAAGAGTTTTTCACCAATGCATACCTAAAATCAATTAAGTTTGTAAAAGGATAAGGTGAAACTTGTTAGGACAATGCTGAAGAGTTTTGTTAGTCAGCATTCCATGAAACCAGAAGATTGTATGAAGGCGAGTACTATGCTTGGTGCTCACAAAAAAGAAGATCCAGATGCTGTCTTTAAAAAACTGTTTAAATCTAACGAGAAAACTCTAAGTATGAAATTATGGGATTACATTAAATATTTTCTAGGTTTAAAAAATGAGGTAAAAAATAAATAAATAAAATTTTCAATGAGAAAAGTGAATGAAAGATTGGATATAGTTTTTATCATGAAGAAATTAATAGAAGTTGATAAGCTAAAAATGCTATTTCTCAATGAAAATTAAAGGAAAATATTTGAGTATCTACCAAGACCTATTGTCAGATTAGACCCTGAGCAGCAATAGGAAGAATGTGAGAAATACACTTTAAATTAGGCATGGGCACGTTAAATGTTTTTCAACGATAAAAACTATATCAGCAAAGCATCAGAAGCAATGCTTGCTTATTAGTAAATTATTTAGAAAGGGAAAGAATTAGATCCTCTAGATTAGAAGTTGATAGAAATGCTAGACGAATCGAAGAAAATCTACTTTTAATAAGATTCTCCAACTTACTCTCCTACTGGACATATGAAAAGAAGTCATTTGTCAGTAATAAATAGTATTAATCACTCTCCTAAAAAGAAGTAAGACAACAACATGTTTTTGAATGGATTGTAAAATATATCACCAGCTGAAAGTATCGAATTAAATGAAAATGACATTTAAGAAATAAAAATATAAGAAATCTAAAACTAATACTCTAACTCACCTAAAAAATAAATGTCTTACCAAAATCCAGATCAACTTCTTCATATGTATGATAACACAAGGCGTTTCAACAGAAAAAATACACAACATTTTATGAAATAGAGAACTCTTTAGTTTGGGGATTTGAATCAGGATTTTGAAAATTCAACTTCAAATCAAGTTTACAAATATCCTTCCCATATCTAAGAAAAGAACAAAGAATTTGTGCATGAAACCTCATAACAAGAAAATAGAATATCATAATAAGAAAGTCGTACTTAGTAAAATAACTAACAGCAGGTACAGAATAATAGTTAACAAGTTACCTGTCATTTTATTACATAGTAAAGTAATTCACCATAGCAAAAGTAGATAAAATAAATTTCATAATAATCTATTTAGAAAGATATTCCTAATTTGTTTCTTATCAATCAAAATTCGCTTTCAAACAACAAAATCTTAGAAAGAGTGCCTGATTTACCTAATATAGAGATAGTTTAAGATATAGAAGTACCAAAGAATACTGTCAAAACTCCTAAATAAAAACTATTCAACTAATTTTTCTCAAATTAAAATAATTTTTCATCTTCTGTATCAAGCAATAGTTAAAGTAAGAGTGAAGGAAGTAGCTGTGATGCGGAAATAAATAATGATTATAACAATTGCGAGCTACCTGCTGATGAAAAAATTCAAAAACATGAAATAAAAGATAACCATATGCAACCAAGCAATTATCAATAACAAAATTGTTTCAGAATGACAATAAATAACTTTGAGTAGCCAACTTCAGACATTTCGCAAGTGACATTTATGAACGGCAAAAAAAATTTCTTAGAAAGTAATCATGAATATGTTAAAAATTTAGAAAAATAAAAGAAAAAATAAAGCATTGATAGGAAAAATTCAAATTTAAGCTTGAGAGAATATGAAAGCAGTAGTAAAAAATTCAACTTATCCATGTAAAAAGAAGATATCACAGGTTTAGCTGCTTTTAGAGAAAATTCTCTCTTAAATATTTCATTAGAGCCATTTACAAGAGCTCCTCTAAATTGAAGAAAGAGCTAATTAAAGTCAACTACAATAAATTTTATATAAACAAAATATACCAAAATAACAACAAAAGGTAAAAATAGATGAAAGAAATCATCGCCCTGACTTCTTTAGAAGAAGCTCTACTTAAATTTTGATCTAAGCCATTTAGAAGAGGTTATCTAAAACTAATAAAAAGCAATTATAAAGAAGAAAGCAATACTGTATATAATATTAATCACAAAAACATAATATCAAAAATAAAATAGAGCGTTGATGTAATAAATAAATTAATAAATAAATAATTTAGAAAATTATAATAACCAACAAAAAAAGTAAGGAACTTTTGTTATTTATTTAGATAAATAGATAAGATTTTATTTACTAATTTAATTTAAATTAATAATCATATTATATTGCGCAAAAAAAATCACAGAAATACTTTTGTTCAGTTATTATTAATATAAGCCACTCTTTTTAAGAAAAACAAATACACCTTAATAGATAAATTTCAACCAATTGCTAATTTATCTATGGTTATTATTGTAGATAAACATTATTACTCTCTTTCAAATAAACCAATAAAAATTTATTTATTTTTAGCCACTATTTTAATAAAATTCTAATTGGACATTGTATCCATGTAAATAAATATCTTTCTAATTATTCATTTTATTACAAGAATTATTATTACCATTTATTTCACCATCCCTTCTTCACAATGAACTAGCTAACTATAAAATTAAGGATGTATCTATATATTTATTTATTTCAATATGTATGCAAAGCTATTAACATTTACTTATTAAGTTAACTCTATTAAACAATATATACACAAACATGTTTAAAATATTCTATTGATTCATTTTTATTGAATGAAAATGCATTTATCTACTTACAAAATCAAATTTTTATATAATTTGTTTGTTTTTTTCTTTTAATAATATCTAAAACGTTCTAAAATAAATGAGCCTAATACTTCCTAAAAACATTTTTAAAATTATAATTTCATAGATATTTATTTACAATAAAATGTTTTCAAAAAGAATATCTATAAAATTAATCTATTATCAGTTGCTCATGACTGTTTTCTATGATCTAAATAGCTTTTGTTTAAAATGGAATCATACATTTAATATTAATAATAATTATTTCCTCCACCAAATAACACGTATTCATACACTTTTTAATTTACAATAATAAATTATTAATTTCTATCAAGCTAAATCATATAATTTACGCTTACTAATCTAATCTTTATAATGCCAGTAAAAATCAAATGACACATTAATTGCTTCTAATATTATCAGTTCTAGCAAATTTATAAATATTGTATATTTTTTTAAGCTAAATGGCACAGTTGCATATTCGTTTTAAGTTTTATTTATTTTTTGATGAAAAATGACTCAAAAGTTTCATAAATAAAACCCATCTATCAATGTATATATTCACATTAGTCCTTTTAAAAGCTCTATAGAAAATATTGACTGGACTGTTCTTATTAAGATATCTCTTACTTTATAGAGGATATCAAATTAACATTATATATGAGGGAAGTTTTTTTAAAAAGCGGTAATCGCCCAACTCGAATAAAATTTGACATATAGGGACCTTGTATTTTTGATTTTATTCGATTTGGGCGATTACCGCTTTTTAAAAAAACTTTGCACATATGTATTTTATATATTCATATATTATAAATTTCTTTGCCTTTATAAGCTTTCCTTATTCTGTACAAAGAAATGAAATTATTTTAATAGTTTAACTTTGAACAGATACAATCATTATAATTTAAAATATCTCATTTAAAACTATTTTTGACCTTAAAAATTTTAATTCGATTTCAAATCTACCTTTAAAAAACAAACTATAAACTAAAATATTTTGAAACTTGGAAAAAACTTATTGTATGTTTAAATAAGAACTAAATGAGCATTTAAAATGTTCCTGTTAAAAATCCTTATCTTTACAATGAAACTAGTTTTCTTGTTTCTAGATTAGCATTAGTTGAATTATATTGAACCAAAAAAATAATCAAAATGGGCTAATCCTTTTGTTTCTTAACTAAAACCTGCTCATTCTATAGATTTTACCTATTGTCTTTAGCTGCAAGCAGCTATCTCTTATATTTACATTGCATATTTGCTTTAGTTTTACAAAAATTTACATGATTTGCTTATGTAAAACAAAAAAATTGTTAATAATATGAAGTGATCAATTGAATGATAATTTTGAAGAGATATTAAGAAGATATTTTCCACAAAATCAAAAGAATTAATAATAATCCTACTTGTGTGTTTTTTTATTGAGGAAAAAGCAATAATGCTTTTATAACATTTGAAGTAAAATAATAGAATTATTATAAAAAGTTAGTACCAGCTTTCTATGTTACAACCATGATTATATTACTTCGGATTTATCATTTTTTAGAGTTTGCTTCATATTTGCTCGAGTTTTCTAAAAATATATTTATGATGTTTAGCTTGAATGAACAAAAAAAAACCAGTGAATCTTATTTTTGAGAGAACAATTAGAACGGTAAATGTAAAAGAGAGGATCCTCATTAAATATAGTTTTGAATCCAGCATGATAAAAAACGAGTGACTTTTATTAGAGAAAGGTGAGAGATAATAAATAAATAAATTCAAGCATATCAGAATTAATATTTTGGTGGAACTTCTTTCCCCATGCCATCAAAAAATTATAAATAAATTAATTAATTAGACGTTCTATTAATAACTGGTCAATAAATTTTATCTAAGTTATTGAAAGTTGATAGGAATCTGGACTTTATATCTGATGCGATCTTTTCTAAAATATAATTATAATAATCAAAATAATATTTATTAAACAATACAATTATCAAAAATAATTAAACAAATCAATAGAAATGCAAGCAAGCTTAGAAGGTGTTTTCAAGAAATTCACTGCCAACAAGGCTGATATGGATGGTAAGACTTTTGCCAAGTTCGCCAAGGATTGTGGTTTACTTGACAAGAAGCTCACTGCTACTGATATCGATCTTATCTTCGCTAAGGTTAAGACCTCTTCAGCTGTTAGAACTATTACTTTTGCTCAATTCGAAAAGGGTCTTGATCAAATGGCTACCAAGAAGGGTATCTCCTTGGATGCACTCAAGGAAAAGGTTACCTCTGCTGGTGGTCCCACTTTCACTGGTACCAAGGCTGATGCCGTCAAGTTCCATGATGACAAGAGTCTTTACACTGGTGTCTATGCCAACGGTGGTCCCTCTACAGTTGACATTGGAAACGGAAAGATTTCTGATATCTCCTAACTTTGTGACAGAACTGGTGCTGACGTTAGAGGTGTCAAGAAATGAAAAACTCTACTTCACTTTATATTAACTGAATTATAATATTATCCACATTTATTCAACACTTATTTGTAATTCCTACTATATTGTTTTGTAACTATTGAATAATTAATATTCAAAGCCTTTCAAATATCTCTTCAATATATATTTATTTATCTATTAAATAAAATTAACTATTAATTAAATATTTTGAGTAAATCTAATCAAAAATACTTCAAAGAGTAATACAATGAAATAGAGAAGCAAAAGAAGCTTTAAAAATAAACATTAAATAATTTCTAATTTTCAAGCTGATATTAATATATATTATTATAATTCAAAAAAAATATGTTATCATACTTCTATCTAGCAACTTCAATAATTTATTATTATAATTCTATTAGCAAAAATGAAGTATTTTAAAAATATAAATCTTAAATTTCTTTAAAAAAATCAATTTTTAAGCTAAATATTTTTCAATTAAGATATATTATTTGTATCAATCTTTAAATAAAAAGATTGAATTGATTGATTAAATGATTTTTACAATTATTTTGATGATTATTACTAAAATGATCAAAAAATGATCTTTTAATATACAAACAAATTTAATTTAAAATAGTAATACTCATTTTGCTTTTTTATTAAAAATTAACATAATTTTTACAAGTAAAATTTTCTTTCTGTGAAAATTTGAAAAAAATTCAATAATTTGTTTTAAAATTTTTTAGCAGTTCTTTCCATAAATTAGAATTTTAAGAATGAACAATTAATTTATAATAAAAGTTGGTTGAATGAGACAAGCTGAATTTACTTTTTACCAAAGATATTATTTATTTAGTGAGAAAGAGCATTCAGCTATTATAATTCCCTATAATTACTTGAGCAATCTTCTTCTTTTTATTTAGGCTAGCAAGATTCTTGGAATTATTTTAGTATATAAAGTTATACTTTTGCCTCATATTTTATAATTTTGTGTTAATATCAAATGGATGCTGGCATAAATTTGTTTTCTTCTTGAAATGTTTAAAGAAATTTTTTTGAAGTTAAAAGTTGATTATAAAATTTATGCTTAATTCGCATGCATATATATTCTCAGAATGAATGTAGTTAATCATAATTGCTTTTTATAGTAGTAGGATTTTTATATCAAACAAATGAAACATTTATTTATTTATTTAGTATTTTTTTTATTTACTGGACTAGATAATTATTTTGTATCCTCAATTAAAATCCTATTATAACTTATGGTAAATTAAATTTTATGGAAAGAAAAAAAGAATTGTTCTATTAAATTTCTTAATTAACTAAATTAATAATGATAATTAAATCTTTTAGATTTATAACTTTGTTTTACTGAACCTATATAAATCTATCTGCAGTAGTTTCTCATTATCAATGAAATTCAAGCATATTAACTAATTAAATATTTAACATAATTATGTCTTTAAAAGCAAAGAACTGAACTCCGAAAAATAAGTATAATCAAATTAAAATATAAAAATTCACAAAATAAACTAATAAATCAAATACAAATAAAATACTTATAAAAATGAATTCTAGCTTAGAAGGAGTCTTCAAAAAATTCACTGGTGGTAAAATTGAAATGGATGGCAAGACTTTTGCTAAATTTGCTAAAGACACTGGTCTTCTTGATAAGAAGCTCACTGCTACTGATGTTGATTTAATATTTGCTAAGGTCAAAGGATCTTCTGCTATTAGATGCATCAATATTAGATAATTTGAAGAAGGTATCAACTAATTTGCTGCCAAGAAAGGAATTTCTGCCTAAGATCTCAGAGAAAAAGTTACTGCCTCTAATGGTCCTTCTTATTCAGGTACTAAGGCCGATGCTGTTAGATTCCATGATGATAAGAGTCTCTACACTGGTGTTTATGCCAATGGTGGTCCCTCTACCATTGATATTGGAAGCGGAAAAATCTCCGATATCTCTCAACTTTGTGATAGAACCTCTGCTGATGTTAGAGGTGTTAAACATTGATCTATGTAGCTTTTACCTAAATTAAAATTAAATAAAATACATTAAATAAATTTACATTATGTTCCACATACTATTAATATATACTACATAAAATGTTATTCAATTTTAGCTTAGTTTTCATTTAAAAAAAAATATCTTCTGCCTTTTTTACCCATTAACACTTTTTAATGTTCGAAGTTTAAAATTTATATAAAAATTTAATGAGTTTTCAAAATATTTAAAATACAATTTTTATATTTTAAATTAATTGATTATTTATAAATAAATGTTACTATTATTTACTTTGCTTAATAAATTTATTTGTTTTTAATTCAAGCAATAGCAATGAATATTTATATTAACTTTTTTATATTCTTAATTACTCAAATATTGCTGTAGTGATGAATTTTAAATTTTACTCAATAGGAGAAAATGATGATTAAATTAACTTCAAAATAACTTGAATTTATTTAAATGAGGTAATATTTTTTAGTTAAGTTGAAAAGAAAGTTAATTTTTTTATTTAGAAATATACAAAGCATGATTGTAAAGAAAGATAAAGTTAATTAAAAGAAAACCTAATAATAATCTAAGATTAGTAGAATAAATAAAGAAATATTAAATGGCTTCTTAAGTAGCAAATAAGTTTAAGTACTTGGACATTTTTGGTTAAAAAGTTATTTTAAATTTTCATGAGAATAGTCTAATTCAAACAGTTTTTGGAGGTATAACTGCTAGCTTGGTGTGTGCAGTTGCCATCATCTTCTGCTACAACTCAGTATGATATATAAATTCTACTTGTATAAATCAGTTCAATTATACTTAAATACTTTTTTTAAAATTAATTAGACGAACGATGTTCTTAACAAAGGTATTTCGAAATATTAGAATTTGAGGCATATGTGAATGACTAAAATTTAAAATTATTTTTAAACTAATTAGTTAATTTTACTGTGCAAGGCAACAAGATATTTTCAGATAATCCATCTTAATTAAATTTAACATCTGATAAGTTTATGATAGCTGTGAATATGATATAAGATAATTTTATTTAAAATCCCTATCTAAATATCACCCTTTAGCAAAGAGTATACACATTACTACCTAATGGTACTTAATTAAAGCAAAATGTATATTAAAATATAAAAAATCTATAAATACTGAATATTTGTTTTAAATAGATTGATATTTAGCTGGAATAATGCACTTTTAAGCATTGGGATGCTCTCAATAAACCAGGAGATATAATTATAACGAAAGATCAATACAATTCATACAATATTTCTAATTATTTATGTCCAAAGTAAGTTTCAATATATAGATAGATAGATACATCCATCTTTTTAAACTTCTTATCAATTTTTTTCTACTTTTTAAGATATTGTTTGAAAAAATTTAAAATATTTTGCGTTATTTTAAAACACTCAATTTGATAAAAAAATAAATAAATACTTTAAAATTTTTTGTAAGTTAATTTAAATTATTAATAAAAAATAATTTAAAGATTAGGAACAAACTTAACTATATAGGGTTAAATTGCAAATCAAGTGTATTAGTTCATAAAATTTACTGTAACAGGTTGCTAAAATTAAACTAATCCTTAATCATCTCCTAATTTATGGAAACCAGTTTGTCCTTCAGTATAAGCATAGCAAAAATATTACAACTAAAATACTATAAGAATACAGTTTTTATTTTCAAATTATATTATTAACCCTACTTAAGTAGGTTAATTTACTACTAGATATGTTGCCAACGATGTATTTTTTCAAATATAGCCAGGTTATGTAAATTATTTTTTGATTATTCTTATTAAATATTAAAGAATGATCTATTTAGTTATTTTTTTTTATATATAACTTATACAAGATGTATACTACAGCTGATATTTATATGACAGAAACTATTATTTCTGAAGACAAATCTTTATATCCATGGAAAGATATTAGCAATCAATCTCTTGCAGCTTAGCTATATGGAGATTATAGATAATAGTATACTTTTGGAAATAATACGATTTATGGGGCATTCTTCTTCGATCGTAGTCGTTTTAAACAAGTCTACAGCATAAGCTATGAAAAATTTGACAATTTAATTGCTTAGATTGGTGGTTTTGTCCAATCTCTTGTTCTTGTTGCAAGTCTTTTTGGTAAATATAAAATTTTTTTTGTGAAACTTTTTTATAATAATTATAATAAAAATAAAATAATTAGTTGGACTGTACAATAAAATGCATTATACAATAGAATTGGCAAATGAGATATACGATTTTGATTTAAATTATAATGAGAAAAAAGATAAATATAAGAGTAAAATTGAATAGTAATAAACAAATAAATCTGATATAAAAAATGAAGGCAGTAAATATGAGATTGGTCAATAAGAATAAAATAAAATGTATAAATTAGTTAAAATGTATACAAAGAAATTTAATGAAGAACGATAAGCTAACCATAGAAACTCATTTGAAAGCCCAAGGTTAGATGTAACTTAAAGTCCTAACATACATTTTAATTCAAGAGATATTGAAAAGGATTCAATAAATGAAAAGGATATAAATATTCAAATGAATGATCTCTAGTTAATAGATAATGATAAGTTGCAGCAAGGTACACATGAAAAAAGCAATAAGGAGGACCATTTAGAAACAAATTAAATATCTGATATGCAAAAGAATTTAAGATTTGATAAAAAAGAAGTTGCTGAAAATAATTCAAACCAAAAAATATAAAAATTTGTTTTTTTGAATTTGAAAGACAATTTAAATGATAAAAGTAATTAAACCAAATTGAAAAGCGGGGATGAAAAAAATAATAATTTGTTTTTTAATAATATTATAGAAAATTAAAATCTAAAAAATGTATCTTAAAGTCCTTTTAAATAAGATAAAAAATTAGATTTTGATGATTTAAACGTATTTAAAAAAGAAAATTTTTAGTAATCTTTGTTTGAAAAAAGTAAAAGTATTAAACCTCTTAAGACATATTTTACTCAAAGAAGTAAAGCATAGACAAAAGATATCTTGAAATATTCCACAGCAAATCCACATTCAATCAGCTAAATAGATAAACATTTTTAAAGTCAAATAAATAATTAGGCAAATGAAATGCAAGCAGTAGACAAATAAAATAGTCATGAAGATTTAAAGGAAACAAATTTTGGTCCTTTAACTCCTATGAATTTTTCATCTAATCCTAGGCTTCTGAGTATAGGTGATAGACTATAGAATGATAAAGCTGATATATTCTTTCTTGATTCTTAAATTGAACCTGAGTCTGATTTGGAAATTAGTGATTCGCCATAACGAAATAGAAAGCAAAAGAATCCAATATTTCATACTATTCAACCAATTTCTCATAGTATGGTCAGGGATAATAAATTTTAAGGAAAAAAAACGAGATCATTCAGTCAAATTATCTTTTAAAAAGATAACACTATTAAAAAATAAGATTCTTTTTCGAGTTTGAGAATTTAAGAACAACCAAATAATAATATCAAAAGTATTAAAGAATAGAAATTCTTTGATGCCTACAAAGAAGAAATGAGAAAGGACTATATGACAAAGTAGCTATAAAAAGTCTTGTCCAAAAGACAAAAGCTACATTTGTCAGTAAAATATTTCATTTACAAGCTATCATGTGGAAAATTTTATAACACAAAAGAAAACATGCTCATAGATAAAGCAAATGTTTTCTTATAAAAAGATATTGATATAATAGTCATTTTGAACAAAATTAAGGAACTAGAAAAACTAAAGTGTTTGTTGCTAGATTAAAGTTAATTAGCTTTATTTAACTACTTCCCAAAACCTCTCCTTCAAATAGATCAAAACTAAAACATTGTCAAAAAAGATCAAATGATAAAAGTAGTAAAATAATTAGAGAAAAAAATGAAAACCTTAGACATAAAACCTCAATATCTTTCAACTGTGAAAAAAGCTAAAGATAAATTTAAAAATTTACTGAAAAAGAAGCAAAAAAAATAAGAATTTTTCAAATAAACTGATCTGCTAATTAATTTAGAATAACATCATTACAGAGATTATTAGAGATTGTATAAGGCTTATGAGGAAATTATCAATAAAAAAGAATGTTCAAGGTATTTATTTTAAATTTGTAAGATAAATATTGATTTTAATATATATATACAAAAGAATGGACAATATTTTAATTAATAATTTGGGAGAAGAAACTAAGAAGATTTTCTAAAACTCAATCAAGTAATTAATTCTTTTTATTAACCTATTTTCTTATTTTATCTATTTTTTATAAGTATGAAATTTGGAATGGAAAAACTGCATGCTTTGATAACTAGGTAATATGACAAATCTCCAAAATGTGATCAAATTTAATAAAAAAATAATAATTGAAATTAAAAATCAATTTTAAATTCATTTTGATAAATTATATTTGTAAATTATCTTATTTTTAGATTTTGGTGAATTATTAAGTCTTATATTTTTTAAAATTTTAATGGTTAGTAATCATTTGCTTTAAATTAAATAAAAAAAATATCAGCTAGAACTAAAAAATTAATATTGAAAAGAAAGTATTAAACTATAAAAATTTGGTTATTTTATTAAAAAGTACAGTATTGTTATAAATAAAATTTTTCAGCCAATTATAATTTTAAATAAATAACCAAATAACTCTGAAAGTGAATAATTTTTAATACGGTGAGAAAGAAATATAGTTTAATTTTCTTTACTTTTTAAATAATGAATGAAAGTAATTCAAAATTTATTAATGAAATTATCAGATTATTTTTTATTTTAAGAAAACTGTAATACAAAAAATGTGATTATATGTAATTAACTAAAAATATTATTATTTTTCGCTTACAAATTTTACATAATACTAAATTATTTTTCATGTATTTTTTATCCTTTAATTGCTGCAGACATAGAAGAAATACTCTTCAATTTTTAAAATAAATTGTATTAGTATTTATTTATCTAAAGAGTTAAAAATTGTTTTAGTATTATTCTAAAATAATAAAAAAAATAATATAATTTTTAGCTTACAAATTTTATATAAGACTACTTTATTTTTCATGTATTTTTTATCTTTTAAAAATTTGTAGACATAGAAGAAATACTCTTCAATTTTAAAAATAAATTATCTCATTATTTATTTCTCTAAAGAGTTATATTTTTTTTTAGAATTATTTTAAAATAATAAAAAAAATAATATAATATTTAACTTACAGATTTTAAATAAAACTAAATTATTCTTCATGTATTTTTTATCCTTTAATTGCTGCAGACATAGAAGAAATACTCTTCAATTTTAAAAATAAATTGTCTTATTATTTATTTCTCTAAAAAGTTATAAATTGTTTTAGTTTTATTTTAAAATAATAAAAAAATAATATGGTTATTAGTAAAAAACATACATATTTATTACAATATTTTTAAGATATTTAAAAAATTATTACCTTTTTAGCTTACAGTGTTATTATGACTTGAATTTACATATTTTAATAAATAACTCATCATTTATAAATATAAATAATTGTAATTGAATGAATTAATTTTGTTTTATAGACCTAAGTTGAATTAATTTTTAATTCTTTTAAAGAAAAGTTTTTTTTGTTTTATTAAAAGAAGTAAACGCTAACAATAGTTTAAAAGAAAAGCAAAAAGTTTATATAGATTTTTTTTTTAAATGAGTAAATACATCAACAAGCTAAAGTTTTTAGATATTTTCGGATAGAGAGTCATCCTCAATTTCCATGAAGATAACCAAATTCAAACAACATTTGGAGGGATAATTGCCTGTTGCGTTGCTGTAGTAGTCTTTGTCTTCTTTTATACTTCGGTGAGATTATTATCAAATTATATTAGTAGAAATAGTTTGACAAACATAAAGTATTAATAATTTTTTTTAAAAATTAGACTAGCGATTTTTTAGGCAAAAGTAAATACATATTTGCATTTTGATTGATGAAAGAATTTAATATTAAAACCATTCATTTTATGTATATTAGTAAATTTTACAGTTCAATCAAATAAGTTATTTTCAGACAATCCTTCGTTATTGAATTTGACTTACGATAAGTTCATGGTGGCTGTCAATATGATATAAAATGATTTTATAAATAATCCCTATGTAAATATAACACTTCAATAAAGAATATACACCACTTTTCCAAATGGCACCTAATAGAAGTAGTATGTAAAATATATCAAATAATATATATATATATATGATATTACGTTATAATTACAAAAAATATGTTTTTTAATTAAATATTAGATTGATATTTAACTAGAATAGTGTACTTTCAAGCATTGGAATTCTCTAAACTAATAAGGAGATACAATTCTTACTTAAGATTAATATAATTCCTACAATATTTCAAATTATCTTTGTCCAAAGTATATTAATTCAATTTATTTATTATTTATAACATAAATTTCGTAAATTCAAGAAATTGGTATTTATTTTATTTTCATTTTCTCCCTTCTTAAATTTATCTAACACAAAAAAAAATATTAAATTTCTCACTTGATTATTAATTTATAGATATGGGACTAACTTTACTGTTTAAGGCCAAATTGCAAACTAAGTTTACCAATTTTTTAAATTTACAGTTACTAGCTGCTAAAACTAAACAGATCCAAATACCTCTCCTAACCTATGGAAACCAGTATGTCCCTCATTAAGTGCTTAATAAAAATACTATAACTAAAACACTGTGAGAATATAATTTTTGGTTTCAAATTACATTATTAATCCAACTTAAGTTGGTAAATTCTCTACAAGATATGTGGCTAATGATGTATTTTTCTAAATTTAACCAGGATATGTATTTTAATCTAATCAACAATAAATTTTAAAACTATTTTTTCTTTTTCATATTTAGATGTATACAACTGCAGATATCTATCTGACAGAAAATACGATTTCAGAAGATATATCACTCTATCCTTGGAAGAATATCCAAAACCAAACTCTTGCAGTTCAATAGTATGGTGATTATAGGTAGCAGTACACTTTTGGAAATAACAGTGTTTATGGAGCATTTTTTTTTGACAGAAGTCGCTTTTAATAGCAGTATAAGATATCATATTAAAAGGTTGATAATTTAATAGCCGTAATTGGTGGCTTTGTTTAATCTGTTATGGTAATAGCCGGGATTTTAGGTATATAATTAAATTTAGATTGTCTGTTTATTTTAAAATACTGTAATATTTCATTAATTAATATTAGCCTGAAAATAACTTTTTCATTTAAATTTGGTAAAAAAATAGCAATGATTATTTTTTAATATTGTGAGGTACTATGCCTAATCAATGAGGATTGATAGTATATAACACAAATTTTTAACATAACTTAACATTTAATAAATAAAAATAAAAATATTTTATAAAATTAAAAACAAATAATTTTATTGAAAATAATTTAAAAAGATATTTATTTTAGATTGGTTTATTTACAAAAATGCTTATTTGAGTTCAAATAAAAATTATGTTTTAAGCAAATTTATAGGCTTTTACAGTTTATAAAAAAATTGAATAAATTTAATGGAACATAAAATAATTTTATTTTCATAAAAAAATATATTAATTAGTTGGAATATATAATCAGTCCTATTACACAATCGAATTGGCAAATGAAATATATGATTTTGATATATAAACAAATCAAGTAAGCAAAGATGGTAAATTAATATTAGGTTCTCCTTAAATAAATCGAGAATGCTAAACAAGAGATAACAAAGCTTCCACTATAAATTGCAATATTTCTCCTGGTGTTACTTAAGAAAGGAAAGATAAGATATTTTAGATTGCACATAAATTTACATAAAAGCTCACCAGCAATAAAAATATTAACTAGAGTCCACCAATTAACACTATTACAAATGAAAGTCCATGCTTTGATTTTACTTTAACTCCGTAAAATTAAATTAACATAGAGTTTGAAAAGTAGCCAGAAAAAACTTAAAAAAAGGTATAAATTTAAATAAATCATTTATCTTCTCCTATCGTCAATGAGAAAGATAGTTAAATTAGTACAGAAAGATTGAATTTTCTCTCAACCAATTAATAAAGCAGTTTAACGAATTTAAAACAAAATACTTTTAGGTAATTAAAATTATTGACAGTAAAGTCTAACACTAATACTAATGAAGCTGAAAACTTAGACTTTGACAAAAAAAATAATATAAAAACGGATGTTTATTTAAATTTTAACTAGATTAAGGCCATTAATAATAGCACCAATAACAATAATAACAAAAATAACAATAAAAATAAAAACTTGCATTTTGAGGATTATTAGGATAATCAACATCTTCATATTTAATTATAAAAATCTCCTCAAAGTATTTAAGAAAGATCACACAAGCTAAATTTAACTGAATTTTAAGTTCCTTTAAAAAAGAGACAAAGCTCAGCAAAAAAAAAATTCTAAAGTGTGAACTATGTAAAGACATAAACAAATGATATTTTAAAGTATTCGACTTCAAATCCTTTTTCCATCTCTTAGTTAGATAAGAAAATGTAATCAACATAAATTAATTTGCTTTTAGAATCTTAATTAAATGATTAGTAGAATTAACATTAAGAATAAAATACATTGAAAAACGTTCCTACCCTTAGTTCTCCATAATATAAATCGAATCCTAGACTTCTCGTTTCATCTGAAAGACCACAAAATGAAAAAGAAAGCCTAATATTTTTTGATTCCTCTATAGAACCTGAATCTGACTTAGATAATAGCTTAGAAAAAAAAGAAGAATATCTTTAAGTAAATAGAAAATCAAAAAATACAGTTTTCCGTACAATACAGCCATAGTTACATCTTGATCTAAACAATAATGAGTAAAAAAAATAAAAAAGAATTAAATCTTTTAGTGATTTTGGGGTTATTTAAGAAATTAATTGTAAAGAACCTAATTCCTTTTTGAGTTTAAGATAGTTTCAATCATTAAGTCCTTCAAAATAATAAGCGAGTTAAAAAAGTAATCCAAAATTTGTAGATGCTTATAAAGAAGAAATGAGAAAAGACTTCATGACACGATAATTGCAAAAGGTGTTATCGAAAAGGCAAAAGCTTAGCCTATCATTTAAATATTTTATTTATAAGATTTCTTGTGGAAAATTTTACTGCACAAGAGAAAACTTGTTAATTGATAAAGCTCATACCTTATTGTAAAAAGATGTTGATATAATTGTGATATTGAATAAAATAAAAGAACTTGAAAAATTAAAATGTCTCTTGCTTGATTAAAATTAATTAGCTTTGTTTAATTATTTCCCCAAGCCTCTACTTTAAATTGACAAAAACAAAAATATTATTAAAAAAGAAGAAATGATAAAAGAAGTAAAATAGTTAGAGAGGAGTATGAAAACTCTTGATGTTAAACCTTAGCATTTACCTGTGTTAAAGAAAGCTAAAGATAAATTCAAAAGCTTGTTAAGCAAAAATAAAAAACAATAAGAACTTTTTAATAATAGCGACCTTTTACATAATCTAGATCAAAATCAATACAGAAATTACCAAAGATTATACAAAGCATATGAGCAGATTGTTAATAAATAAGAAGGAACAAGGTAAAATATTATTTTACAAATAAATATCTCTATAATTTTACAAAGAAATTTTGAAGAATATTTATTTATTTTTTTTTATTTATTTATTTACTTTTTTAATTAATTAAGAATGGACAATATACTAATACAAAACTTGGGAGAAGAAACTATGAAAATTTTCTAAGACTCTATGAAGTAATTTATTATTTTATTTTATTTTACAAAATTAAATGATTGCTATTATTTTATAGAATGCAATTTGGAATGGAGAAACTTTTAACCTTAATAAATAAAAATAAAGAAAAATCTTTAAAAATTGATAAATCAAATAATTAGAGTAAATTTAATCATTGAAAAAAAATGATTAGCTAGTTTGTTTGTTTGTTTATTTATTTGTTAGTTTAAAATATTATTATATATTTTTATGTATATTTATAATTTTTTCTTTGTAATAAAATCATTGCAGAAAAATAGTAAAAATATACTTATAAGGGGAAGGTATTAGACATCTTTTGTTTTCCTCATTGAATTATTGAGATAAAATATATTAAATATAATTTAATTAATTTACTAATAGCTTTAATTAAGCAAAAATAAAAATATTTGAAAAGTTAATTAATTATTTCATTTATCCTAAATATTAAACAAAGGAATTTGCATAATCAAAAACTCTAATTAAGCAAACATATTTGTGTATATTATGCATGTTAATTATTTTATTTATACTTTTAAAACTAAATTATGTTTTTCATACGAATTAATTCATCTATTCTAATTAAATCTTATATTTTAAATTAAAATATGTATTTATTAATCAAAAATACTTATATATTCATACTCAATAGGTAATAAACTTGAAAAAAACTCTTATTTATATTTATTTTTATGTATTCTAATAATTCTTTAAATTATTTTATAAGGATATTCATTCATATATGTCTCATTCTTTAAAGGTGCCACAAATTTTTTAAATTATTTCTGTGAAGGTTATACCTGCCTAGTTATAATAAAGAGTTGTTTTTCTTCAGCACTTATTATTAGGCATCTGTCATTTAGTAAGCATTATTTTAGCTAACTAGAGTCTTATTAATTTTTATGTTGTTATCTTCTATCTCTTTGATCACTTAAAACTATTTTGATGAATTGCCTATCTAGTTAATTGATTCTCTAGACCACGATCATCATATCTCTATTTTTCTGACAATTTCTTTCCTTCTAATTTCTTTTTCTTGAACATAAAGTATCTTAATAACTGTAATCTCCTCTTTGTAATAACTTAATAATGGCAATATAAAATACTTTATTTTAACTAAATTATAAATTTAGGGCTTTAGAAGTGAGAATATTTTTTCAAAATAAGAACTACATAATTTAATTAGATAAACAATAAAATGTAAAAATAAATAATAAAAAGAAGTAACTCAATCAAATTATATTATTATGATGAAAAATTAGAAATTTTGTATGTTTGTTAAATTATTTATTTTTAACTCCTATATTCGAATACTAATTAATTCATCTATTCTAATAAAATCTTATATTTTAAATTAAAATATGTATTTAATAAATCAAAAATACTCATATATTCATACTCAATAAGTAATATACTTGAAAAAAACTCTTATATATATTTATTTATTTTTATGTATTCTAATAATTCTTTAAATTATTTTATAACGATATTCATTCATATTTATTTTATTTCTTTTGGTAATGAAGGTTGATTGCCTAATTTATTTTAACTAAATTATTAGTTTAGTGCTTTTAGAAGGGAGAATATTTTTTCAAATAAGACCAACATAATTTAATTAGATAAATAAAAAGTATATAAAATAATATATAAAAAGAAGTAACATAATCAAATTTTATTATTAAGATAAAAAATTAGAATTTTAAATGGATAAATTAATATTATTTTTTGTATAAATTCATTTCAGTTTTAATGTGACTGACTAAATTATTATTATTAATTTCTATTTTAAAAACTATTTATTTATTATATAAAGTAGTAATAGCGTATTTAAAACTAAACTATGCATTAAAGATTTTCGGAGTTGATTGCATTAATTTAATTTATATGGAATATATTTACTGCTTTTTATCTAATGTGCTTACAATATATATTTTTAAACATAGACGATCAGTTTTATAAATTTAATTAAATTTTGAATTTATTTGAAAATGTTTGTAAAAAAAAATTTAACAAAGAAAATCTTGTAATTATAAGTATAAATTAGAATGAATTCCTAACGTAATTAATAAGAATTTTTTAAGATTTGAAATTATTTATTAAAAAGCCACATTTTAATTAGAAAAATAATTGAAAGCTAATAAATTCTATTTAATTAATTAATTATTCAAAATTTAACATTTAAATTATCTATTTTATTTAATAATACACTAAGCATGAAATGTCTTTAATTTTAAGCTTTAGCATATTATAATAAGTTAAATTAAAATACTAAAAATACAATCAAACTAACTAACTAAAAAATGATTAAATAGTTTTTAGCTTTAACAATCAAAAACTTTTACCTTTGGAAAAGAGATTTAAAAGGAACTCTTTGTGAAGTTTTAATACCAGTGATATTTATTTTTATCTTATACATTCTCAAAGCTGTTTCAAGTACCTACTAAGTACCATAAACAAGCTATTTAAATGAAGCAATAACATTAACGCCTTAATGGGATCCTTCTTTAATTTCTAATGGCATCTACAGCACAATCAAGAACTGCTCTGATCCAGATAATGGAGGAAAAATAGGTATAACACCAAAAATCCCTTTAACTCTGCAACTTTAGTAAATTTTGGAAAGTAAAATATTTCAAGTTTATTCAAATTAATTAAAATTCTTGTTAAATAAATAGATTATCCAGGTATTTAGGTACAGTTTTTTGACAGTGTTGATTTATTTAATGATCATATAACTTCCAGCGGATATCCTATCGATAATCCACCTCAAATATGTTTGGGAATTCTCTTTGATAAATGGCAAAATGGTGCTTATAGTTACACAATAGCCTATAATATGTCAACAACTAATGATCTTCCAATGGATTATATAACTGATTTTATTGACTTTGAATAAAATAGCCAATTTGATGAATATATTAACACAGGGTTTACAAGAATAGTTAATTGGATTGATAACATTATCTTATAGTAAGAAAGTGGAAATAATAATCTGTAAATTATTCCATAAATAACAATCATGCAAACAGAGAGTCATTAAAAATCAGATATGTACTCTTACTTAGGAAATTTTATGAATATTTTCATAATCATTCCTATGATTGTGCCTTACTTAAGATTATCATCTCGAGTGCTTCATGAAAAAGAATACCGCATAAGAGAAGGTATGATGATGATGGGGTTAGGAAGATTTGCATTCTACTCTAGTTGGTTCATTAGTTATTTGATCATTTTTACTTTGATTTCATTCATAGTTACAGTTGCATTCAAAATTTATCTTTTCACAGTAGCTAATTTTAATGTGATTTTTACCATTCACTGGTGCTTTTCTCTCTGCCTTCTCACTCAGAGTATGTTTATCACTGTATTCTTCCACAAGCAGAGAACTGGAATAATAGGAGCTACTTGTCTATTTCTTTTTTTATTTTTGGCTACTTTTTCAAATAATAACGATTAGGTATATTTTTTATTTATATATATTTCTTTATCAGAGATTGATTTTTATAAATCAAAAACTTTCCACAGAAGATAAATACAAAATAAATAATTCCCAATTTATAAATATTAAAATTAATTTTTTTTAATATATATTCTTGATTAAAAATCAAAACAACTAAGTTTTCTTAGTTTAATATAATTTAAAAAAAAAAAATAATATTTTTTCAAATAAAAATATTCATTTTATAAAAATATAGTATACTTCTAGAGGAGATTATATAGGCTAAGCTGCAATAGTAACTAATGCTATTACATAAGCAATGCAAATACTAGTTATTCACTAATCAAGAGATGAAACTGTTACATTTGATATGCTTGATTAATATTGCAATAGATAAAAGATGATTTACTCAATATATGCAAGCCTCCTATATGCAGGTGTTTACTTTATCTTCTTTCTCTACTTTGACTAAGTTGTTTCTAATGAATTTGGATAAAGAAAGCACTGGCTTTTCTGTATAGGATGCCGTTTAAGATAAAGAAAAGCTAAAGACAGTTAATTACTACATAACTAAGATTCAGATGAGAATAAATTTGTTGAGGAAATTGATATTTCTCTTAAAAAATAAGAAAATGAAAATAAAGTAATTGACTTATTTATTTATTTAGATAGTAGAAAATTATTTTTTACTTTTAATTTTATAAAAAAGACAATCAAAATTGAAGGCTTAAAAAAAGAATTCAAAACCGAAGGTGTAATAAAAACAGCTGTTGATAGGATTAATCTTTAAATCTATACAAGCCAAGTTTTTTCTTTCTTAGGTCATAACGGTGCTGGAAAATCAACAACTATTTCTATGCTAACTGGAATGATACCTCCCACAGAAGGAACTGCATTTATTAAAGGTCTTGATATCAGGAAGAAATAAAGTGAAATAAGAGAAATTTTGGGTAAAAATTTCTTTAAAATAAATTTTAAAATAAAAATATTTTTATAAAGGTGTATGTCCTTAGCACGATATTTTGTTTGATTCTTTGACAGTAAAGGAGCATCTCTTTCTATTTGCAGTGATAAAAGGTATGCCATTTTCTGAAATTTTGAAAGAAGTATCTAAGATGATTAAAGATGTAGACTTAGTTGAAAAAACTGATTCTTTAAGTGCTACTTTATCAGGAGGTTAAAAAAGGAAACTTTCGGTTGCTATTGCTTTTATTGGTATTTAACAATTAATTTCAAAAAATGCTTTATGCTTATCAAATTTTTTAATATAGGAGAGAGCGAAGTAGTTTTATTAGATGAACCAACTAGTGGCATGGATGTTTAAGCCCGTAGACATATTTGGGACATGATAAAAAATTACAAACAATAAAAAATTATAATTCTCACTACTCATTTTATGGATGAGGCAGATTATTTAGGAGACAGAATTGGTATTATATCTGATGGATAAATTAAATGTGTTGGGTCTAGTGTATTCTTGAAAGAAAAGTTTGGAAACGGCTACAATTTTACATTTGTCAAAGAGCTAAATAATTCACCATCTGACCCAATTATTAATTTTATCAAACAATTCTTCCCAGAGAGCAATTTGATTAGTGACTATTCTGCTGAGATAGCCTTTTAAGTGCCTTATAAATATATACCTTCATTTGAATAAATGTTCAATGAACTAGAAAAATAAAAAAAGAACTTGTAAATTAGATCTTATGGTGTATCAATCACAACATTAGAGGAGGTCTTTTTGAAAGTTGCAAGTATGAATGAAAATCATATTGTGCAACAAAATAAAGAACCAAAGATCTTTTAAGATTAAGATTAGCTTGAATAATAAAATTATAACGATATTAGTAAAGAAAAGATATAAAATCAATTTTAAATTTTTTTAGTTCATCTCTAGGCATTGATAAAGAAGAGACTTCATTATTTCAAAAGAGATAAAAGAGGTCTTTGTTGTGAGATTATACTACCAATAATACTTGTTGCTCTTGGATTGTATTCAGCTTATTCATCTGCATTTAATGAATGGTCTTCACTTTAGCTTGATCCTGCACTATTTTTTGAAGAAAATCCTGATATTTATTATGGAAGTGCTTAACCTGTTTCGAATTATCAAAGTATCATAAACAATTTATAACCCTATTCAAGTTGTTCTTACATTCTTATAGATAATGTGAGTAATATTCAAGAATTCGATAACTAATTACTAGCAAGAAAGACCACTGATGCCAAATTTGGATACTATTTATAAAACACAAGCGGAAATCAAATTAAATATACTGCTTTTATAAACTCTATTAGCTTGCCTGGAATTCCAATATCAATTAATCTTTTAAACAATGCCATAATAAATTAAATAACTGGAAAGTAAATTACAATCAAAGTGACTAACCAACCTCTTAAATTAACATCCAAAATAAAACAGTAATCAAAATTATTTTATTATTATTTTATCACTTTAAATAAAACAAAAAAAATAAAAAAATAAATTAATGAATTTAATTAAATTATAAATTATTTAAAAAAATAAGATATATTGGACTCATTTAAGGTTTTACGATTGCTTTATTCTTTTCAATAGGGATATCATTTATACCAGCAAGTATAATTTCGTTTATTGTTAGAGAAAGAACTGAACATATTAAGCATTAACAAGTTGTAAGTGGTGTATCATTGAAGGCTTATTGGATTTCTAACTTTATTATTGATTACATAAAATTTTTGATTCCTACTATTTCTAGCTTATTTTTAGCTTATGCTTTTGATATTTAATCAGTAATTGGAGATGGAAATTTCATTTACTATATACTACTTTTCATCTTTTATGGGTTAACTTTATTGCCATTTGTTTACTTATTTTCTTTTGTTCACTCAAATTATGGAAATGCACAGATCATTTAGTATTTTATTCATTTCATCTTCGGAGGAATAGGCGCTGCTATATTTGCTATCCTTCGTTTCTTTGATTCAACTCGATAAGTTTATTTAAAACTTTCTTGGGTTATGAGATTGCATCCTACATTTGCGCTTTATGATGGATTTGCAAATTTAGCTGGTATAAAATATATCTAACTAAAAGAAAGCTTAAATTAACTACCTGATTAAACTAATTTAGACGTTATGGGAGGAGATTTAATGTATCTAATTCTCTTTTTCTTTTTCTATTCTGTCATACTGATTTTCTTGGAGGTTTATAGAAATAAAAAGTCTTTTTTTACAAATAACTTAGAAGATAAATATCCTTACGTTAAGCCTTCAAATATTGATTCAGATGTTCTAAACGAAATGAATGCAATTTAAAGTGAAAACCCTAATTAATATACAGTTCTAGTTAGAAATTTGCGTAAAGTATTTCCTACAATAGGAGGATCTTCTACTGAGAAGCCTAAAATTGCAGTAGATAATTTAAATTTCGGAATAAAAACTGGTGATGTGTTTTGTTTTCTAGGTGTCAATGGTGCAGGTAAAACTACTACTATGCGCATGTTGACTGGAGAAGAAGCAATAGGAAGTGGAGAAGCTTATATTTAAGGATGTAAAATTCCTGAATAAATATCATAAGCTTAGTAATATATTGGGTATTGTCCATAATTTGATGCTTTGTTAGATAACCTAACAGCTAGAGAACATTTAGAATTATTTGCTGCTATAAAATGTATCCCATCAAGCCTAAGAGAATAAGCCATTAATGAAAAATTAGATGAGTTGAATCTGAGAAAATTTGAAAATGTAGTTGCACGAACTTATTCTGGAGGAAATAAAAGAAAACTAAGTGTAGCTATTGCTATGCTTGGAAATCCTCCAATTGCATTCTTAGATGAGCCTTCAACTGGTATGGATCCTGGTAATCGCCGCTTTATGTGGAATGTAATAAGCGATATGGCAAGCAAGAAAAAGAAAACATCTATAATTTTGACAACCCACTCAATGGAAGAAGCAGAGGCATTAGGAACTAAAGTGGGAATAGTTATCGGAGGAAATTTTAAATGCATGGGAAGCATTTAACACTTAAAGAATAAATTTGGAAAGGGGTATGAGATATCAATTAAAACTGTTTCTGCAAGCCTTAACTAGCTAAATGAATTGGTAGGGGATGCAAATTAAAATATGTTAGTGTATAAACATAATTTGGAAGAGGTCCTCAACTTTATAGGACAAAGCCATTTCAAAGAATAAATAAATGAAGGAAAGTTCGCTTCATCTATCTACTACTTACTAAACTCAAAGAATTAAAATGGAGTTGAACTCTCTTTAATAGCAGAGTCAATATTTAACTATAACTTGCAATAAAAAATTTAATAATTTTTTAAATAAAAATTTGAAAATTTTGAGGTGCTTGAAGGACTTAATTGCTATCTTAAATTAAGAGTACAATCGAATCAAACTTTAGGATTTTTATTTGGAGTAATGAACAAATACTAAAACGAGCTTAAAATAGCTTCTTACACTATATGCCAAACTTCTTTAGAACAAATATTTAATGATATAGCAAACGATAGTCTTTCTAAAACCACTGACAACTAATGTATAGTGTAAATGCCTAACATCTAAGAAAAACCTGTTATTTAAAATAAATATTAAGGCATAATAAACTAAGATTAGAGTGAAGCTAGTAACAACAATAGCTGTTAGCCTTTATAAATACAAAGCGTTTAAATAAAACAAATAAAAAATTAAAAATGATAAATGATAAAAATTAATTAGTACAGTTTTACTTATAATTAATTTAGTTTAAATATTTTTGTTTACTCTGATATTAAGATCAAGTAATAAGTTACTTAAATTAATTTAAGATTAAAGTTATATTTAACATTATATTTTTAATAATTATTTTAAAATTTATTTAAATATACACTCAATATATTTTTTGCACTTTATAATAAAAACCTTATTTAATTATTATAAAATTAATTAAAATTTTTAAGTATTTATTTAGTCTAAAGTTATAATTGATTTAAGTTTAAAAAAGAATAAAAGAATGTAATATTTTTTGTAAATTTCTAATTTCTAAACTATTTTAAATAATTTATTAATTCAATATTACCTTGAAAAATGACAGTGAAGTTGAATATTAAAATAATATCAATAAATATGTAGATTTTTATTTTAAAGTTATTTTCATTCAATAATACTATTTAGATATAACAAGTCTTTCCTTAAAAAGCAAACCTAATTTTCAAAATTTTTTTATTAAAAATGCAATTTGATAAATTATTTCCAATAATTTAAACTTCAATTTAAATCTTTAAGGACTTTTTTCTTGAATTAGATAGTAACAAAAATATTAAAATTTAATTAAATCTGTTAATTTCTATTAAAAGTTTTTAAAAAATTCTTAAAACTACAAAATTTGTTCTAATTTTAGATTACACAAATAAATTAAAAATACATAATATGAAATAATAATTCTTTAAAAACTTTTATATGAACCAATCAATATAAGTTGGTTTTATTTTAAGATTTTATAAATATAAATAAATTAGTATTACTATTAAATATTATTGGTACCTGATATGCCAAAAAAAAATTTAGATTTTAATTTTGTAATCATTTTTTTAAAGTTGTTATTGATTGAAAATATGATTTAAATTTTAAAAATGTGATTACTTTTCTTACAATCTATAACTATTTGCTCTAATTTTTTGAAATAATTCAATTTGATTAATTCTTTCGGAAGTAATTAAATATTTAATTTGAATATAATACCTTTAAGATTATTTTACTTAGATTAGATAGTAACAAATAAATTTTCAAGTTTAAATATATTCATTTCTAACAAAAAGTTTGAAAAAAATAAATTATTTATTTATTTATACTATTCAATAATTAATCCTATTTTGGATTACTTAAAAATCAATTTAAAGCATATTTTATGAAATTATAATTTTTATAAATTTTGAAAGAAGCCAAAAATATTCTTTAAATTATTCTAAGAAAGGACTTAGATATTACAAAGAAATATTAAAAGCGCTTAAGATATTTTAGATATAATAGTTTTTCATATTTATTCATTCTTATTTTTTGATTTTGAATAGCTTAAAGGAAATTATTGTGATTTATTTAGTATTATTGGTTCAAAATAATTAATAAGGTTTTTTATGCTTTAGATTGTAATTTGAAAGAAATGCCTATTTAATACTATTCAAAATTAATTTAATGAATCAGTTTTCTTTCAAATTATATAAATTTGAATTAAGTTTTTGCAATAATTAAGACAAAATTTAATATATTTTGATGTAATAATTAAAAAATTTTCTGATAATTTCTGTTTAATAATTTTCATATAAGACAAACAAATTTAATAAATTTTTTTATCATTTTTGATAATTTGTAAATTTAATTTTTTAATTTTTATCTATTTTAAAATTATTTGTAGTTAATTTCAAATTCTCTTTAAATGCCATCATATTTCTTCACATATTCCATAAATAATAAATACTAAAAATTTAATAAAACTAACTGAATACAAAATAAAAAACTAACATGCTAAGTCATTTACTTGCTCTATTAGTTAAAAACTTTTATCTTTGGAAAAGAGATATAAAAGGTACATTATGCGAAATCTTTGTTCCTTTGATATTTGCTTTATTCTTATACATCTTTATGGCTTAATCAGATACTTATGAAGTAAAATAAACAAGCTATCTAAATTAAGCAGTAACTCTCACTCCTGCATGGGATCCTTCTCTAATAAGCAACGGTATCTATAGCACAATCAAAAATTGCTCAGACCCTTATAGAGGAGGCAAAATAGGTATTGCTCCTAATATTCTCATTACCTAGAGAATCTCTTCAATCTTGTTAAGTAATTAACCTTAAATTAAAAAAAAATTTAATCCATATTTTAAAATAAAATAGATTATCCTGGAATACAGGTGCAATTTTTTGATAGTACTTAAGAGTTTGATGATCACATAACATCTTAAGGCTATCCTGTACCTAATTCTCCTTAAATTTGCTTTGGTATACTCTTTGACAGTTGGTAAAATGGAATATATAAGTATACTTTAGCTTTTAACTAAACAGATACTCAAGATATTCCAGAAAAATACAGAACCGATTATGTTGATTTTGAATAGAATGATAAATTTCTGCAATATATTAATTCTGGATTTACGAGAATCGTAAATTGGATAGATAATATCATTTTACAATTAGAGAGTGGGAATCCTAGTTTACAAATAGTACCTAATGTTGCTATAATGTAGACAGAAACATTTTAAAAGTCAAATTTATACTCTATTGCAGGAAATTTTATGAATGTCTTTATAGTGATTCCTATGATTGTCCCTTTCTTGAGATTGTCTTCTCGTATCTTAAATGAAAAGGAAAAGAGAATCAGAGAGGGTATGATGATGGTTGGTCTTGGAAAGACTGCTTTCTATTCAAGCTGGATATTAACATATCTTTTACTATATATAATAATTTCTATATTGGTAAGCATTATACTAAAAGCTTATTTTTTGACTGTCGTCGACTATGGTGTAATTCTCATCTTACATTTTTCTTATGCTGTTTGCAATATGGCTTAGAGTTTATTCATAACTGTCTTTTTCGATAAATAAAGAACTGGCATTATTGCAGCTACTTTTCTTTTTCTTATTTAGTTTTTGCTATCATCTAATCAAGGAGATGAACTAGTAATATAATTTTTATTTCTATCTATATTTAATTAATTTTAATTATAATTAAAAAGACCACAAATAATGCAAGCTATTAAGGGTAGGCTGCTATAGCTGCTAATGCAATTAACTAAGCTATGAGAATACTAGCTGTTTACCAATCTAGAGATGAAAATGTATCTATCGATATGATGCATTAGCTATGTAACAGATCTAAACTAATTTATTCAATTAATTCAAGTTGGATTAATTTTGCCTTGTTCTTTGTTCTTTTCCTCTATTTTGATTAAGTTATTCCTAACGAATTTGGGTAAAGAAAGCATTTATTTTTCTTTATTGGATGCCATTTAGAAAAAAAATCATAAAAAACCTAATAAAAATTATTGGAAGAAGAATAGTTCATAGAAAACATAGATATATCTTTGAAATAATAGGAAGTTTAAAATAAGGTAAAATAAATAAGTTTGGTTTAAAAAGTTGTTATTTAATTTAATTTTTTGAATAGACTATCAGAATAGAAGGTCTCTCAAAGCAATTTAAAACTGATGGAGTTATAAAAAAAGCCGTTAACTAGATAAACCTATAAATGTACTCTGGACAAGTGTTCTCTTTTCTTGGACACAATGGTGCTGGTAAATCAACAACGATCTCTATGTTAACAGGTATGATACCTCCTACATCTGGCACAGCATATATTAAAGGTTTTGATGTTACAAAAGATTTAGAAAAAATTAGAACTATTTTAGGTAAGATTGATCTTTTAAAAAATTAGATAATTTACAATTTTATTTATATAAATTAATGAATAGGTGTTTGTCCATAACATGATATTTTATTCGATTAATTAACTGTAAAAGAGCATCTTTACTTCTTTGCCACATTAAAAGGAATGCCTTTTAGAGAAATTGCATAAGCTGTTGATAAAATCATTAAAGATGTAGACTTAGTAGAAAAAACTAACTCTTTAAGTTGCAGCCTCTCAGGAGGATAAAAAAGAAAACTCTCTGTAGCTATTGCTTTTATAGGTATTTATTAACTTAAAAAATAGAATATTTTTATAAAATTATTAATAATTAAAAAAATTTTTTTTTACAGGTGATAGCGAAGTAGTTTTACTTGATGAACCTACCAGTGGCATGGATGTATAAGCTAGAAGACATATTTGGGAGATGGTCAAGAATTATAAGTAACAAAAAATTATCATATTAACTACTCATTTCATGGATGAGGCTGATTATCTTGGAGACAGAATAGGAATTATTTCTGATGGTTAAATTAAATGTGTTGGATCAAGTGTTTTCTTAAAGGAGAAATTTGGAAATGGATACAACTTAACATTTGTCAAAGAATAAAATACAACACCTTCTGAGCCTATAATTTAATTCGTATAAAAACATTTTCCAGACAGCAGTTTAATCAGTGATTATTCTGCAGAAATAGCTTTTTAAGTTCCCTATAAATATATTCCACAATTTGAATAGATGTTTAATAACCTAGAATTGTAAAAAGAATAGTTAAAAATAAGATCTTATGGAGTTTCTATAACTACACTAGAAGAAGTGTTTCTAAAAGTTGCAAGTATGAATGAAAATCATGTAGTACAAGCTAAAAAAGTCGCTATCAACTAATATATTGATATAGAAAACTAATCATTAAACAATTAGGATGAAAGAATTACAGATCCAGCTAAACTTTTTTTTATTCATTTTAAGGCACTTATAATAAAAAGATTAAACTACTTTAAAAGAGATAAGAAGGGACTATGCTGTGAAATGATTCTTCCAATTATTCTTATTGCATTTGGTCTCTTAATTCAAAAGGTATTAAACTTTTATGATTCTTCTGGGTATGACTTAACTCCCACAATATTTTTTGATGAAAACCCAAAGATTTATTATGGAGGTTCTTCGTCATACAATGCTATTGTTAACAACTTGTAATAATTTTCAGATACTACCTATACATAATTTAATGATATTGTGAGTTTATAATAATTTAACGATGAGTTATTTTCAGTTAAATCTACCGAAACTAAGTTTGGCTACTATTTTGATAGTAATTTAGGTGGTATTTATACATACACTGCTTTGATAAATACTGTAAGCTTAGATGGTATTCCTATGTCAATCCATCTCTTAAATAATGCAATAATCAAAAGTTTGACAGGAAAAGAAATTAAGATATCTGTAACTAATAAAGCTCTTCCAAAGACTTATAACACACAACAGTAATCATTAAAATTTTTTAATTATTAATCATATTTAAAATTATAAAATAGGTAACAAGGGTTGATATAAGGAATTAGTTCTGTTGTGTTTTTCTCAATGGGTATATCATTTATACCAGCTAGTATAATTTCTTTTATTGTTAAAGAAAGGGCTGAACATATAAAACATTAACAGATAGTCAGTGGCGTATCTCTAAAGTCTTATTGGATTTCTAACTTTGTTATAGATTATATAAAATTTTTAATTCCTACTATTTTGAGCTCTTTACTTGCTTTTGTGTTCCAAGTAGATACTATGACATAAGATGGAAATTTTGGATACTTTATTTTACTCTTTGTTTTCTATGGATTAGCTTTAATGCCATTCGTATATTTGTTTTCATTTGTTCACTCAGACTATGGCAATGCACAAATCATATAATTCTTTCTTCATTTTATGGTAGGAGGAATAGGATCTGTTATATTCATAATTTTAAGTTTTAGCGACTCAACTCATGATATTGGTGTAAATTTAGCTTGGGTTTTGAGAATATTCCCAAGCTTTGCTATTTATGATGGATTCAGTAGGTTATCAAGTAGAAAAAATATATAAATATAAGAAAATCTAAGCTAATTGCCATCATAAATGAATTTAAATGTGATTGGTGGTAATTTCATGTTCCTGATTATTTCTCTCTTTTTATTTACAGCAGGTCTAATTTATTTAGAGAGTATTAGAAATAAGAAGTCAGTTTTTTCTAATAATTTAGAAAGTAAATATCCATATAAAAAACCTTCTTACATCGATTCAGATGTTGAAGAAGAAATGAGTTATGTTCAAAATAGTAATCCAAAAGATTTTACAGTTCTTGTTAGAAATCTTCGTAAAGTGTTCCCTCCAACTGGCGGTTCTTAAGAGGAAAAACCTAAAATAGCTGTAGATAATTTAAATTTTGGTGTTTAAACTGGTGATGTATTTTGCTTTCTTGGTGTAAACGGTGCTGGAAAAACTACGACTATGCGTATGCTTACAGGTGAAGAAACTATTGGATCTGGAGAAGCTTACATTCAAGGGTGTAAAATTCCAGAGTAAATTTCAGAAGCTTAGCAGTATATTGGGTATTGCCCTCAGTTTGATGCATTGTTGGATAATCTAACAGCACGAGAACACTTGGAGCTCTTTGCTGCTATTAAAGGGATTCCTGCTAATTTAAGAGAATAAGCAGTGAATGAAAAACTGGATGAGTTAAATCTAAGAAAGTTCGAAAATGTTGTTTCAAGGACTTATTCTGGAGGTAACAAGAGAAAATTAAGTGTAGCTATTGCTATGCTTGGAAATCCTCCTATTGCATTTTTAGATGAACCTTCAACAGGTATGGATCCTGGAAATCGTCGTTTTATGTGGAATGTCATCAGCGACATAGCAACTAATAAGAAAAAGACCTCAATAATTTTGACAACTCACTCCATGGAAGAAGCTGAGGCATTAGGAACAAAAGTAGGAATAGTAGTTGGAGGTAACTTTTAATGTATGGGAAGTATTTAACACCTAAAAAATAAATTTGGAAAGGGGTATGAAGTATCTATTAAAACTGTAATCCCTAATCATTAATAACTTTAATAAATTGTTGGAGGTATGAATGCTACCACTCTTGTAACTTAAGAAAATCTGTAAGAAGTACTAAAATTTATTGGTTAAAGTTAATTTATTGAATAAATAAACGAAGAAGGATTTGCATCATCAATTTACTTCTAGTTAAAGTCGAAAAAGTAAAATGGGATAGAGCTTTAGTTGTTGGCTGAATCAATTTATAATTTCATGGTATAGCAAAGAATAGAATAATTTTTTGAAGAAAATTTTGATGGGTATGAGATTCTTGAGGGTTTAAATAACTATCTAAAAGTGAGAGTGCAATCTAAATAACATTTAGGTTATCTATTTGGAATTATGAATCGCTTTTATGTGGGCCTTAATATTGCTTCTTATACTGTCTGCTAAACTTCCCTAGAGCAAGTATTCTATGACTTAACAAAATAATCAGGACTTCTAAAGAAGTCTAGCATTTTATAAGAAAAAAAGTTAAGTTTAAATGAAAAATCAGTTGACTAAAACTAAAATCAAACTGCTAAAATAATGAATTCTCTAACCTAGAATATTTAATAAACATTGGTAAATGAGCAAATATAACCTATTTAATCTATTGAATTGAATTAAATTAAAATTAATCAATAAAGACTAAATAAAAATATTTGAGATCATTATAAAATCTAGTTTTATGAAAAAAAATATATTTTTTATTGTAAGAATAATTTGAGGAGTTTTTTACTAATTATTTAAACAAAATCTATTCATTTTTAGTATTTATTCAAATTTAAACATTTTAAATTTAAATTATAAAAAATGATATTAAATTTAAAATTTGGTATTAATAAATATTAATGAATGATATGAATGATACTTATGATAATAATCAATTACTAAACAATACCTCCTTTATAAATAAAAAAGAAATTGTATTTTTGGCACTATAGATTATGTAAGTTGAAGTGAATTTATCAGAATTAAATGAATGAAATTGATTCAATATATTAAATACTATTTGAATTATTTTATTATTTCTTTCAATTTATTGCTTTTAATTTTTTCTTTTCTTTTATAATTAACAAAGCTACATAAAATATTTTTTTATCAAAATTTACTAAGTTTTATTTTTTAATGTTTTTAATTTTAATAGAGATTTTTGTAAATAATACAAGAATAGATAAACTATTATTTTTACTTTTTTAAGGTTTTTATTTGAACAAATTATATTTAATTCGAGCGAGAACATTTTAATTTCCACATTTTTTTTAAAATTTAAATTTTTACAAAATATAATTTTTTTCTGATTCATTCTGAGATTAATTTGAATATCTAAAAAATAGATTAGTTCTCACCTTAAAATAAATTTATAATTTTTCAAACTTAAATTATACTAAATTCACTATTTTATTATTGTAAAATAAAGAATTTTTAAATAATTTACATTAATTACTAAATCTTGTTTTTTAAAACTATTTAAGATATTATTTGAAAAAGTTTAAATATTCATTGAAAAATTAGTTTAGTTTTTTATTTCTTGAAATGCTATTTTTATTTGATAATTTAATTTGAACGAATTTCTTTAATTAATAAAAAAATTTTTTGTATTAACAAATTCTAAAAAATCAATATTGCTTATTGTAATTAATAATATAAATTCTGTTGATTCCTTATAACTAAAACAAATAATTTAGATTAATTTATTAATCCAATAAATTCCATGCATTAATTTAGTAATAGTTCGATTTTTTCTTATAATTAGTATAAGAAATTTGTCTATCTTAATTTTAAATTTAATATTTGTTTGTTACATCAAATATTAATTTAAATAGCATTTTGCTAATTTTACATATAATTTTAATTTTTAAAATAAAATAAATAAATCTCAAAAATGATTACTCATATAATAGCTCTTATATTTAAGAACTTTTACCTTTGGAAGAGAGAATTGAAAGGAACGTTCTGTGAAATATTCACTCCCTTGATTTTTGTCTTTATCCTATATATTTTCATGTCTCAATCTGATAATTATGAAGTCAGTTAAACAAGCTATCTAAATTAGGCTGTTACTCTTACACCAGGATGGGATTCATCACTTATTAGTAATGGGATTTATAGCACTATCAAAGATTGCTCGGATCCTAAAATAGGTGGAAAAATTGGGATTGCCCCAAATATACCTTTGACCTAAAAACTATCATCGATATTATAAGGTATTAAAAATTTTTAAATAAAAAATTGTTTATTTTTTTATAATTTACAAATTATAAAATATTTTTTATTTAACATTAAAAGAATATCCAGGCATATAAGTAGAGTTTTTTGATTCATAAGATTAATTTGTAAACCATATCAAATCATCTGATTATCCATTCTCTAATCCTCCTCAAATTTGTTTTGGAATTCTTTTCAGCAGTTGGACTGATGGAGTTTATGAATATACTTTATCATATAATTTAACTGAGTCTTAAGATATTCCAAGAAAATATAGAACAGACTACATAGACTTTGAATAAAATGATTAATTTCTTAAGTATATTAATTCTGGTTTTACAAGAATAGTTAATTGGATTGATAACATCATACTACAGTAAGAAAGTGGAAATCCAAATATTCAAATTGAACCTAATATTACTATCATGCAAACAGAGTCATACTAAAAATCAAATTTATATACTTATGCTGGCAATTTTATAAACATCTTTATTGTAATCCCTATGATAGTTCCTTATTTGAGACTATCATCTCGAATTCTTCATGAAAAAGAAAAAAGAATTAGAGAAGGAATGATGATGATGGGTCTCGGAAAAATTGCCTTCTATGCTAGCTGGTTTATAACATATCTTTTTGTCTACGCTTTTATTTCATTATTGGTTAGTGCAGGATTAAAAATCTATTTTTTTACAACACCTGACTTTGAAGTTATTTATGTCTTGCATTTTGCTTATGGTGCCTGCCTTTTAGCTCAGAGTTTATTTATAACGGTTTTCTTTCATAAACAAAGAACAGGAATTATTGGAGCAACATTCCTTTTCCTCTTTTAATTTTTGTAAACTTTCAATCAAGGAAGTCCTGAAGTAAATTTTTTTATTCTAAATTACTTTTTTTCTTTTTAATTACTTCAAAAAGGAGATTTAAAAAATTAATTTTATTTACTTATTTAATTTTAGTTTTTTTGAAATAAAACGTTATTTTTTTTAATTAAAAGACTTTAAATAACAGTGCATACTAAGCTTAAGCTTTTATTGTTTTTAATGCAATAACATAAGCAATGAGAATACTTGTGATTTACCAATCTAGAAATGAGCATGTTAATATGGATATGCTCAGCCAGCTCTGCAATAGATCGAAGCTTATTTACTCAATTAATTCAAGTTGGATTAGTTTTATTGTTTATTTTGTTCTTTTCTTATATTTAGATCAAGTAATTTCTAATGAGTTTGGATAAAGAAAGCACTGGCTTTTCTTTATTGGATGTAAACTAAATAATAAAAATTAGAAAAAACAACAAACAAAAGTATGTGCTGATTAAGAAGCATAGTCTAATGTTAATGAAACAGTAGATATTTCTTTATAAAATCAGGAAGGGTAGAACAAAGTAATTAGATATTTATTTTAAAAATAAATCAAACTCTTATTTATTAATTTATATATAATTTTAGACAATCAAGATAGAGAATCTATCAAAAGAATTCAAAACAGAGGGTGTACTCAAAAGAGCTGTTGACTAAATCAACTTGTAAATGTATTCAGGTTAGGTTTTTTCTTTTTTAGGACACAATGGTGCAGGAAAATCTACAACTATATCTATGCTAACTGGAATGATTCCTCCTACTTCTGGAACAGCCTATATCAAAGGTTTAGAAATTACAAAAGATATGGATAAGATTAGATCTATTTTAGGTAATTTAGTTTTTTTTTTTTTAATTTTATTATTTTAATTGAATTATTTTTTAATTAGGTGTATGCCCACAGCATGATATATTATTTGACTCACTAACTGTTAAAGAACATCTTTATCTATTTGCTGTATTGAAAGGAATACCATTTAGAGAAATATCAAATGCTGTTGAAAAAATTATTAAAGACGTAGATTTAGTAGAAAAAACGAATTCTTTAAGCTCCAGTCTCTCAGGAGGATAAAAAAGAAAACTTTCTGTTGCAATAGCTTTTATAGGTATTTATTTATTAATTTTATTTTTATTTTAAACAAAAATTTTAATCAAATGCAGGTGAAAGCTAAGTAGTTTTGCTGGATGAACCTACAAGTGGTATGGATGTACAAGCTAGAAGACACATTTGGGAAATGGTCAAGAACTACAAACAGTAAAAAATTATCATACTCACTACTCATTTTATGGACGAAGCAGATTATCTTGGAGATAGAATAGGAATTATTTCTGATGGATAAGTTAAATGTGTCGGTTCTAGTGTTTTCTTGAAAGAAAAATTTGGAAATGGATACAACTTAACTTTAGTAAAAGAATAAAACACAACTCCTTCTGAGCCAATAGTACATTTTATCAATCATCATTTTCCAGAAAGCAGCTTAATCAGTGATTACTCTGCTGAGATAGCTTTCTAAATACCCTATAAATATATTCCTCAGTTTGAATAGATGTTTAATGAAATAGAGAGATTAAAACACTAATTAAAAATAAGATCATATGGAGTTTCAATAACTACTTTAGAGGAAGTTTTTCTAAAGGTGGCAAGTATGAACGACAATCATATTGTATAACCTCATAAGGCATAATAAAAAAATCAATATTAAGATATTGAAAATTAAGATGATCAAAAATTTATTGAAAGAATAACAGACCCCTCTTTACTATTTTTTACTCATTTTTGGGCCCTAATTAAGAAAAGAATACATTACTTTAAAAGAGATAAGAAAGGCTTATGCTGTGAATTGATCCTACCTATCATTTTAATTGCATTTGGTTTATATACAGCATATGCATCTAAATTTAAGGATTGGAAATCGTATGAACTTAACCCAACAATATTTTTTGATGAAAAGCCTAAAATTTATTATGGAAGCTCATTACCACCTTCTAATTATTAATCAATAATAAATAATTTTCAAAAATACGACGATACCTCATTTGATCAAATACAAAATGTTAATAGTATCCTATCATTTGATAATTCCTTATTATAAGACAAGACAACTGAAGTAAAATTTGGATATTATTTACAAAATACTCAAGGAAATAATATTCAATACACTGCTTTTGTTAATACTGTTAGCTTAGATGGTATTCCTATGTCTATCCATCTTATGAACAATGCAATTATTAAAAGTGTAACTGGAAAATAAATTCAAATAAACGTAAATAATAAACCACTTGCTATTACGGCCAGCACCAAAAAGTAAAAAATTATAATTTAAATAGTTGATTCTTAATTATTTTTAAATTTAAAAAGTCTTATTGGTATAGTTTAGGGAGTTAATTCAGTCTTGTTCTTTTCAATGGGTATTTCTTTTATCCCTGCTAGCATTATTTCTTTTATTGTGAGAGAAAGAGCTGAACATATCAAGCATTAATAGATTGTCAGTGGTGTTACTCTTAAAGCATATTGGATTTCAAACTTTTTCATAGACTACATTAAGTTTTTGATTCCAACAATAAGTAGCTACTTCTTAGCATATGCTTATTAGATAGATTCAATGACTGAAGATGGCAACTATATATACTTTGTTATACTTTTTATTTTTTATGGATTGAGTCTAATACCTTTTACCTATCTATTCTCGTTCTTACATTCAGACTATGGAAACGCATAGATCATACAATTTTTTATTCATTTTATGATTGGAGGGGTTGGAGCTGTAATTGTAGTTATCCTGCGCTTTTTTGACTCAACTCATTCAGTTGGTGACATAATCGCCTGGGTATTAAGAATATTTCCAAGCTTTGCAGTGTATGATGGATTTAACAATATTGCTAGTAGAAAGTTTATTTAATATTAATAAAATCTAAATAAGGAACCTCCTCAAGTAGATTTCAATGTAATGGGTGCTGATCTTATGTTTTTAATCCTTTCTTTCTTTTTGTTTACAGGAATGATTATTTTTATTGAAAAATACAGAAATAGAAAAAGTGTTTTTGATTCAAATATTTAAGATAAATATCCTTATGTGAAGCCTAATTATGTTGATTCTGATGTTGAAGAAGAAATTAGTATACTTCAAGATAGTAATCCAAAAGATTTTACTGTTCTTGTTAGAAACTTACGTAAAGTATTCCCACCAACTGGAGGTTCTTCAACAGAAAAGCCAAAGATTGCTGTAGATAATCTTAACTTTGGTGTTAAAACAGGTGATGTATTCTGCTTTTTAGGAGTAAATGGAGCTGGAAAAACTACTACTATGCGTATGCTCACTGGAGAAGAGACAATAGGCTCAGGTGATGCATATATACAGGGATGTAAAATTCCTGAATAAATATCTGAAGCATAGCAATATATAGGATATTGTCCTTAATTTGATGCCTTGTTAGATAATTTGACAGCTAGAGAACACTTAGAGTTATTTGCTGCTATAAAAGGAATTCGTCCTGATTAAAGAGAGTAAGCTGTTAATGAAAAGCTTGATGAGTTAAACCTCAGAAAATTTGAGAATGTAGTAGCACGTACTTATTCAGGAGGTAATAAGAGAAAGCTAAGTGTAGCGATTGCAATGCTTGGAAACCCTCCTATTGCATTCTTGGATGAGCCTTCAACTGGTATGGATCCTGGAAACCGTCGTTTTATGTGGAATGTGATAAGCGATATGGCTGCAAATAAAAAGAAAACTTCTATAATTTTGACAACTCATTCTATGGAGGAAGCTGAAGCATTAGGAACAAAAGTAGGAATAGTAATTGGTGGCAATTTTAAGTGTATGGGAAGTATTTAGCACTTAAAAAACAAATTTGGAAAAGGATATGAAATTTCTATTAAAAGTAATGTTCCTACTATAGATTAATTACAAAAGATGGCAGGAGGATTAAGTTTGAATACTATTATTGAAAAATAGAATTTATGTAAAATGCTTGATTAAATTAAATATAGCTAGTTTAATGATTAAATTAAAGAAGGAAAATTTGGATCTAGTATTTACTTTTAATTGAATTCTAAAAAATGTAATTAAGTTGAACTTGCTGTTTTGATAGAATCCATATATAATTTTAACACATAATAAAGAATAGAGCAATTTTTGTCTTAGAATTTCAATAGATATGAGATCTTAGAAGGTCTAAATAATTATATAAAAGTGAGAGTATAATGTGAATAAAATTTGGGTTACTTATTTGGAATAATGAATAGATACCAAAACGAGCTAAATATATGTTCATATACAATATCATAGACTACACTTGAATAAATATTTCATGATATAGCTAATCATGAAATAAAAACAAAAATTTAAGATAATAATTCAAACTCTATTAATATTGAAAGAATAAGTAATAATTAATTATAAACTTCATCTATTAACAAACAAATTAATTTTTAGGATTAAATTATCTAATATCCTCTCTTGAATAATTCATTCTAACCTATTCAAATTAATCACGTTTAAATACATTAATTTAAGCAATAAAAGAAATGATTATTTTCTAAACTTTATTCTCACTTAAAGTAAATAAAAATTTAGAATTTTAAGCTTTGTAGATGTGTATTTTTGTATTTTTTTCTATTTATAGAAAAATATAATGCATTCTAATAAATTATGATTTTTAAAAAATAAATTTTTTACTCAACATAGAAATCTTAAAAAATTTTTTTTTAACTTTTTAGTAAAAATTTTTAGCAAATAAATTGGTAAAAGAATAATAATTTTATATGTATTTTATTAAATTGAAAAATAAATTAAATATTATCATATTTAGTTTTTTATTAACTAGAACAGAAAATATAGATACAAGTCATAAAATACTGGATGTATAATTAAGATATATTAATTGATAACCGTATCCTTTAGAATTTAGATAAAACTATTAAAATTTATGTTTTCTATATCAAACCTTTTAAATCTATTTCAATATTATGCTTTCGGAATTTAAAAAGAAATCAATCAGGCTTACTTTTTAAAAATTTCAATAATAATTAACTAATATCACCTTTTGGTTTTCAAAGAAAAAAAAATTAATCCTATTTGTTCCTTCTTGAATAAGATAATATACTAAAAATACAATAAAACAATAAATATGATATCTCAATTTTATTAATTTTCTTTATTGATTAAATTTGAGAATTCTTTAAAAAAAATACACATATAAGATCATAATCTAAAATTTTATTACTATTCTAAAATTTTGAAAAGTAAAATTTAATTAATAATACCTAAACTATTCAGAAATATTTTACTGAAGATACAATAGTGGAAATAATATAGAGATGATTATTTGCAAAATAAAAATTATATTATAGCTTGATTTCTATTGTTAAAAGTTTAATAAATTTATCATAAAAAATTTGTTATTCATAGTTCAAATTTAAATAAAGAAATTACACATTTAATTTATTTAAGTGTGTGGTGATCAATAAAAATATTCAAAATTTTTTAAAATTTAAATTTATTTGAAATATTAATATTTTTCTAATCTATTCTGATATTATTTTAAATATTAAAATAATATAAGCTCACTTTGATTTTAATTAAAGCAAATTATTTTTTAGAATTATTATCCAAATTATGAAATCAGAATAAACTGTAGAGAAATATGAATTTTTGATGGGTTAAATTATTTAGTTTCACTTGAAGAGGATTTTATGATACATAAATGGATATTACATTTATAAAAATTATAATTTAAATTAATACCTTTTATTATTTGCTCATATACTTTTACTTTTTGCAAACTTGGTTTTATCTATTTTACTTAATTTATTAAAAATTTTGATTTTTTTTATTAACAAATTTAGGATATTTAGTATTATTAATTGTAATTTTTTTTTTATTGATTCTGTTAATTTCTAATTTCATTAAAAATCATTCCATTTCAAATTAATTATCATATCTAATAAATTCTTTTAATTATTTAAATGATAAATTTTTGTATTAATAACAAGTAATTATCTTTGTCTATCTCAATTTTAAATATTGTTTGTTGCTATGTTTAGCTAGTACTTTAAAAGTATATCTTAAAATTTATAATTTTTTTAAGTCATATAAAATAATTAATAAATAAATCCCAAAAATGTTTACTCATATACTAGCTCTTATTTTTAAAAACTTTTATCTTTGGAAGAGAGAATTAAAAGGAACTTTTTGTGAATTATTCACACCTTTGATATTTGTTTTTTTCCTTTACATCTTCATGGCTCAATCTGATAGTTATGAAGTTAGCTAAACAAGTTATCTAAATTAAGCTGTTACTCTTACACCTGGATGGGATACATCTCTTATCAGTAATGGAATTTATAGTACGATTAAAGATTGCTCAGATCCTAAAATAGGCGGAAAAATTGGAATTGCACCAAATATTCCTTTCACTTAAAGACTATCATCAATTCTACTGAGTATGAAATATTTTTAAATTTAACTTTCTTATTAAAAACATCTTGTCATTTTATTACTATTAAATAGATTATCCAGGTATCTAAGTATAATTTTTCGATTCCCCTGATCAATTTAATAATCACATTAAATCATCTGATTATCCTGTATCTAATCCTCCTTAAATTTGTTTTGGAATTCTTTTCGACAGCTGGACTGATGGTGTTTACAATTATACATTATCCTATAATTTAACTCAATCTCATGATATTCCTAGAACCTATAGAACAGACTACATTGACTTTGAATAAAATGACTAGTTTCTTAAGTATATTAATTCAGGTTTTACAAGAATAGTTAACTGGATTGATAACATCATATTATAGTAAGAAAGCGGTAATTCTAACATTCAAATAGAACCAAATATTGCAATTATGCAAGTAGAGGCTCACTAGTAATCAAATTTATACTCTTTTGCTGGTAGTTTTATGAATATTTTTATAGTAATCCCTATGATTGTACCTTTTTTAAGACTATCGTCTAGAATTCTTCATGAGAAAGAAAAAAGAATTAGAGAAGGAATGATGATGATGGGTCTCGGAAAAATTGCCTTCTATAGTAGCTGGTTTATAACATACCTTTTTGTCTACTCTTTTATTTCATTAATAGTTACTATAGGATTAAGAGTTTACTTCTTTACAAAAATTGATTTTGCAGTTATTTATGTTTTGCATTTTGCTTATGGAGTCTGTCTTTTAGCTTAGAGCTTATTTATAACAGTTTTCTTTGATAAGCAAAGAACTGGAATTATTGGAGCTACATTTCTTTTTCTCTTTTAATTTTTGTATTCTTTCAGTTAAGGAGATTAAGAAGTAAGTTCATTTTTTTATTTATTTTTAAATAATTAATTTTTAATTATTAGACATAAGATAACTCAAGCTATTAAGGCTAAGCAATAATTGTATCTAACGCAATATCTTAAGCAATGTAATTGCTTGTGATATACCAATCAAGAAATGAATAAGTAACTATAGATATGCTTAGTTAACTTTGTAATAGATCTAGACTTATTTACTCTATCAATTCTAGTTGGATTAGTTTTGTTGTTTATTTTGTCCTATTCTTATATCTAGATCAAGTAATTTCTAATGAGTTTGGACAAAGAAAGCACTGGCTTTTCTTTATTGGCTGTAAATTGAGAAATTAAAATTCAAAAAAACACCAAATCAGAGCAAGTAGTAATTAAGAAGAACAATCTAATTTCAATGAAAATGTAGATATTTCTTTACAAAATTAGGAAAGATAGAACAAAGTAATTAGCAAATTTTTCATTTCAAAAATTCTAATAAATTAATAAATAATATTAGACAATCAAGATAGAGAATCTATCAAAAGAATTCAAAACAGAAGGCGTACTCAAAAGAGCTGTTGACTAAATCAATTTGTAAATGTATTCAGGTCAAGTTTTTTCTTTTTTAGGACACAATGGTGCAGGAAAATCTACAACTATATCTATGCTAACTGGAATGATTCCTCCTACCTCTGGAACAGCCTATATCAAAGGTTTAGAAATTACAAAAGATATGGATAAAATTAGGTCTATTTTAGGTAATTTGCTTTATTATTAAATTTTTACTTATTTAATTGAAATTTTTTTTTAAATAAGGTGTATGCCCACAACATGATATATTATTTGACTCACTAACTGTTAAAGAACATCTTTATCTATTTGCTGTATTGAAAGGAATACCATTTAGAGAAATATCAAATGCTGTTGAAAAAATCATTAAAGATGTAGATTTAGTAGAAAAAACGAATTCTTTAAGCTCCAGTCTCTCAGGAGGATAAAAAAGAAAACTTTCTGTTGCAATAGCTTTTATAGGTATTTATTTATTTATTTATTAATTTTATTTTTATTTTAAACAAAAATTTTAATCAAAAACAGGTGAAAGCTAAGTAGTTTTGCTGGATGAACCTACAAGTGGTATGGATGTACAAGCTAGAAGACACATTTGGGAAATGGTCAAGAACTACAAACAGTAAAAAATTATCATACTCACTACTCATTTTATGGACGAAGCAGATTATCTTGGAGATAGAATAGGAATTATTTCTGATGGATAAGTTAAATGTGTCGGTTCTAGTGTTTTCTTGAAAGAAAAATTTGGAAATGGATACAACTTAACTTTAGTAAAAGAATAAAACACAACTCCTTCTGAGCCAATAATTTAGTTTATCAATCACCATTTTCCTGAAAGTAGTTTAATTAGTGATTACTCTGCTGAGATAGCTTTCTAAATACCCTATAAATATATTCCTCAGTTTGAATAGATGTTTAATGAAATAGAGAGATTAAAACACTAACTATAAATTAGATCTTATGGAGTTTCAATAACTACTTTAGAGGAAGTTTTTCTAAAGGTGGCAAGTATGAACGACAATCATATTGTATAACCTCATAAGGCATAATAAAAAAATCAATATTAAGATATTGAAAATTAAGATGATCAAAAATTTATTGAAAGAATAACAGACCCCTCTTTACTATTTTTTACTCATTTTTGGGCCCTAATTAAGAAAAGAATACATTACTTTAAAAGAGATAAGAAAGGCTTATGCTGTGAATTGATCCTACCTATCATTTTAATTGCATTTGGTTTATATACAGCATATGCATCTAAATTTAAGGATTGGAAATCGTATGAACTTAACCCAACAATATTTTTTGATGAAAAGCCTAAAATTTATTATGGAAGCTCATTACCACCTTCTAATTATTAATCAATAATAAATAATTTTCAAAAATACGACGATACCTCATTTGATCAAATACAAAATGTTAATAGTATCCTATCATTTGATAATTCCTTATTATAAGACAAGACAACTGAAGTAAAATTTGGATATTATTTACAAAATACTCAAGGAAATAATATTCAATACACTGCTTTTGTTAATACTGTTAGCTTAGATGGCATTCCTATGTCTATCCATCTTATGAACAATGCAATTATAAAAAGTGTAACAGGAAAATAAATTCAAATAAATGTAAATAATAAACCTCTAGCTATTACAGCCAGCACCAAAAAGTAAAATTTTTAAATTAAATT